CGCAACTGGCCTGACAAATACCAATATGGTGGATGGCATCTAAGTCCTGAGAGACCCAAGATGGAAAACCCAAGTGAAGTTCGTATTAAAGATTAGCCCAAGGAAATGTTTCTCACTCACACGCGGAATCCTGCATCCGTATAGAAACAAGTCAGGATCCAGATGGGGGTCCCGTAAGTGAGAGGACCCCCTGGTCATGGTTTTTGTGGGATAAAAAAGGAAGCCACGGTTCTCTGTCCTCTGAGATACCTTATCCAGCAACAACAGAAGGTGACAATCCGCCATCGACGTCCTTGAAGCAGAAAAGATATCGACAGGTCATCCCCGTAGAGGGTGCTCGAAACATCCGGAGGAAGACCGTCCATAATGCCATTGATTAGAATAACAAACAAGGTGGTGCTGAGAGGGAGGGGTGGAGAAGAGGGAGGGGAGAAAGGAGAGGTAGAGAAGGGAGGTGAAGAATCATGAGGGAGCACAGAGGAGAGTGGATGCCAAGAAATAGGGACACGAAGGAGAGAAGACTTTTCACTAAGACTCTTACTAGCACATTACCCCCCCCCCCCCAAAAAAAAAATATGTAAAATTATATTGTTAACTCACGCCTTGAAAATAAATCAAAGTAAATATGAAGAATTATAACATCGGGAGCAGCTGCGAGACCAAGTGTAGTACATGGTAACAAAAAGGCAGTGGTAAAAGCTTTAGAGAGTTGCCTGAGTATTGGCTCTCAGTGACCTCAAGTCTTGCAGGAATCACAGAGAGGGTGAGTGTGTGATCAGTCTCAGTGTTAGAAAGCTTTTTATGTTTAGGTCATTTAATACTGACGTAATGTTATCGAAGCAATTTACTACAGAAGGAGGAACAACAATATGTCTTTGGAGGAGTTGAGGTCTCTCTTTCTCAAGTCATGGCGGGGCGGTAAAAGTACAAAAATAAATAACAATTCGCTGGTAATGTCAGTACACCTATAAGTATGCACACCCACACATACTTCGCCAGCAATACACACGCACACACACAACCGTTACTTCATCGTCAGTTCAACAATAAACAAATAATTTGCGCCGAAAAAATATAACTCGTCACTCATTCTGCATATCATGTAATCGGCTGCTGTTCTGCTGGTCGCCTTTTATTGACGCACCACTGTCAACAAACTGGTATTCTCACTTTATTATTTTTTTATTTTACCTTTTTTGTTTTTAGTGACGATTGTATAATACTGTTTCCCGTGTTATCATCGCTCACTTATATTACTATTGTTGTGTAATTCACTTTATTCGTACTTCTCTTGTTTTTTTGTATTCTCTTGTTTGTATGATGTCATATAATATATATATATATATATATATATATATATATATATATATATATATATATATATATATATATATATATATATATATATATATATATATATATATATATATCTCTTGTTTCATGTCTCTTTCTTTCATCTTATTTCTATTACTCTTTACATTCGCTTTCCCAATTTCTGTTTTGTTATCTTTTCTTCCGCCATCTTCCTTCTTCTTTCCTTGTTCGAGGGGGGAAGAGGAGTCTGGTGTAGCGATGGCGTCACACGGTCGCTCCCTCCCTCCACACACCTTCACCTTCACTCACGTTCAGCACCTCCATCCTTCCCTTCTTCCCACCCTCTCTCTCTCCACTCTTCCATCCCCTTCTCTCAGCCTCCTCACCGTTCCCTCCCCCTCTGCTCACCCTTCTATTCCCCTGCTCCCTACCGTTCCATCCCTTCCTCCCCGCCGCCCCTCCCTTTCTCCCGCCTCCCCACCGTCCCCTCCCCTTCACCCCGCCTCCCCACGTCCCTCCCTTCACCCCTGCCTCCCACCGTCCCCCCCCTTCACCCCGCCTCCCCATAACCTCTCATACACTACTATATATTCACATTATACACTGGCAAATATTCAGTAACTCAAAACTGTGTGTTCAGTGTTTCTGGCATTTAATTCTGCAAATTCTAGTTTTCATTATCCATTTATTTTCCAGATGTGAGTTGTCAGTTTTCAGCCTTCACTTACCTTGTGTTGACTCCCCGCGAGGACTCCAGGCCTGAGTGTCTAAGACTCAGTGGTTCTTAACCTGGGGGCCATGGCCCCCAAGGGAGCCACGGCGAGAATTTAGGGAATCTTAATTAAACAAAACTTGTATTACTTATTTTGACTTGGCAGAAGAGAATTTTCATTTTTTTTAATTTTGTTTAATCATAACGACAATACAATTTTAATATTTACATACTCTGGTGCTAATTATTTTTATTTTTTACGGATTATTTAAGATTTCACAGGTCCAGTCCCTGTCTGTGTGACAGGCGCTGGACCGAGTTGCTGAACTGACTTGTTCAGTACGTGTCCGTGTGTCATCCCTTTGCAAGTGGTGATAGGACCGAATAATCTCAGTCTGGCCTGGGATACCATCACGAAAACAGTGGAGGCCACGAGGATGTTGAAAATTCCTCAAGGGGGGAATGGAGTGAAAAATGTTGAGAACCACTGGTCTAAGTGTTCCGTGTGTTGGCTTCTTTACTAACAATAAATAAACAAAAAATAAAGTTAATATCCCCACAAACGGTTACCAACGATCACTATATACAATTACTGTACGTGATGTTGTAACCCTGTTTAACCCTAACGTCAGCAGCGATGTTTCTGAGTGACGCTCGGATCGTGACACAGTGTAACGCCGGACATAAACGCTGTCTACCTTGGCGACTACGTGGTGTTGTCTAAGTAACGGGTTATGCTAGAACACTAAGTAAAAGCGGATGAAAAGTCATAACAGTGGTTGTTATATAAAGTGACAGTCAATATTATGTTGAGAGATGGTGAGCGGGGAAGATTAATAGATCGTATATTACAGTTCTAAAAATCATCGTCGACAACTCTATATGAAGTGTTTGTTCTTTTGGCTGTTTTCATTAGTGGAGAAAATCAGCTTGTCACTATATAATACTGTCTCTTATATTGTTGTTCTGTCACCTTACCTCCGATACACGATGAACAGAAATATATTTATTAAAAGAAGAAAGTATTTTTTATAAGTAGGCTGATGAAGCAAAGTTGTTGTGTATGAATTTGTGGTTAATTTTGAAAATATATAAATTAATTACGCCGCCTTTACCCAAATAATTAAACTCAAGACTCCCATTAAACACGTTTCAGTATAATCTAGTTTTTTTTAATTACAGAGAATAAATTATAATTCTCTCAATCCCTTATGATATTAAATTGTTATCAGTACTGTACACAACTCACACCCGGGAGGCGACCTCGGGTTACGTGCAGGGTCATGTGGGGTTATGACCAGTCATTCGATAACTTTACTCGTGCTAACACCGCCACTCACTAGCGTCTCCCCCTCCACGCTGGAGAAAAACATCAAGTTTATTAAGGGGAAGAAGTGGACTACTCAGGTGAAAGTGTAAGGCGTATGTGATACGAGTCTTGAGGAAGTGTTCTAAATTCATAATCAAGATGGAAAATAAATACACTTTCATATGTGACACAGTGAAACTACCCCGATTCGCTCCTCTCAGCGGTGAGTACATCACAACCCACATAACAAACGTTATTGCTGGTAATATCAATATTTATGGGTTCACTACTCAACATGGGACAACTATATTTCTACTAGTTATCCCAAATCAGGTACAGCAATAATTCTTTGGCCCATATACTGTAACTGTGAGGAATACACCAGGGTGTCACACTGATGTCACACCAACAAACGAAGATCATGTTAGGTCGGTTGCCACTGCGAGGGAGTTCGTCCCGTGGCTTAGTTCCCAGGGTGCAAGACTCGCTCAATTCAATCGTGCCGAATTAACGACATCGCTGCATACCAGCCGTTGGTAGTACAGCAGGAGTGTCTCGGCATAAAACCATGTTGGTCAGCCCTTTACAAGGTTGTTTTGTAGTCGATACTCCATCATAGCATCTCTTAAAATTATATATAGTACAATACTACTTTACAAACTATGCTGGTCAGTAGTCAAGCTCACTGACCTATAATTATTCACTTTATTTGTGGAGTAGAGATCACCCTTCTTGAATATAGGACTCACATACACCATTTTCCAGTCACTGGGAATCTTTATTATTCAGATCCATGTTACATTTCCTATAATGGAATTAATGTAGCCGTCTTTAATTATTATTATTATTATTATTATTATTATTATTATTATTATTATTATTATTGCCACCAACCTATTCTCAATCATTTTATCACTGCAATCAGTATTTCTTACAATTCTAAGACACTTCTAGGACTTTTCCCTCGTAAATGACCTTTATTATTATTTTTATTGGTATTATTGGCCATTTAATTTAAGAGTACTCTGTTGTTCTCTTTAATACTACATTAACTCATTTTAAACTCTTTCAAAATCATATAAGTCCATCATTTAAACTGTTTATTTACACCCGTTTTCTTTGTTGCCATAAAAGAAAATGTAACTTATGTAGGGTAGAACTTTTTTAACTTTTTATTGTGGTTTTAAGACAACAATTATTTTATTTTATTTTATTTTATTTCATTTTATTTTAAAACTAACGTAACAGGCAGTTAACATTGGCCATCCCTAAATTATCAGGATTAATGATAGCAACTAAATTACTTTCGTTAATTTTTACTGCTTAAGGTCAAGCTAATGATAATTTTAGTGAATAAAAATTTGCAAATAACACCGATTAGTTGATATTACTGATCATATAGTACTCGAAAGTAACTCGATTATACTTTATCTTGCTTTTCTATGGATGTATGTACCTGTTTTGAATAAAGTAATACGTCTTCTTGTCTTGCTTTCTTATTATAAAGTCGAATATAGAATATTTCTTTTTATAAATAAATCATTTATCAATATTGCTCATGAAACTTTGACGGAAGTATTACTGTACACGTAATATGTATGAGGTGGATCAATTAAAGGGTAAATGGGTTTAAAGTTAGGTCGTCTTATCGAGAAGTGACGACTATCTTGTTTACATCTTGGAGCATCGGGGAACATGTGTTTATTGTTTATATAATTAACACTTTTGGAGTTGAAATTATTCATATTTATTTCAAATGTAGGTAATTAAACTAGTCCAAGTAAATAATTTAGATACAATTATGTATTAACAAGAAATGTAATTATTAGCACCACAAGGCACAATACTGTACACGCCGTGTGAGACGCCAGCCCCTGATAGTGTGCCCAGGACCCAGGGGCAGGAGGAAGAGTGTGGAGTACCAAGTAAACCACACGTGTCAGTCTTAGGGCAAGTATTGACTGTAACATCGATATATGTCATCAAAGAGAGTGTTGTCTTTAATTAGTGGCCGAGCTGTCAAGAAGCCGAGAAAGGTCAGACCCCAAGGGAGGAGGATGATGAGGGGCTACACCACCGAAACGGGGGGCGGGGGTGATGATGGGGGACACATACCTCCTCCACCACAGGTGTCCCACAATGCTTCAGTCCTCCCAGCCGTACAGGTGTTGGACACCCCAACCAAGTCCCCTTTTGACAAGAAGGAATACAGGTAATATTACTTTATGGATCCATCTTTATGGATAAAGATGGATAATAATTGATACTAGTCCCAAAAAGTTGCAGAATTAAATTACACCATAAACGGCATTATTATTGTTTCGGTCATCCAGCAAATTTGGGGAATTTAAGTTACGTAGTGAATATTTTGCCGTGACCGGCTAAGTTCCTACTATGCTATTTTACCGTGAGTGCACTCTGATTGGCTATGTACTTTCTGTTTAATATGACGGGGAGGTTCATCCCCACTGCTAGGAAGCTAGGTAAGGTTAGGTAGGTTTCTTTAGTTGGTTAGGTCAGGTTCTATTAGGTTCTAGTAAATTTCACCTCTTTTTGTAATGATAAGTTCCATGTACAACAAAAATATGGTTAGGTATGTTTACAGCTACACAACGATCAACTCACGGCTAAATAAATGCCAAATGCCCCCAGAGTCACGGTCAAATATAGTTCTCTCGTTCGCCGGTAATGGTCGATTTGCCAATCTGAGCGCACTCGTGGTAAAATAACGTTAGTACGAATTTAGCCAGTCATGGCAAAATATCCACTGTCTTCAAATACCAACGTCCGAGAGAGGTTAGGTTAAGTTGAAATTATGTTTTTCTGATGGATTTTGGTGTGCTTCGAATGATTCTGACTTACTTCCAAATAGGTGGATGACCAAAATGATAATTTTACTATAATTTTTCCTCTGCTGAGGTGGAGGACGAGGCTCCTCAAACCACTGTTAGACGCCGTATGTTTTCATCTTGCAGTGAGAGCATATAGAACAGAAGACTGTCCTAGCCAAACCTAACCTAATCTGACCTGGAACATTAGTTTTTATCTATAAACAAAATTGCCTATGAAAGGAACCAACCAGCTTTAACCAAATCTACAAACCTTAATCTAACTTAATATAATTTAATAGCTTCTATTATCATCTTAAAAAAATACATTTCTGAAGGGAACCATTGAGCCTTCAGTGTTGGAGGAAGTGCCCATTGAATTGTGTTCAGGAGATTTTTTTTTTTATGCCAAGTAGTGTGTTCCTCTTTCACTTTTAATTGATTTTATGAGGTAAGAAAGCATTTATGTTCTATGGTAGTTAAGATGCACAACTAGCTACAGTAATCTGGACTACTGTATAACCACATTCTGTAACATGGTCCTGCATTAACCAACATCTGTAGAAGAGTATCAGTAATAGTCTAGATAACTGACTCGTGAGAATGAGCATCTGTAAGAAAACATTCTATCGAATAAAACTTGGTAATGCATGATGACCATGGCACACTCTTAGCACCAACTTGAAGAAATTTCTCCACAGAAAGTACTGTAAAAAGCTTTCTTACCTCAAAACAATTTCCCTGGGTCTGCCATGTTTATTGATGTTCTTTTAGAAGAATAAATTACAATATAATTAAAGTACCTGTACAGTATTTTAGGTTAGGTAAGGATTCATAGTTAGTTTGTTTTATTTTATGAATGATTAATTATAGAATATAGCAGTATATACAGTATAGCATCTTGTATTTTCTGGTATTACCGCAATGTTACATTGGTGGTCAACTCTAAAAGTAGCAGATATCTGTGATGGCAAAAAATTTTCAGAGTGAGAATTGTAAACTCTTGGAACAGTATACCAGAGTGTGTTGTGACGGCACAGAGTGTGAGCTCTTTCAAGACCAGACTTGACCATAACTGGTGCAGGTACAGATACATTCTAGAGCCAGTATCGGTACATGCCCAGTACAGTACATGCCAACAGTGCGTAACAGAGACGTGACCAACCGTCCAAGCGGCTAACGAGCTGATCAGTGGTGAAGATGGTAAACGTAAAATTAACCTAAAATACCGCATTACAATCTTCAATTTCAATCTTAAAAACAAAGAAAAAGGCTTATTTACTGAAAATCCAGTTTGACCATAGATGGACAAAGGAGGGATAAGTTGTATGGTTAAGCTGTCTTCCCAAAATAGTAACTGTTACATCTAGCAATATCCATTTACAGGTATCAGGAGTATGGATGTGATGATGTGGTACAGTATTACCAATTGTTTAATTACTACAGCTATCACTGTTGAGAACAAGGCTGATCACCAACATAAATACAGTGGTTACATTACATGAGTCTCTTTGTCTTCACTGTTGTACAATGGAATTTCCTGAATACAGAATTTCATTAAGTCTATAAATATTTTTTCACTACAGTACTGTAATAAATTTATTTATAAATACAGTACAAATTATTCTCTCTGCAGAGTGATTCGACTTGACTGTGGCATAAGAGTGCTACTCATTTCTGATGCAGGGAGATTCATTGCAGGTGCTGAGGAAGAGGGTAAGTGCGACACAGGTTGATACCGGTACTTCTAAATCTACTTCTGATACTCTGCCTTTTTTATTTTTTCTCTTCTTTCATTTTTTGTAGGAGAGTCAAGGGATACAGCCATTGTCCCTCCAAGATATGGGGCAATAGTAGAGAGATTGATAGAGAACAGATGTAAGAGGTAACAGGAAGAGTTCAAACAAGTAGAAATATTTTTACATGCTTGCTCATATCCTCAACTTATATACAGAGGATACAAAGTGAATCTATAACATCCTCATTGATTCATAATGCTTTCATAACAGTTTACTGTCATTCCACTACAAGTCTTTTTGCTTTTATCCTCTTCACCACTGATCGGCTCGTTAGCCGCTTGGGCAGTCGATCACATATCTGCTACTCAGACTATCAATGTTTAGATAATGCTAATGAGAACAAAGACAGGGTACTTCTACATCCTGGTTAGTTTGGTTTGGTTCACCGGGTACACTCAAAGATGTTAATCCATGTTTTGCAATACAAAAACTGATGGAACAAGTCTTGCATAACAGGAGTAGATGGATGCAACAACAAGTACAGTATAATATTGTACGTTGATGAATATTTATTATATTTGCAGATGATTCTGAGGAAGAGGAAATTGATCAGAATGAAGAGGACGAAGTTGACCAGAGTGAAGATGATGATGATGATGATGCGGAAATAGAAGATGAAGAAGAAGAAGAAGGAGATATTAAGGGTGGAAAAAGTGGTGCCGATTCAACTAAATACCTGGTATGCTTACTAGCACTTTTGAATATTTTGGGGGGTCAAATATCTTGTTATTTGGTGTATCGTGAATTACAGTCTCTCCTCGACTTACGACAACCCGAACATACGACGGCCATGGTCATATAAAATATTTTTCACATTAGCGATAAGTGAGAGTACTCGTGGTGCTGAGAAGAAAAAGAGACACCCATTTTAGAATCTCTTTGTATTATTTTCGCCTTTTCGAGTTATGACCAATTTGACTTATGACCTGGTCGTCGAGGAAAGACTGTCCTGTCCCTACTTATGACTTATCGTTCAAGAGTGAATAAGCCAGGAGACCCATACTGCAAGACACACGCTGGTGAGCCCATCCTTACGTTTAATGGCATGATACACTACCCAATCTAAAAAGCCAGATCATATTTTCGGGCTCGATGTTTTCTTTTGGTTAACTTTTGTTTCTGCATATGCTTGGATTCAGGGCTTCTGTCACCCCTTGCCCCCAAGTCAGCTGGGTTCTGTTATTACAATTGTTTATCCCACTCAATCAACTTTAGATGCAGTGGTTGCTCTGTAGATGCAGGAGAACTAATAGGACTCTTGCCTACTTAGTTAGCACACACTTGTTTCCCATCCACTGTCAAAGGGACTTGGAGAGAAGGCTTAAAATCTTATTTGAGTCAGTGTGTAACCAACCAGTGACCCCCATCCATGGTGCTGGGTCTGCCATCTATGGTTCTGTGCAAATCCAGATTTGAACACTGAATATACAGTACAATATATTATTTCCTAGCTGATCACGATAGTGAATGGTTGTGTAGTCGATCATCTCTGCCTCAAAAGATTAGTCTCTTAGCCTGACTGTTGAGGTATCAGGGGTAATTAACTTAAGTTTTTCAGCAGATTCAATTAATTTTTGTTTTGGTTCCCCAGGCAGCAGCATCTCTGACAGTAGGAGTAGGAAGTTTTGAAGACCCTCCAGAAATTCCTGGCCTGATGCACTTTCTGGAACACATGGTGTTCATGGGGTCAGAGAAGTATCCTAAGGAGAATGCCTTTGATTACTATATTAAGGTGAGGCATTAAATATCAGTGTGCTTACTAAGTGTAGGATCACTGATAACAAATGGTTTCTTGTTATTTGAAACATTTCCATTAGATTTCAGCTGCAGCCATGCAGTTCTGTTAGTTTTATTTATGTAGCTCTGTTAGGTAATTTTTTGTTTCCCTCTGCTCCATAATCCCTTATTTTGTATCAAATTACCATACTACATGTATTTTTTTTTTTTTTTATAAATAACAAAAGGCTGTTGTGCTTCACTTAGCAGCATAATCTCCTGGTGAAATAACTTATTACCTTTCTCAGCAAATTGGATGGCCCATCCAACTTTACATTTCATTATCTCAGTGAAAAAGAAAAAAAAATTAACTCTCGGATTAACTTTCAGTGATTGATATTATGGTCCAACAAGGGATACGCCAGTGTGATCATTCTTACTCTCTCAAAATTTTGGTGTAAATGAAAGTCTGGCATTACTAGTACAGTATATTAAATCATTCTCTTTTTATTTTCTCTCTTTTTCATTCTCACCATGTTGTGCGGAGTATTCAAGAAACAATCTTCTGTATTCTTTGAAGTGCTTTTTATGTCAGTCATTAATGTTTCATCTCGATAAGGCCTTTACAGAAGTGGCTCTAGAGAACAAGATATTGCGGATGACACTACAGTATTTGTTATTGTTAAGGGTAACATTTATGATTTTACTCCTCATAAGTAAAATATTGTATACTGTACTGTACTTTATAACAGAAACATGGAGGCCATGACAACGCACACACTGACATGGAGCACACAACCTTCTACTTTGAGGTTCAGGAATGTTATCTACATGAGAGCTTGGACAGGTTCGCTCAGTTCTTCATTAACCCACTCATGAAGCAGGAGGCAATGACCAGAGAAAGAGAAGCAGTGCATAGTGGTGAGGAGCACTTACATTGTCAATGTTCTGAGATGTGAAGATCCAGTTTCAGACTAATTTAGACATTGCATTTTTAAGATGACTTCCCAACTTTATAGAAAAAATTTAAGTTCTTAACATATGCCTTCTCTGTCTTTACTGGTGATACAAAGTACTGTAATTGTAATTATGGTTTGATAGAACATGAACAAATTTAATAATGTTGCATCTATACTGTACTTATATTTTTGGTATGACTAAATTTTCATTTAGAATTTCAGATGGCTCTGCCAGAGGATGCTTACCGGAGTCAACAGTTATTTGGCAGCTTTGCTGCAGAGGGTCATCCTATGGGTAAATTTACCTGGGGTAATGAGTCAACCCTCAACATTGGGATTCCAGATGAAGAACTGCATAAAAAACTCCATGAATTACGTCTGAAATATTATTCTAGCCATTACATGACGCTGGCAGTGCAAGCAAGGTTCTCACTTGACTGTTTACAAGAGTATGTTTGCAACATCTTTTCTCAGGTTGGTATCTAAGTGTTTATTTTATATGTTTATAGGTTAATGTTTTTTTCCCATAAGATATTTGTCACAAAGTAAATCAGTGAGACAGTGAAAGAACTGTTTGACTTTAAAGGTTTAGTTTGGGTTTATTATTAATTCCACGAGAATCAAGAGGTGGACAAAGTGGTAGTTTTGTTCCCATCAGACTTAGTGGGGGTTTCACCAGGTTAAAATCACAGTACAGTATCTGGAAGAGATCATTGCAACCCTTTAAAGGACTAGGTTTTCCTTTATGGGGTTGTAATAATACTCAGTCATTTCTTACAACCTCTCCCCGTGCTATTATTGGCCTGCCTCTGGCTCTCCTCCCCTCCACATTCAGATTCATGCTCCTCCTGACTCAGTTGGTCTCCTCCATTCTCTCCATATGCCTAAACTCTCTCAGTCTACCTCTGAGCAAAACTGAATGTGTAAAATTTCAAGATTTTTTAATATCTTAATTTTATTTACAGGTCCCTGGTAATAACATTCCACGCCCTACCTACAATCACCTCGAGTTTCCTTTTCCGGTGGAAAAGCTTCACCGCCTGTATCGTGTGGTGCCAACCAAGGAATACCATTGTGTGGAAATAAACTGGGCTTTGCCCTCCCTACTCAAGTATTATCACACCAAGCCTCTTCACTATGTGTCACATTTAATAGGACATGAAGGACGAGGCTCCATTCTGTCGTGTCTCAAGAAGAAGTTAGTGTTAAAGTCTTCTGTTCCTTTTTTAATTACTTTCCAATTTTATAATTAGAACTTGAGAAGTTTAAATTTCTATCTTGTTTTGTTTTATGACCTTCAGTTGTTGAAGAATAGGTAATGAGACCTTGGGATGCTCTTTATTGGGTCACTCCAGGAACCTCCAGAAGCCTACATTGGTGGGCTGGTCGTCTCTATGGCCAGCAGAGATACTGAGTTATGAGTTTTAACTGAGAGGAAGAGACAACCTAGATTCCTTCCCTCCTCCCTTAATGAATTTCCTAATCAGTGGGATACATGAGGTGTAGATGTATGGAGCTCATGTTTATGGCTGTGCAATTGAGATAAAAGTAAACTGGTATCAGGATTTAACCTGCTGTACCTTATTGCTTATTGGATTTTGAAAAAAAAATAACACACAAGACTCAGATAGTAGCTTCCTATATAAGCTCTGGTTTGAATAGGTGATTAGCTGTTATACAGGAATTTACACTGATATGCTAAAGCAGTGTTCTTACTGCTAGAATGCTTGTAGCCCCTGGATGAAGTAGACTCTGTAGTGGGAATCTTACAGGTTTCTTGTCTCTTCCCATGAACCATAAAATGGGATTTGGCAATTCATATCCTATTTTTTTTTTTTTTCAGAGTATGGGCTGTTGGGCTGTATTCAGGAAATGATGAGTCTGGTTTTGAACACAACAGTACTTATGCAGTTATGAGTATCAGCGTAGAATTGACAGATGAAGGCTTCAAGAACATTGATAAGGTAAATGGACTTAAGCTTCAAAATATGAATTTATTTATAATCAATTGACAGTTTTGTAACTGTGCCTGGAAGCAAGAACTTGATGTGGTCCTAATGACTGGTGGGTCAAAGAGCTGCTGTCAGGCTCGGGTGGGTAGGGGGCACTGGCCGTAGTGCTGCATCTATATCTTTCCCCATCTGGTGACCTAGTCTAGTAGATGATCGGGTTTTTTTTCCAAACGTTGCATAGATTCTATTCAGATTTATTGCCATTATAAATTTGTATTGAATATTTCCAGACTTTTCAGGTGCCTGAGTTTTTTTATGAGGATAGGAACATCAGTTAGGAGAGGTTCTACTGTCATTTGCACTTTCTTTACTGAATGTTTTGTATTTATGATTTGCACTGTGGTGTAGCATATAATTTGTGTATTGTACCTTTCTCAACAGGTTCTGTGTATAGTATTCCAGTATATGGCAATGATTCAAAGAGCAGGACCTGTCGAGAGAATCTTCAGGGAGATTCAACAGATGGAACAGTTAAATTTTGACTATGCAGAGGAGCCAACAACTATTGAGAATGTTGAGAATCTTTCTGAGGCAATGCAGATATTTCCTCCAGTGGACTACCTCACAGGAGACACTCTCATGGGTGATTATAACCCTCAGGTAAGAGTAATCCTTTTATTCTACTTTATTCACCACATTCATTTTTAGCCATTAAAGTTGATAAGATATATTCTTGTTATGGAGAAGAGGTTTCTTACTCCTGTAAGCCATCTCTTGCTTTTTAACAGGGTGGTAGGAACCAAAAATGAATGCACTCTTCCCTTTATTGTCTGTCATTCATTCACTCTTTATTGTAACAACATCCCTGTAAGCTACTTGGCATCATACTTTTCTGGTACATCACAATAATACCTTACCTAGCGCTCAGGAGTCATTCTTGAGAAGAGACCACAAAGCAGTTTTCAGATGTGCGCCTATAGTGTTGCTACAAGTTGTGGGTGACGTGAGTGCTTCACAGGTAAACATGGTTATACAGTACAGTATTTATTTAGCTAAATGAACAAATTTATGTTTTGTGAGGTAGTGATTGGTGAGAGGCAGAGGATATCACATGGCTCAGTTATGGTTAAAGTGAATCCATCTCTTCATCAGTGAAAGGAGTAGTAAGGGCAGCTTTGCTATGGTGAGGCTGGTGATGAAGGAGGTGGTAATAGGTGGTGGTGTGCTTGTTCTAGTTTTAGTTATATTGGTGAGGGCAGTTATTGTAACAGTCTCACAGCTTGGTACAGTACAGTATTAAATTATTTTACTTTATAGTTGTTAGGTGAATGTGTTACTTTGGGACGAGAATTGGCAAATCACAATTTTATACAAGTTTTAATTACAGATTATTAAAGAGTGTCTTGATGCTCTGGTCCCGGAGAAGTGCAATATCTTGATCAGTTCCAAAACATTTGATGAGCAGAACATTTGCCACTTAACAGAGAAGTGGTTTGGGACCAAATATTCTGTTGAAGGTATGTACAGTACATACAGTAGTTAGGGAGGCAAGGTAGTTCATATGTCAGAGTTATGTTACAACATCCAACAAAGTTTCCCCTATCATTAATATTCCCAGTTTTCTGTTTTGTTCATTGTTAGTCTTAATTATAACAAAGACCTTTGATGTCATTCTTGAATTTAAATTGGACTTATTTATACAAATAATAAAGGAAATTTATCTTCTTTTTTCTTTTAATTATTTTTTCTCATTTGGTGTTTTTCCTTTAGGAAATCAGATTAATATTAAAACTCTTTTATATCCATTATTTGGAAGATCCTCAGAGTGTGTCTTGTAAAGAGTTTGAATCAAACAGGGATTCACACACTATCTTGGTTGTAATCACCTTTGAAAATCAGGAAATAATTCATGTTGGTTTCTAAGTAATTTAAAGGCAAAGCAATACAGTACATTCAAAATATACAGTAATTTACAGCCTATATATTCTCTTTCAGATATTCCAAAAAGTTGGGAAGAACAGTGGGCTAACTTGCCAACTAATCCAGAGTTACACATCCCAGCTACCAACCATTTTATCCCAGACAACTTTGACTTGTTGTCTTCAGAGAAAGACGTGCCAGAATATCCTGAAAAGCTGTGTCAGGATGACTGGGGAGAACTCTGGTTCAGACAAGACCTCAAGTTTAAGCTACCAAGGAGCTACTGCTACATATTTCTATTATCTGAATTACCTCTTCAATCCCCCAGATTGTAAGATAATTGTCATGCTTTATTATTATCCTTTTCTTCAATCTCATTTGTATGTGATGGTTCAGTGCATGAAGCCCTCGCAAAACAATTTTGTTTCCATTCCAACAACTTCCTGCTACTGTAAACCTTAGTTTAATGCAAAATGCTGTCCTAAAAAAGGTTCAAATAATCATGAAATTACTCCATTATGAATATGTTGTGTGCTGAGAATATAAAGGTTAGGATCCAAGGAAGTCATAAAACCAAACCTTACATATAGTATTACAACCCTTCTGTAGCATCACTTGTATACCAACCCCCAGTACTGTACGTATTAGATATCACAAGGCTTTACTAGATACTGTATTAGAGTATTCATTTTTACGAATGTCTTTCGGTAATGAAGGTTGGTAATTGCTTCCTTTCTTCCTTTTATTGTCATTAATGAGACATGGAATCAGACCTTTTATTTCACTGAAATCAGTTTAATTCTCCGCTGATATATCCCTAGACCTTATTGAGGCAGTTTCTGAGTAAGACTTTATAATAGCTACCTCCAAATTTCTTGTTCTTCCTGAAGCAAATCCATATGCTTGTTTTTATTTAATGGTCAATAATATTTATTCATTACAGAGCGGCTCTGCTGGACCTGTACCTAAACCTATTCCAGCAGCAGGTGATGGAGGACGTCTACCCCGCTAACATGGCACAGTATCAATACTCCATCTCCGCCAGTGAACGAGGCATTGTTATCAAGATGAATGGGTTTAATCAGAAGCTTTCTGTAAGTTCTTAGGTTAGGATAATTTATTGTACACTGAAAGACATTAGAAATAGATTCAGGATTCAGTTTTGATATACAGTAGTGAATTATTAGCTGAAAATGAATCTGAGAACATTTACTGTTGGCGACCCAAACTGAACAGATGTGTGTCTGTACCTGTACAGTAGTGATATAATAGATGGAACAAGTTTACAGGTTATGGCTGACAGGGAGGGCAGGGAACATGTGTACATAGGAGAGGTAATAAAAATAATTATAAAACTTGTAAATGGTGAAGGTATTATTGAAAGAACTGGAGCAAAATAGGGAATTATTAAAGGAAGAGCAGTATGGATTCAGAAAAGCATGAGGAAGTGGGATTCAAATGTTTATATTAAAAACATGAGTGATATCTTTCAGAAGGGTTAGAATTTGTTTTATAACATTTAAGTACAGTAAGGCATCACCAGTTCACACCTTCCAGGGACTGACAGTGAAGTGAAGATGAAACTGTATGGACTAACAGGCATTATAACGCTGTCAGATAGGACCAGGGGCCAGGAACTCAAAACATCAGCTGTGTACAAGACTTGTATGATCGACCCAGGAAGCACAAACATAAATTTTCACATCCTTAAAGCACTTCATTTTATGGCTGAGGGACAACTGATCCTGATAGCCCATATTAAACACATAATATAAGGTTGGAGTATTAGCTGAAATATTGTACTGTGTAATTTTTGCTCATCATTCAAAAAGCTTCTGAAATGTTGAAGGTTGTGTCTTCAGTATTGTGTCTACAGTACAGTGTATATATAAACAAGAGTATATAACACTTCACTACATACTACATCCATTTCATACCTGATAAACAACCTCATTGATCATGTTATTTCACTTTAATCCTTATTCTTAATTGTATGGTACAGTATAAAGTTTGTTTGTCATATTATGCTGCTTTAAGTTTTGTTATTTAATTTTAATTTGTGATATAATGGGAATTTTTTTTTTATTATATTCAGTAACAATAATTTTTTATGCAGAAATTATTGGATCTTCTTCTGCATCATATGGAGACTTTTGGAGATAACTTGCATGAAAAGGCATTCCAAGAGATAAGACAACAGCAAATGAAATCCTATCATAATGCTATCCTCAAACCTGGCATTGTACGCAAGTAAGTTATATATGTAGAACCTAACCATCTACAGATGTCAGATGGTGTGCAGTTTCAAATTTGATTCTGTTTTGAATATTTATAGGTTGAGCAAATCTATTAATATGAATTCAATGGTGTAACTGCACATAAATTTTTTCAAGCTTATGCACAGGATGGCTGTCATAATGTAGAGTCTGTCATTTAAAGCTCTATGGTATGGTAATATGAAGTCAGTCAGTTGGTCAAGGATGATATATTAACCCAAAGGCTTAACGAGTTAGATATTGCCAGCCATTTTGTCACCCATCACCCCCCCCTCCCCAAAATCAGTTGCACCCAGGAACAGGAGGTCTGAACATTCAGCACACTTTGCACTGAAATCTTTGCACCACTAATCAGCAAGACTCTGTCAACCAATAAGCATTTAATTTACTGTCAATATGGCCATTTTTCCACACAGTCCCACGCAGTCCATGTTTATCTACATAACTTTGTGTTGCTGTTTCACATTTCTTTACATAAATTTCCATTTCCTGCATTAATGGTGAGTTATTCTGATAATGATATACAGCCTATTGTCTGAGGTTACTCTCATTAGAGATGGAAACATTTGGAATTGTGAAAAAAGATGAAGAAAAAAAATCATAATGGATCTGTTTGTTTATTGTTTTTATTTTTCACAGAATTTTGCACACAAATTTTAAAGATGATTATTTTTCTCCTAATCATGCCTATAGTTAATTTCACATTTTGGCCAAACACCGAAGGAAGTAGTTTGGATCCATTTCTCCTTCCTTGTAACCAACCTGGGTGAGGTGTGTACCACCTGATGTGGCATCAAGTGCTCACTGGGTATCCTCCCTCTAGTTTACTACAGGAAAAATCTTAGCTTTTACTCCTCCTTTCTGTGCAGTGGCTTCAGTAGGTAAAGACACACTGATCATAAGATTAGTAAAAGACATCATCATCAAGTCTCCTAGGTAGGTCTGGACTAGTGGGTGCATAAAATGAGTTACCTGGTTCCAGGTTTGGCCATAGAATGGGATTTCAGGATCTATCAGTAATTCTTTCTCTGTCCGTTAAATGAATACAGTATTTGCATTACAGATACAGTACATAAATAAAGGTCAGCTCTGTATTTTTTTTTCAGGGATGTTCGCTTGTCCATCATACAACAGGTGCACTGGACGGCTCACCAAAAATTGGCGGAGGTTAAGAATGTAACAAGTAAGGACCTGCTTGAGGAATTTGTAGCCAGGCTGTTTCCTTCTTGCCATGTGCAGATGCTTGTACAGGTGAGCTCAAGTCTTCTGAAATATTGTTGACCTTTTTTTTTATAACCTTCGTGTCTTTTTGTGAAGGAATAGAATCAGTCATTTATGGAGGAAGCAAAAAATGTGCACTAAGTATATTGTCAATGTGAGAGTAGTGATAAATAATTACTGGAAGAATTACATGAGACCCCTGAATGTGACCAAGAATTGTTGTGCAAGATTGAATCATATTAAATCAATCACTGTATTTCATTGGACAATATAGAGTATGGGACTGCAGCCCCAAAACATACAATTTATTATAACTCACCTTGAGGCTAAACAACTGCTTCTTTGACTGAAGTTGTTCAGCCTCAGGGTGAGTGATGGAGCAGTAAGACACTAGGTATTTTGAATCATATATGGGACTGTTCGCTTATTTTACCACAGTACTACATATCCTTGATCAACAGCATCATTATATTATTATACCTTTTTCACTCTTACTCTCATAAATACTGCTGATATTTCTCCTTTCACTTGTCATCATCATATATTATATATACAGTACAATATTTACATTAGAAATAAATTATCCTTTATTTTGTACGAGAGTGATGAAGCTCATCTTCCATGTCTCATTTTCTCATTGTTACTTTTCATTACAGGGTAACACCACTGCCTCTCAAGCCTTAGACATGTATAGTATGGTGAAGGCCACGAAGGAGAAACACTTGGTGATAGAAAAGTGTCCACTTCCTGAGGTGAGCAGATAATAATAATTATATAAAATTCTTATTTATTTTAGTATTAATTCAGACAGTACATGACAGGTTGTGGGCAACAATATAGTAATATGAAATTGTGATTCAAGTTTCAAGCTTATGATGCATTATTTCCTTCCAGCTACGCACGTTAGAGCTCCAGAGTGGTTGCTGGGTAGCTCGAGTGAATGGAGTAAACTCTGCAGACACCAACAGCTCAGTAGTCAATTACTACCAGTATAAAGAGGGCAGCCTGATGTTGGAAGTTATCTTGGAGTTTATTCAAGTGAGCACCAGAGGAGGGGGGAGGGATTATATAATGAGAAACTTTTTGTTTTGACATCTTAATTCAGTGATCATTGTGACTGACCACAATTGACAAATATCAGTCTTGTCACTTTGTAAGAGAAACCTTATTTTTTAGTTTCAAGCCTGTTCACTCTTGCTCAGGTTAGATTGAATTAAAAGTGTATACATACTCTCTTTATTTGCTATAATTCATTCTTCCTATTGAGGGCATGTTTCACTGCCATACAACATCACATTTCTCACACTGGTTGCATACATATTTCCATTCACATGGAGGGAAGGTCCTCATGTTGTCAACAAAGACTTCAGCTCCCTAGACTTCCTCAAGCCACTTCTGACCCTTGTAAATGAGCTAGTTTCAATACCACCTCCAGCAATGATCTTGTCACCTAATATTTATTGACGCAGTCCAGTAGGGTCTCAGAGTATGTGAGGGTTACATTCCTGGGATCCCTGTGTAAGTACCTATAAATTCATGTATATTCAGGTCCTCCTTCTGTGAGGCACTTTTTTTTTTTTTTTTTTTGCACACCAGAGGGAAATGGCTCTTGCTAATTCAGTCAGCCCAGAGCCTCAATGATATGAGATTAATGATGGTTCATTGTGCTTAAAAATGCAGATACAGTAGTTGTTTGGAGGTGGCAAGCTCAGTCATTGTTTACCATAGATTATATTTCTCATATTAATTATTTCTTCTGCAGATGGTGATGGATGAACCAGTTTTTGATGTTCTGAGGACAAGGGAGCAGCTGGGTTATCATGTTTTCTGCACAAATCACAATACTTTTGGGATTCTTGGGCTGTCTATAACAGTAAACACCCAGGCTAATAAATTCAGGTTAGTTTTCATATCAGAAGTGTATGGGTGGGTAGGTCGGTTTATCCAAAAATTAGTAATACTCTTCATCGGAAAGTTTTGGATTTGTAGATTTGAAATGTGGTAACTGGCAGGTATCATTATCAATCAGATGGGAATTTGCTTTTTTGGGTTACAGGGTCAAAGGTCATGGCCTGTTAAGCCATTTATAAATTGTACAGCTTTTGTTGCCAGATGGCAAAGACTGTACAGGTATAACATAAAAGAATATTTGTGTATTTACCCAGAGAAAAGAAATGTAATGATTATGGATAGTTTGTGCTGTATATTGTTTTATGTACTTTTGTATATAATGTAATGTAAACATTCTTTTCAGTAAATAATATCCTTTCATTGTCTCCTCTGGTACAGTGTGTCCCATGTTGATGAGAGGATTGAGGCCTTCCTGGAGGAATTTATGACAACTGTGAAAAACATGAAAGATGACGAACTATCAGAACTGCAGGAAACGCTCACCAGTATGAAGCAGACCATTGACTTAACACTGAGAGAGGAAGTGGACAGGAACTGGAGTGAAATTGTACATGCAGAATATGTTTTTGACAGATTAAAGAGACAGGTATGTTAGATGATATCATTTAAGTCATGTCTTTTGGGTCTTCTTATTTGTGCCTGCAATTTTGTTGCCATATAATGGCATGTTAATGTCTGTTAGATGTCAGTTATTTCCATATATAATTTATTTGGTTCATTTGACAAATTAATTGATTTTCTACTTGATATTGGTCATGGTAGTAGAAGAGGGTTCACTCTTTATATTGATGTCTTGAAAGCAAAAATAATTTAGTTGTGGAGGAAGCATTCCACATTATCCCTTGTCTGTAAGTGGTCTGGTTCACCCTCATTCAGTGCCACATTATATGTTATACAGTATGTGTGACATATTTAAATAGTCTTATGTCTTGTGGTGAAACATAACACGCTTAAGTGGTCCATGAAAATGAATTCTCTTCTAGATTGAGTTGATCAAAAACATCACACATGAGTCTGTGATAAATTGTGTAAGGAAGATTACATCAAGTGATGACAACACAGGCTACAAAAAGCTGAGTGTGCAGGTTGCTGGTGCTGCAAAGCCTGAGGGAAGATCCCCACCATCTTTGGAGAGCCTCATGGGTTAGTACAGTACATACTTACATTTACCAAAATTACAAGATATTTCTGTACTTTGGTATTTCAATTAATATTAAATATCAGATTTCTGTACCCTAACTACTGACTTAATTTTATATTGATATTAATATTGTATATCTTTGGTGAGAGATGTAGTCAGCTTTGTTGTCATTTGTGAAAATAATTTATATTTTATTTATTGAAGGAAAGTGTTTTTGTATTTGTTTTTCATTTTACTTCTCTGTTGTATTTTATTCTCCACAATATTTCATTAGGTGCACATATTTAAAGTTTGTAAATTTAAAAGTAATAAGAAAATGCTGCATATATCCATATTTTTTATAAAGCATGAAAATAATTTCATTACAAATGAAACATATTTGTTCAGCTTAACTTTTTTATTTCACAAGGAAACTTCTTTCCAGGAAACACTGGCATTGTACAGTTGTTAGAGCCAAATGGAGAATCTGACAGAAAATTGCCCGTAGAACGGTTCATCACAGACATCGGTAATCACAAAAAGCAGCTGAGGCTGTATCCAGTTACAAAGATTATATAACTGTTATATCAGGGAAGCCCACAGTAAGTTTATAGTGGATGGGATTTGCAAGTTCTGTGAATTTTTAACTAATGCAGAAGGTTGGACAACTCAGCTACTGCATCAACAAGCTTGTAGAATCATCCCCAGTTTTCAGGAACCCTTCACTTCTATATCTTCGACTACCATACATTCTTGAAAACCAGTAAAATAATTACAGAACTAAGAGATATTCTATTACAAATCAACTGGAGCTCCTAAAAGATGGGAGTATTGCTGATGAGTCAGTTACCAGAGGCCAAGAACTAGGAGTGTCACTGTCACATACTTGTTAGCACTTGAGTTGCCCCCCATCCAAGCATGATTATACTGCACAGTACTGTGTTATGAAGGGGGATATTCAGAATAAATTCTTAAGTTTTTGGATTAGGGGCAAGGGGTTAGGTGAATAGAAAATGGTGAATTTTTCCAAAGGATTGATAATATTTATGGCTTACTGAACTCAGAAACTAAATTTGTGAATATATAATACATGGAATATGTTTTGTTACTGCAGTAAGTATTCACATGACTGGACTGAAATATGCAAATCCAGTTTTACAGATACTTAATAAAAAATCAATAAAAAACCCTTATTGCTGGCAGTCATTATTGTTTAACAGTGCTGTACTGTACTGTACTGTTTTATAATAATTAATTTGTTACCAAGGTTCGACTTTTATATGCTTGGATTTACTGGGAATTCAGATGCAATTAACCAGGTTTTAGCCCAAATAAGTCTGATAAAGTGAAGTCTTACTGTAGCTGTATTATATACAAGTACTGTATAAAGATGACAAACTATACTGTTGAATTGTATCTTCAAATGTTAAACTGTTGTTGATTTTTTAAATTTTGTTTAACAGACTTGTAACATAGCACTTGATGTAGACAAAAAAAAATTAAAATAAGTTACCGGGTTTATTACCAATGTTTATATGTGATCTCTCTGTTAAGGTATAGTTGCAGACAAAATTCCCTGGACACTTTGCAGTAGCTGATATGTAAGTACAGTACAGTACTTGAGGATCATGAGGTGAAGGGGATTGGAATTATAATAAAGTTCTCATATTTTTCTTTGTTTTAAGAAGTGTTTTTCCCATTTTGTGGTTCTGTCATAGTACAATATGTGTTGAAGAGCATTGTTATTAGATATACTGTACTGTACATGAAACCAATCACATATATTTATATATATGACCCACAAGTATGCCAAATGTTCAGGGAATTGTCCACAACTGTACAACAATTTTAATAATTAATTTAATTTAATTTGTCTTTATCTGAATTGCCCTTTGGTGTAATTTTGTGGAATCTAGGGGTTATAAATACTTAAAACAAATCAAACATGTCCCTAAATCCAGGAGTTTTCAAGGAGTTTAACCCTATATCCTCGACATACGTATACAGGGTATCCTGTAGTACTAAAAACACGCTGATGAATGACTCCAGAGTGGTTGTTGATAGCAGTGGTGGTCAGGAGAGTGTGTGGCCTGTATGGCGACTCAGAGCGAACTGACTGTCCTTGGTCCAGACACACACAAAATGACTTGACAATGCAGGTGGTTCTTTATTATTAATATTATTATCATTATTATTTTATTTTTTATTATTGATTTTATTTACAATGAATTATTATTATTACTATTACATTTTCTCCCCCCAGGCCCCGATGTGGGTCAGTGACCTGTGCCCGGGTGGGCTAATCCCCGTAAAAAAAAACAAAAAAACATATGAATTCCCATTAATTACAGATACTGTATCCTGATTGCACATGATAAATACAAAATTTCATGCACAATATATTGATGAGAGAAGTGGAACAACACTATTAACCAAAGTTAAATAGTAATACAGTATATACAACAAAAGAAGTTTATTATACAATATGCATAAATATTTATAGAACATTGCAATTAAATCAGCTGAGATACAAAAGCCATTTTATTAGTGTTGAAAAGGTGAAAAGAAAAATTGGAAAATATTTTTTAAATTTTTTTCTTTATTAACAAAATGTAAACTGTACTACAAAAAAAAACTAAATACGTTCAGATACCCACACGGCTGCTTTACAACCCGTCTTTATCACAGTACTGAGAGCAGTGTATGCTGGTGCTAACTCCGCATCATGTAGAAGACCTGTGTCGTGGTGGTCCATTTCGTCGTCTCGGAATTTTTTTATAGTTTCAATCAGTTCCTTATTTTCTTCTTCTCCCAATGATATTAGTTCACGTAGCTGTGAGTTGTAATGATCTGTGATGACTGACTCAACTGCCACAGTACAAGCCATTGCTGCTTCCTTCCCCATCAATGCAGTTCCTGAAATATAGTGGTCACTATAATTTGCCTACAATAAATGAGTTTCTATAATCAATTCTACTGATCATTTGGCTATTCCTTTAATAGTAAAAGGATGCGATATAAAAAAAATTCATAAATGCAATTTTCATTGTCAATGTTTTACCTGCACCGAGGACAAAACCAGCTACATTCCAGATGGGGACGAGAACAGTGGGTCGCACTCTATATTTGGGTATCAACTCTTCAAATTTGGCTTTATGCTCCTTTTCCTGGTCCCACATGTGCTGGATAACTGGCCCTACACTAGATTTACCTGCAAGAAAGAAAAGGAAGTGTTCATGTAGACCTTTTCTTGCATTCACATCAGCGGCATGGATAAGCATCCTCAGATAATGTATATGATCTCCCTCACCCTCATTACTTAAATGTATGTAGAGGTGTACAGTAGTGAAATAAAGTAACTATACTTGCCAGTAAGTACTTGTTAAAAATTTTCAGAATCAACTTAATAGAAATTATATTTACTGTATTTGAAAATCCTTTGACTTTAATTAATGTACATTTTTTTAATTTATTTTTTTACTGAAACTTCAGTACATTTTTACCAAAAAAATTTAAGTAAAAGGTATTTTTAGGTACTTAAGTGTTACCACGGTGGCTTCTAGGATATTGATCATGTCAGGGACACTTGTCACTCAGGTCATCATTAAAGAAACAAACACAGTCTTGCAGACATCCCCTGGGCCCTGATACAGTTTGGCCGAGGAAGTTGCTCCCGTTTTGGGAGACATAATACAGTACAGGTATAGTGAACTTACTTCATTGATAGACATCAGATCATAAGGTAAGGCACAGTAGAATTAAACTAATTTTGTAAAAAGCATTATACCTTCCATTATGATGTTGTTCAGAGATGTATTCTAACACTTTAAACAACTTGGTTCCAAAATATTGTATCTAAATTATAATTCAGTAGTCATTCAATACAAAGCGCTGGGAATTTAATACTGTACGGCACATTAACTCATCTAGGGTTGTGTGAAATTTGTTGGTGAAAATTTATTACTGTATTTTACAATACAGTACTGTTTTATTAAGTTGGCACCAAATGAGCTTAAATATGGGAATTACTGTCGTAGGGAGCTCCCAGGACCGGAAGGGGGAATTTTCTGTTCAGTTCAACCAACAACCAACCTTTCCTACTCTTATATTTTTTGTATTTCTAAGCCACATTAGAGAATTACAGTATAGTACAGTATTTGAGGAAAGGTTCGGTTTACAGTAAACACCCAGAGTACTGGACACCTGAGTAACGACACAAAAAAATATCTTGGTATCTGGAGGGACATTGTTAGTGTTGTGGAGTGACATGAGGTCCCGTCGGTCCAGCCCGTATCACAACAATTCAGAATAACAAAGGATTGGAACCTATTCCCTTTTACTCATTAAATCAACCTATAATTCGACCCTAGCTTTTGAGAAATACCCGGTAGTAGGTATAATCCTCGACATAATTTGTAGCAAGACACCAAAGTCACACCAATGCATCTTGGCCATGACCCTGTTGTTGTTATAATATTACTGTGCTTCAATAAGGTCTTCAAGCGTGTAACAAGGTTAGTAATATACTGTACTAGTCCACAACAACTGTAGCTGAATTCCCTCCAGTTTCCAACTTCTGTGAGAAATAAGATATACAGTACCAGTACAACATAACCTAAATGAACAAACATATACAGGGACGTTTATCTTCAGATAGTAATAGAACATCGTGTGATAAGAGAAGTTACTTGCGGTCATCGTCCAGTCTTGGAAGAAATTAATCCTCATATGATAAAGATAAAATGTGTGGCATAATGACATGGGATCATTTGGAACATAAAGCAACATTTATGTAGCACCACTCCTGAATTTGGGGAAAAGAATAGTGGAGTCACCAGAGATACTTACCTAACACTGCCATTTGTCCGGCATAAATACGGTCAGCTCCCAATTCCCCAGCATGATCTACACGTATAATGCGATCAATTAGTTCCTTATTCTGTGCTGATTTTGTACTGTATAGACGTAAGCCATGAAATAATGGTGGGCGATACATAGCTGATGTTTTTTCTGAAAGAGAGAGACAGTACCATACTGTATTATAGTGTAGAGGGTTTGTCATCACAACTAATAAAACACACAACAGTACAGTACTAACTTAATAGCACTTACTAATCCTATTGTGATTTTGGTCTCTGAACCTCGTACTATTTAAGGAATAAACAAAATCCTAGTAGCTGAAAACTGTCAAGGGAGTTTTTTTTATAATTCTTATAACTACTTAATTCTTACTTAGCACAGTAAGGTTCTGCTGAATTCTGTTAAATGAGTATAGTGTTTAAGGAGTGGATGTTCAATGAACAAACTTCTACTCAATGAACAAAATGACCAGTGAACTAACTCACATTACCATTCATTGAGTGGATTGAGTCATGCTTTGTCACTGGTAGAGAGGATAGCCTGGTTAGTAATTGCTTAGTCTTGTTTTTTTTTATACTGTACTCTTAAGGTGAAGTCAGTGGCACGCTTACAGTCTAGCTAGCCATAAGCCGAAACAACATTGAACCAGGCCAGTATCACCTGTGCAATTGTGCTCTTCATAATTATCTTTTGTCATTCAGAAAGAAATGTGGATCCTGAACAGGTATGCTGCTCCTAAAGTGTCTCAAAACAAACACAAAAGTGATGGTAGTGAGCGCAGGGGTGCAAAAAGAAAACATAATGGTACCCATGGTCTGCACCTTTAATGCCACATCCAAACATGGTTCACAGATCAGCTGCTCCCAGTAATACTGTGCTGTGTTGTGCTATACACTTTCTTAGAAATGTCACAGAACCCAGAGTTCTAAATTATATTACTTTAGAGGAGATAGATTCAGGTATTTGCAAGTACAGGTACTACTGTATACTGTACACAAATAACAGTATTACAGTTGAGAACTATTGTCTGTCTATATGAATAAATAATCACCTCAAATATATGTTACATACAGTATGTAATTCCTACATACAGTACAATATAGTGCTGTAATCTGTTCTTGTGTTTTCCTTACTTTAACCCCAAACTTTTCCTATATTTTCATTGCTATGACACATTAACTACAGTATACCAATGCTGGGATGGAAAAGTTCTGAAATTATTTTCTACAAGAATGGATCAACTTCAAGCTAACTATTATACAACTTATAAATAAATTTTTATCTCTAAAACTGGATTGGAACTGTTCTGCGTTACATCCTTTACATTTCAAATAAATAAAAATAAATAAATAAAACTCCTTCGTCCTTGATAAACCCCATAAAAAATATGATTGTGTGTGTGTTCATGAAACACTATACAGGGTACAATATAACAAGTTGATAAGATAACGCCTTCCATATTACAGGATTACTCTAGTCTTATTACAAGGTCAATGTGATCCCTGGTAATGTTGATAAATAACTAATTCGCCCTAGTGTCCAATGATATTCAAATTATCGTTATATCTATATAAAAACAAAAAAATCGTTTTCCTTAATTAGATAAAGCTGATTAAGCACCTGGACGAGTGGGAAGTTTCCTGCCTTATCACGTCACCAACACCCCAGCCAAAACTATTTTCTTTTTTCTTTCATACATCCCGTTGACTCATGTTATCCATTAGTTATAAGGTTAAGTAAATATTTATAATACTCTATGAAAGTGAAAGAGCTGTTTATATTAATACCTGGTGTAGAATATGGTCATAGAACTTACTGATAGAGACAGGTGAAGGTTTAGTCTGCTGTAATGTTGTGATATAAGTTGCCTCACATACACAAGGACTAAATACAACTAAACATTACGGAACTATCGACCTTACGTAACATCTTTCTCTTCTCACATTCTTTCACATAAGATGACCCTTACTACTAATACATACATATATAAGTTTTTAGACAAGGTTAAGAGTAAAATTTTCAGTAGATTGACCTCGTAATATGTAGAATAACCTAGAAATTGGTCTTAAATAAGGTTAGGGGAAGTAAAGTGTGGTTTAATAGATGGCGCTGGTGACTAGTGTTCAAAATCACTGTGTTAGCTGTATACGGTGTCCTGTCCTCCTCTCTCGCCGTCTACTTTGTCTTTTTAACACTTTTCCGGTGAGTTTTGAGCCTTTTCCCCCTCTGAATAGGCCAGTTGAGGGGTAGCAGAGCGTAGATTAGTCCCGAGGAGGATGGTATAGCCAGTGTTTGTGTTCCCGCCGCAAATATCTTCTGCTAAGCTTTGTTCTGCGCAGACTCAATATGGCAGGGGGTCGAGGGAGGGCTGCAAGCCATGGAGAAAATCAATATTTTTCCCTCTTGCCACAAACAATTCACCGAGAAATTTAACAGTGCCGTTCCCTGGCTCCTGGTGCTCTACCTGGATTCACGAGGATTACTTATTACCTGGAAATAAACTAGTGAGGTGAGAGAAAACACAAAGCTGACAAGAGGAGTGACTGTGAACCAAAATTGAGTGCAGGACGCAGGTAATATGTGCGTACGCAGCCGAGGGAGGACTGTGTCCAAAATTTGCTCATTTGGGCCTGCTCAGTCCCGTACCCCCGCCCATCTTGCGCCAAATGTCACTGAATGGACCTCTTGGCATGCCATCTCGGCGCACATAGTCATGAACAAGGCATACACAAGCCCAGTTGATAAATTAAGCGAGAGAATGGCTCGAGACGGAAGCTAAAGTCATGTAACGAGAGATACTCTGTATAGCGAAGATTTATAACATTTCATATCTATCATGTTTACTCCAGTGCTTGTAGAAATGTTCAGCTGGGTAGACATGAACTTAAATAAAGCTCTCAAAATTATCATTGGCATATGTTCATTTCGTTATGTCCAGGAAATGCCTTTCTCTGTCGCCCTTGCACTCGGGTAGGAAGGAGGGGAGGCATCACTGGGCTATTTTGAGGATGGTTAAAATTACCCCCCACTCGGACTGAAGCCCTTTTAAATTTGTTTATATTATGATAGGGGACCTCCCTCCTGCCTCACACTATTTAGGTATATACAGTATAGTCTTAACTTACCTTTGCACATAAGTCATTTTGCATGTGATGTATCTGCATGATTTTAGGAAGTGCGGTCTGTGATTCACACTAATATAATTTGTGGGTGCCAGAGGAATTTACACATGAATTAATACAGTATGTTAAGTCAAAAGTATTGTATTACAAACATTGTACCTGTCAAAAGAGCACTTAGTTTTAGTCGTGGTTTATTATCTATGAACAGTGATCTTTTATATTATACAGTAGCATATGTTTAACAAAATTAGCTTTTTTGTAATCATTTATATTTTAATCAAGAATAAGAAACTCGTTTTATTGCAGAGTTTTCCATCATTATCATTCACCTACATGAGAATATATATATTTTTTTTTTTTGCAAGGTGTAACTAAATCATCTTACTGAGTTGAATAATGTGGATAAAAATTTTTTTTTATTAATATCAAAATATATGGAGTGAGGAAAGGTTCAGAGGGTTGGCAATGATATTGATTAGATACATTGATTTCTCAAGTTGGGGTTGAGATTGAGTCTGCACTCCCATATTCCTCTGTGGTCACTGAAGCAAATGGCTCAAAGTCCATGATATGTATTTCATTATTTAGAGGTAAATTTCAGTCTCATTCATTTGCAATTGAACTGACAATAGTTTTCACTTGTTGATTTTTTATATAAAAACTGCAGGAGCTACCTAAATTCTTTTATATAGAGGTGATAATACAATTTAAAAGTACAGTATTGTAGGTACAGTACTATAGTGTATATAAAGGTTGGTAGGCCTATACAGTATGGATTTGATGTAATTTCTTAAAATAATTATGATTTAAAGTCTTAAAAGATGGAGTTGGATGTTAAATGAATTGTTATTTGCTAATTAATATAAGCCAATTGAGATTATTATCTTGACCTAAGTGTTTTCTTAAGAACCATTTTTAATGTCACTTGGCATTTTAAACTAATATAAATACTGTACATTGGAAATGATGGTTATGAATAAAATAGTCTGGGGGAAGTGGGAGTGACTGTGTGGGTGTTGTGTGTGTACATGTATGTTGGCAGGGTTTATATCCAGGGTGGAATCTGATGTAAATTGTGGCAAAAATGTTTTAAAGGCAAAGTATCACAAGGGTGAGACCATTAATTTCAGTATTCAGTATTTTTGACCGAAGATTTGCATGTTCAACTGAGGTACCGTATATATTATGTAGTACAGTACAGGTACCAGTATACAGCACTGTAATTTCTCTTTGTATACAAAGGGACCAATCCTAGAGGTCAAGGACATGAGTAATCCTCAGTTATATAAGACTGAAAGTAAGGCTCCCATAGACAAGTCAGAGAACACCATTGACCTATTCTAAAGACTTTAAAAAATAGAATTTCAGGACTTCAGTGTGGAACTGATGTATTTGCCTTTTTTTGTAGCTAGTACAGTAGTATGAAACCTCTCAGAAGTGATTAAACATTCCTTGAAGTTACAAGTCATCTCATTACAGACTTTTAAGTTGTCTGGAATGTCACAACTTCTATTATAGCAATTTGTTTATGTAGATCATGGGTTTATCAGTGTATCAGCCAGCTCTATGAATACCAGTTTAATTGACTTACACAGAAAAAACTTTTTAATAATAATTAATGGTTTATTGAAAGAGCATGGCAGCCGGAAGGCTGAAAATATAGTTACATAATTGGGGAATGGGTCACTTGATTGACAAATAATATACAAGTAACATAAGTGATACAAATATGATATATAAATAACTAGGTGGGGAGAAGGTTATACTACATGGCATTTCAACATAGTAACAGTGCAAAAAGGTAAGATTGGTTAGGAGTGAACTCATTGGTTGATTACGAGTTGTTGATAATTTTTAAAATGGTTGGGACTGGGCTGTTCTTATAGCGAGCAGTACGAGCTCGTATGGGCTGGATGCGGCTGTGGTATCAAACAGCAATTCGCACATGGGGGATCTCGGGTGGAAGCAGGAGCTGGTGTCAAGGATGATGCAGAAGCTTCTCCCCAAATTAGCAGAGGAGGTCCTGGTGGTTATTCAGAGAGAACTGAGAGGGTCAGTGTGTTGAGCGCTTTTTGATATGTAGAGTAAGAGGTGGAGAGAATAATTTTGCATGCCCTTTTTCTGCACTTTTTGTAGGTGTTTAGGTTGTGTGGCATTTAGGGAGGAACACCAGACAGGGAAGACATAGGTGAGCCTGGGAAGTATGAATATTGAGTAAGCACTGAGGAGTTCGGGCGCGGGAACTGAGGGATTTGAGTCGGCGGAGGAGGTGGAGATGAAAACTGGAGAATTTGACAATTGTACTGACGTGTGTTTTCCAATTTAGTTTGTTATCTATAGTGACGCCGAGGAGCTTGGTGGAGTCCACGACCTGAAGAGTGTTGGGACCCAAAGTAATGGAGGTGCGTGTACAGGTATCATGGATGTGTTTGTGTCAGGTTTACAGAGGTTTACCTGGGATGGTAGTTTATTATTATTTTATGTTATTCGGTTCATGTGAGCAAATGACAGACAGTTCATATGGAGGGAAGTTGGATATGTCAGTATACATTGCTTTTGTCATTTGTCACACAAAACAAGGCGTCCGGTACCAGCAACGTCCCTTCTACACACTTATAGCCTGCTGTGATACTTGGCATTACATGTCTATCAAGTAATTACAAAAATTGCTTTGAGCTAAACTTGTACCTTAAGGTGAAAGAACATTCAGAGAAAGTTCATTAATGTAGTGAACACATGTTCAGTATACTGTAACTATATACCTGTATAGTAGTGGGGTCCCCCAGGAAAGCCATGACAACCTCAGTAAATTGATATTTAGTCACTACTTCATTATTTTATTACAATGTTATTTTACCCTATAATTAGAGTTAAACACACACCAGTCCTTTTAATTGTTATATTATTTGTAATGGAAAATAGTATAGAAAGCATAGAAGTGATTAGGTGTGCATGCTTAATGTAGGACTACGCACACATATAGTACTTAATGATTTGGAACAAATAATCAAACACCCTACATGTGTTCCTGATCAACATGATCAACTTGCTAACATTCTTGATCTTTGTTTTACCTCTAACCCCTCACACTATTCATACTCAATTTCTGCCCCCTTAGGGGTCTTCTGATCACAATCTTATTTCTTTTGATCAAACTGGGCACGACCACCTCCCCCACCACTCTCTAAACGTCAACTATGGCACTATCAGAGGGCAAACTGGCAATTCATGCGAGAATTTTTCACCAATTGTCCTTGGGATGAATGTTGCTTTTCCACTCGGGACGCCTCAGTATGTGCTGACAATCATGGTTTGATTGCTCCCACTCTCTTGCATGCAGGGAGAGAGATAGGGCATATCAAGTTATGAAACTATCTCCTTCTCCTATTACCCACTCCTCTTTCATTACTTCTAGGAATCTTTGTAAGGCTATTCTTCATAGGGCCAAGTGGAATTTTATAAAAAGAAAGACCAATGTCCTGATTAATTCTTCCTCTAGTAAATCCTTCTGGTACTTAGCCAAAAAAAAACTGTAATAACTTCTGCACTCCCTCTTTTCCTCCTCTCTTCTGACCTGATAACGCTATAGCCAACTCTCCCCCTGACAAAGCCAATCTCTTCGGCACCTTATTCTCCTCTAACTCCACCTTAGACGATTCCAACTCTATCCCTCCTACTGAACCTATGCACTTTCCTATAATATCCACTTGTAGGGTTGCTGGTATGTTATCCAGGTTGGATGTGAGTAAGGCACATGGACCGGACGGAATACCACCTCGTGTTCTGAGGGAGTGTGCTGAAGTTCTGGCCCCTGTGCTTGCTCGCCTCTTTCGTCTTTGCCTCAAAACCCAAACTTTTCCTTCTTCTTGGAAGCCCATCCCGAAGAAGGGTGACCATTCTAATCCCTCTAACTATCGCCCCATTGCCCTAACTTCTTCCCTCTCTAAGATTTTCAAAACTATCTTGAACTCCCATTTTCTCCGTCACCTTGAACGCCTTTCTCTTTTGTCGGATCACCAGTATGGCTTTTGCCAGGCAAGATCTACTGGTGATCTGCTCTCCTATTGCACCCATCTTTGGTCATCCTCTCTTAGGGATTATGGGGAAACTTTCATCGTGGCCCTCGACTTCTCCAAAGCATTTGACAGGGTATGGCACAAGTCTTTGCTTTCTAAACTTTCCTCATGGTTTCTCTCCCCCACTTTGTTCTCTAATCTCTAGCTTCCTTGCGAACTGATCCATGACAGTTGTTGTCGAGGGATCGATCTCTCGCTCTTTCTCTACCAATAGTGGTGTCCCACAGGGTTCTGCTCTTTCACCTACTCTCTTCCTTCTTTTTATCAATGATTTACTTCACACTCCAACTAATTCTATACATTCTTACACTGATGATTCTACTCTTCACTCTTCTTCACATTTTCCCCTTCCCCCTAACTCTCAAGCTAGATCTGCTTCAAGAGCTGATATCATTACATCTGTCAATGCAGATCTGTGCAGCATCTCTAAATGGGGAGGTAGAAACTTCGTTAAATTCAATAGTAATAAAACTCAGTATTTACCAATTACACTTTCCAAATTAGATGATCTCCCACCATCATATTTCAGGATGCTATCATTCTGCCAAATTCTAAAATAGATATGCTAGTCCTCACCATTTTCTCCAATATGTCATGGAAGCCACACATCCTCAACATTGCTAAAGCTGCCTCCCGAAAGCTGGGAATGCTGTACAGATGCTGTCGCTACTTCGCTCTTGAGCAGTTGCTTCAAGTATATAAGGGATTCATTCGTCCTAATTTGGAGTAATGCTCTCATATCTGGGGTGGCTCTTTTTCTGTCCAACTGTTAGATAGGGTGGAATCAAAGGCATTTCGTCTTATTAACTCTCCTCCTTTAGTCGACAATCTTTCTTTCCTTTCTCTCCACCACAATGTTGCTTCACTCTCTCTCTTTTACAGGCACTTTAACGGGCAATGTTCGGTGGATTTGGCATTCTGTGTACCGCCGGCAAGGCCCTGGGCTCGTAACACACGTCTTGCCCGCGGTGCCCACCATTTCTTTGGATGTCGGTCACACTAGAATAACCCGTTATAGTGCATCCTTCTTTCTTCACACAGCCAAACTGTGGAATGCTCTGCCTTCTTCTGTGTTTCCACACTCATACAATATGTCTCACTTCAAAAAGTTGGTTTTCCGGCATCTTCGTGGTGTAGATTAATATAACCTTTTCCTTTTCTATTTTTAATTTCTTTTTGTTCTTATTTTTTTTGCCCCCTAGGCCCCGTTGTGGGTAGATGACCTGTGCCCGGGTGGGCTATTCCCCGTAAAAAACAAAACAAATAAAATAATTAAATAAAAAAAAAAAATTATCACCTATTCAGGAAGACCACACAAATACAACTCCATAACCTGACTACACACACACACACTTTGAAGAGAAATCCTTACATACATATACCTGTATATGTGTATGTGTGTGTATGTGTACATGTTTGTATTCGGCTAGTAGGATTGTGGAGATGGTGTGCCTTAGTAAGGCAACGTAATAGTACACATGTCTGCCTACCATAAGCCCTCACATTTAGCATTATATAACAATTAATGTGCATAGATATGGCTTAATTGAATATGTTTTGTTATTTGTTAAGAAATTGGATATTAAAAGCAAGAAAAATTGCTCATGGCTGCAACTTTGCCAGCTGCTATAGTCAGCTGTTTTTTTATGGCAATTCAACAATATAACAAGAGAAAGTCACTGGAAGTATGAGGAGGAAAAAGAAGAAAAAACACTACACTACACGCTATTGTGTTCAGTACAGTATTGTTTACCATACCTCGGGGCACTGTTGGCTGAGAAATTTGTAGTGGAAAGATGATTGTCTCCTCTCTCAACATTTAATCTTAAGACATTTGGGATTTTCAGGTACAGAAACTCCCCGATTTACACAGTGTAAGAACACTTTACATACTAGTCAGTTTTGAACATATATTTGTTGAATTTAAGGTTCCCATGCCCTTGCCAGATAGACTTATGTTTTCCGTGAGGTAGACACAGTTTGATACAATGGTTGTGACCACCTGCATTAACATTGACCTGGTTGGGTTAGGTTCTAGACATGGGTTGGTTTATTCTCTCTTGATTAATTTTCTGTGAGTATGGCCTTACTTAGAAGTTTAGGACTGGTTTGACCTTGGTTCTTCATATCTGTGAATAGGGGAAATAGGTTACCTTTAGCTGCTAGCATGGGAGCCTGCTACTGGCACCTTTCCTCCTGCTCTGCCCAACAGGGCTGGAAAGTAGCTCTTCCATGTGTTTGCTGTACCTTGTGACCTGTAAGGCTGTGAGATGGGAATCCTGGAAGTTGAGTAATGCCACAGGTGCACCATGCTGCTAGCAATATGCCTCTTTGGTCCCTTATTTGGTTAGATGGGAGGCTTGACTTCCAGTCCAGTCACATCATTTGGCTGGTCAATATGGCTGCATCAACAGTCCCTGATGACTTGCTGCTGGTACTGGGTACTTATAGCATTCCCTTGAGTCACCGACATGGGATGCCATATCTGATGGGTCTTTGGACCAAGACTTACCCTTCACCCACACCTTCCCTGATCTTTTGGCTTTGGTGTCTGAGAGCTGGTTGATGGCCTGTCACTGCCCCAACTCCTGGTTACCCCGGGACCTACTGGAGATGCTCTTCAGTCGCTACTTCCTGGGGAGCAAAGCTGATACCAATGAGGAGATGGCCTTGATGTATTTCTGGGAGCATGTAACTCGGCACAAATTTGGTGTTTGTTTTTACTGATGGCTCCAAATCTGCTGCTGGCATCTCATTTATAATGCTTCAGATGAGGCAGAATAATAAGAAAAAATAGCTAATTAATTGTAGAACTCTTGTTGAAGTCTTTGAACAAAAAATATTTGGAGAATAATGTCTTTGTTTCTTGAATTGCGATGATTGCTTCATTTTGCAGATAATACACTAGCAGTCACAAAGGGACAAACTGGAGGAAAACGTGACTTGTTCTTGACCGTTTACATAGTATATAGTAACCACACTGTGCTTGGCTGAAGTGGTTGTGCAAAAGCAAAACAAAATTATATGGAATAGGAATGTTTGGATAGTGTTTGTGTTTATTATGTATCCTTAATAATTTTTGTAGATTAAAATAGATCTTCATATAAGCTAACTTATATTTGTTCACTGAAAGCTTGCAACTATAAAGGCAGGGTGAGAAAACAGAATAGTGAAAGAGGAACCCACATAAACTACATTAGCTATAGCTCACAGAATACACCTGCCATGATGAACAGGCAGCCCACTTACATACACATCTTCAACACCTCATAGAGTAATATCCTTTCCTTTTGAGTACAGTACAGGACTGTACAGAGAATACCTGTATGTATATATATATATATATATATATATATATATATATATATATATATATATATATATATATATATATATATATATATATATATATATATATATATATATATATATATATATATATATATATATATATATATATGTGCTGATAACCACAAGGAAAGAAGAAAACACGAAGTTCCCAAGCGCTTTCGTGTAATTCACATCTTCAGGGGTGAGTACAGACTAAAGAGAAGTACAAAACAAGGTGTATATATACAACATAAATATAGTGTTAGGACAGGCCAGGAATCCAATGCTCTGTTTGTTCATTTGAGGGATAATACGCATTGCATTGACTGGGATAATGCCTCCTCAATATTACCTTGTAATTCAATTGATAGTAGGAACATCATAGAATCTAGTCTCATTAAACATACCAAAGCATTCAACATGAATTTGAGTAATGGCCTGTACAAACTGGACAGTTTTGTAATTAAGAAGATTTGTAATCAGGTGAGAAGGTTGGGTCACCTTACCCTCTGACCTGACTACCGACCATTGCGGTGCTATTTAAAGATTAGTAGGGTCATTACCTAATACCTGACCATTGTGGACCTGGTCTCACCCTCCTCTGTATATATACACCTTGTTTTGTACTTCTCTTTAGTCTGTACTCACCCCTGAAGATGTGAATTACACGAAAGTGCTTGGGAACTTCGTGTTTTCTTCTTTCCTTGTGGTTATTAGCATATACCTAGATCACGCGCACCTACAGTGATTTACTATATATATATATATATATATATATATATATATATATATATATATATATATATATATATATATATATATATATATATATATATATATATATATATATATATATATATATATATATATATATATATATATATATATATATATATATATATATATATATATATATATATATATATATATATATATATATATATATATATATATATATATATATATATATATATATATATATATATATATATATATATATATATAATGTAAGGTTGCTGTGCACTGTAACCAATTTCTGATAAATTACATGGTTATATTTGTTTTCAGCTGGTGATGAACAGTGTTGATGCATCAGCCTTGCGGGGATGGCGTGTGGCATTGGCAGGGGGACAGCAGGTGAATAGAATTATGATGACTTATGATGAATACTCGTGTTAAGGCTCAAATTTAAGTCTTCATAATGTATTTCATAATTCTATGGTGACTATGTTGGCTTACAGCTGGTGGTGAACAGCGTAGGGGCCTCAGGACTGGGTGGAATGACTGGCAATGGGGGTTCGGGTGACCCGCTGAGTGAGGATGGTGGGGGTGGGCATGGCGATAATGTAACAACGCACATAACAGGAACTAGTGATGACGACGACGATGATGTGCCGTCTTCACCCGGAAGTTTTGACGATGACGACGGTTCACTTCCCGGAGAAGACGACGTCACCGCCCAGTTAGCGGCGGCAGGTGGGTGGTCAGGTGAGACAAAGAAGACTATTTTTTGTTGATGGTGGAGGGAACCAATAGAAAACCATGACATCTGCATGAGAGAAGTTTATGCAGTTCCTTACTTTGGTCACACTAGTTATGATATACTGTACTAGTCAGCATAAAAACTTCATTTATAAGAATATTTTTTTCGTTTGTACACTTGAAGGTAACAAACAACAGTACTGTATCTGTATTTAACCAACTAACAGGCCTTTAATAAGGCTTGGAAATATCATGAATATATTTTTGACTCGTTGGTAAATTTTATTTGTGTAATGGACGTTTTGAAGAAGAAACAAAACCTTTATTGTGTTAGTATAGGCATTTTATTTTTGTGTGCTGCATTGCTGATTAGTGTGTGGAGACCTTTGAAAGGAACTTGGGTGAGTTGATTTCTCTCATGCACCTTCATGCAGAAGTTGGTGAAGGGAAGGGCAACATAAGGAAAATCAAGAGCTCTGCATGATACTGTTATTTTAACAGGTGTACTATTATTATTTAATTTTTATTGTGATTAACCTTGATTTGTTAATTTAGTTAACTTAGCTACTGGATGATGTGTTATTTTATTTTATGTTTACATTATTTACTTTTGTTTTCTTGAATGCATGTTTTTATTTATTTTTATTGTGGAGGGAAAATGGCACTTTCTTCACATATGCTTTTTATTTTGATGTTTATAATTTGATTTGCTTTGCAGTGTTTTTGATAGTGACTGTTTAGTTTGCATGGTTCAGTTGTCACTTAACTTGCTATACGATTTGAACTCTTCATTCTATTTATGTGATTATAATCTGTTATTTATTTATTTAGTTATCTTCCATTTCATTAAAAACCACTTAGAAGCTCAATGTCACTATGTCATCAAAGTCTCCAAGGACCATTGCCAAGAACTTGCCCATCTCCCGTTCCCTCCACCCAGGAGCGGACAGGGGTTTTATTTGTCTCTCTCTCCCTTGCATGGCACAGGGCCAGTTGGAGTTGCTGCAGCAGCTGCCATCGCATCTGCAAAAAAACGTAAACGACACCACAGTTTTGAACTCAACCCATCAATACGTAAAAGACAACAGACAAGGCTTTTAAGAAAGCTAAAGGTGAGTTTATGATGGTGGTGATAATCTTCAGGTAGGTTCAGTAGGTGTGTGATGGAAGTGCTCAGGTCACCAGCTACTCTAGTTCTGTGGGGGACACTTTTATCTCATGTGACTATCATGAGATAGTGTATGATGGGTAGCTTTCATCATGATGATGTCAGCTTGTCAGTAGTGACCAAATTGTCTTTTGCAGTCATAATAGAAGGTACTGTTCCAGATGACTGTGGAAGAGTGCGTACGTGAATACTTTCAAGGGTGACGCACTTGAACGTGAGAGCTACAGGGGCCTGTAGCTGGTAGTTCAGGATTGTGGAAAGAGGGATCGAGAAATTGATAATGGCGAGAGTGAACATCGAAATGTTTGAGTTCATGTCAGGCAGGGGTACAACAATGGCAATATTTATAGCCAGGCAACTATAAGAGAAATATATAGGGAAGGATAGAACATTGTACAGGTACTGTACTTTGTATTTGTAGACTTAGAGAAGGCATTTGACAAGGTACTATGTGGAGTAGTAAAGTGGGCAGTGAGAAAGCTGGAGGTTAAGGGGTGTCTTGTTTGAGTAGTTATGACACTAGTATATGAAAGCTCGGAAAACTGCCGAGAGTAAATGGTGAGTAATTTGAGGTGAAAATAAGGGTTGTTGAGGGGTACAGTACGGTCGCTGTATTTTAGGTACAGTGCAGAAGTCTAGCCTGAGACCAGGTGGAATAATTTCAGGACTTAAGAATGCTTCCAGTTTTGAATTTACTATGTGGAGGGAACATGGTGTTTCTCACCTTGAGGGTAGACTAAATAATATTCTCTTATGAGAGTTTATTGTTTAATCTTTAGTGTTCTTTAATTAGATCCATCAGGAGGTTCAGCTGGGTTGTTCAATTAGTGCAGTTGGATCAACAACCCACATCTGAGCCACTCCATCAGATAGCAGTGCTTTTAATTCACAAATCTCTTTTACCTTGGTTGTGGAATAAGATTTCTAAATTCATATCCTCAATTTTGGGATGAATAGTTATAGTGTAATTTGGTTTAGGAAAAGGTTGAAATTCATAAAAACTGTTGTTTTTTACTTAAATGTGAAAACATCTGCATTTACTAGTTGTGGACAAGAGAATGACCATCATTTGGGTAAATGAATAAGTCACTGTGTGTAAACATTGATGTTAACACTATATTGGTTACACTAATATCTTTTGTTCTTCTTCTTGACAATTTAACCGTGAAATGTATTTTTGATTTTATTTATAATTGTTTTTTATGGCGCAGGCTACAATAGACGAATATTCAACCAGAGTCGGGCAGCAAGCAGTGGTGGTGGTTGCTACACCCAGTAAAACAGGAAATAATTTCAAATGTTTTGGAGCAAAACCTCTTGAGGATGTGGTAAGTAATTACATAACTGTACATTACTAATCTCTAGTTTCTTACAACAGTGTATTTCATGATTAAACTCATTTTACCTCTAATAATTATTAGGCGGTTGTACACATATTTCTGCCAAGACATTTGCAGCGCACCATCCTATTCTCCCAGAGGTCTTAACAGTTTTCTGGACTGAGGAATGAAAATTGCTTAAACTCTCAATTTTGCACACATTAATTTATTTATGAATATTTAACCTTTCCAGGGGTCAGCCTTAAATAAAGACAAGGGTTTAATGTACTGTTATTCTCTGTTTTCTATGTTAATATTCTCCGTCATATTTGACAAGGACAGTACATACATCAAATAAATAACGGCTCATTCACGTCTGTCTTGTATACTCATCAAGTCATGCAGAGACCTGCTGGAACGTTACTTGCTAAAGTTAATAAATTTTGTTGTTATATTGTCTTTTTTCTGTGCAATTCTCTTCAATAAGCTTTTACCTATTTACCTAACTCATGAATTTATAATGATTTACATATGTAAAAAAAAAATAAAAAATGAATAAATATGAGGGAAACAGTATGTGAGAATGTCATTCAGGAATGTGGAGGAGTGAGTGGCCCATGCAGAGTTTGTCAGGTAGAAGAGTGACAGAAAACTATGATGCTTGGTGTTAAGAAACTTATGTCTTATATGTCACCCGACAGATGAAGACATTACGACAAATGCTGATGACTGAGTTAGAAAATGCATTAGCTCAACAAGCTCCTCCTCCTCCGCAAGATGACCCCTCTCTTCATGAACTACCGCCCCTTGTTATAGACGGAATACCAACTCCAGTAGAAAAAATGACCCAGGCACAACTAAGAGCATTTATTCCTCTCATGTTGAAGTATTCTACAGGTAACTACAGACTTGTGTTATATATTTTGCTAAACTAAGGAAGTGTTCCAAAACAACAGTTATAGATGTGTACCTGAAGAGTTTCATACATCTGGAAATTATGTATAAAGAAAACAATTTACCATAAACAACCATTACAAAACTGGTTACTTGCTTTGGGGAAAGGTTTGGCCCCAAGTCATGATAAAACTTTTCAGAAGTGCTTTAGATATTTATATCAAATAATATACTGTTAAAGTTGGAGAAATTTTTCCTATAACAAAGCAGTGGGTATGAAATGTATGATGATAGTGTTAGAAAATGGGTATGATGATACAACATATTGTTACAATGTATGATAGACCTGGTTATGAGGCTACAATTCCCTAATTCTTTGTAATAATTCAGGGAGAGGCAAACCTGGTTGGGGAAAAGAATCTACAAGACCTCAGTGGTGGCCCAAAGATGTGCCCTGGGCTAATGTGAGGATGGATGCAAGATCAGAGGACCAAAAACAGAAGGTAAATTAAATATAGATAGTATACAAACACTGTACCTTGTTATGTAAATTAAACAGTGGTGTGTTGTTCAGCAGTATGTTCTTAAGGCCTGAAATACACAACATAACCATTTTCTCTCACTGAAGCAAAATTAATTCTTACTCCATCATATAAGGCAGGCAAGGTCCACAGATGTAATCAGAGCTTTTAGTCCGTATTATGTGTGTTACTTGAGAAGACAGAGGGCTGAGACAGGCAAATAATGCTTCTAGTTAAGTGGTAGTACAGTACTGGACATTTGTATTGTAAAAATCCTACTACACAGACACTTGCACATTAGTGTTTTTGCATTAGTGTTCAGTTGGTGAGGGTGATGCATGAACACTGTACATAATCATCTACTGTTAAACTAGACCTTATTTGGTTACAAGGGAAAGAAAGGTTCTGTTTTGAATATATGAGAACCCAAGCCCACTTCACAAACATCTATTTGGTCTTGATGTATTGTGTAGTATGACTTGTGAATTCTGATGCTGTTGCAATATGATGCATAATGTGTTTGTATTTCTCGTATTCACACTTATTTCTACAGACTGCTCTCACTCAGTTATTTTTTTAAATAATTCTTCATACTATTAGTCTTATGATTACAAAATTGCAAGAAAATATACTGTACTGCATACTGAAGTTGGTTATTAACTACACAGGTGTCTTGGACGACCGCACTCCGCCAGATTGTTGTCAACTGTTACAAATTTCACGCACGAGATGACCTTCTGCCAGCGTTTAATGAGGAAGAGGAGAAGACTCAGGTATGGATGGTGTATATATGATGGGCTTCATTTAATGGGTTGGGTGAATGAAGATAGTTTGCCTGATGTTATAAGCCATAATGACTTGGAATTATTGGAGTAGTACTTCCTTAGAATTCTTTAATTGCCTTTTACAGCTTAAGGTGACCCAACCTCATTACCATTAATATTTATCAAGGAAAATTTGTGTGCAGGTTAGTGGGCAAGTAAACTCTGTCTACTCTGGTCCAGTAGTACAGACCATCAGTAACCCTGACGGCACAGTCTCTATCGTCCAAGTAGATCCAAATAATCCTGTTATTCAGTTACCTGATGGAACAACTGCACATGTTCAAGGAATTGCCCATGTAAGTGTTGATGGAATTTTTGTTTGTTTTTATTCTTTAGATTTTGAATATCTTCCTAAATTGAAGTTTTCCTTCATTTGTTAATAAGTCTTAATAATGAAGTCTTAATAGTTCTTGAAACCTGTTATTGTTAATTATGTTTTATCATTATTACTCTTCATATAAGTAATATTTAGTGCAACATCAGTACCATATTATCTTGTATGCTAAAACATTTGTTTTTTTTATAATGTAATAATATCTTTAAGTGGCAATAATTTTCATGAAAACTTGTGATTACATTAAGTTTTATGGAAGCTCAATTCTGTAATCTTAGTTTCAAAGCAAATACTGTAACTGTAATTGCCTTTTACTACTGTACTGATGTTTAACTGAAACTACAACTTTTTACAAATTTTCTGGATTATATCCTTAGACAGGCAGCTTCTAATGCAGTATAGGATACCAGTTAGGGTATTCAGTGGGTGGATATTTTTAAATAAAATGGGTAATCCAATCACTCGACCCTTACCCTTACCCTAACATGGAGTGATCAGGTGCAACAGCTGCCCCTGTAGATGTAACAGATCTTAGTATAGCTGTGTCTGACCAATCTTCTCACACTATCCTGTTCTATGGCTCCCCCCGCTTATTTAGTCCAATCTGCCATCACTGATTCAGTTCCTAGCCTTATGCCATTGAGAACAAATGCCCCAGGCTGGCTCTGCCCTGGCCAGCTTATTAGTACGAAAAGCTTAGTGTACTGCTCATTTTACAACAAGTCATAAATTACTTACAGGTGTGTTGCAGGTGTTGGTGAAATTGTTACAACAATGGACGAGTTGACGATCAGAATTTTTTCGTAAAATGGCAGGTCAATGGGTAAAGAAAACACTTAAATTCACTATGGTAATTATATTTTAAAATAAATTGGGCCAAAAAGTGTAGAAAATAAGGGTTAAAGCAGCTAAAAACTCACGTGACTGCGAAAAACTCTGTGACTGGTTGTGGCATCTCTGCTTGGGGTGAACTTCCCAGGGGGAGGCAGCCAGCTGTAGTTGTCCAACCTTCTCGGCTGATCGGCTCGGTAATTAAATATTATTAGATAATTAATTGTGCTTTATTGTGCAACACAGTAATACTATTTTGAATATATAAATACTGTATTAATAAGCACATAAACTAATTCAATGGATATTAGCTGCCCATACAACAAATTTCATAGTATAAACATTCCAAACAATATTGATATTATTTGGCTTTGGTCATCTGGGGAACCTTAAGATTCTAACTATGGGATTAAGTACTTTAAACAATAAGACACATTATCTCTACAGGAATTCTGTCACAAAACATTTTTCGATCGCATAAGAAAATACAAATCATAGAATGAGTTAGAAGGTAAGCTTAACATACATCGGTAAGGGGGGGGTATTAACTCAAAACTAATGATTTCCGATAGAAATGAAGGTCTAAATCGTTCATAGCACATCGCAAACTACCAGAAAAAAACATCGTCTGCATGTCTAAGTACAGGAATGACCAAAACATTAAATTTACCCAATATAGTCTATCTCGAATCTAAACATCAAAATACTTTTGGTGGTTAAAATAAAATTTTACCCATTAATTAATATAAATGATGATATATCCCAGTGGTTCATTGGTGAATCATCAAAACAATAATAGCACTATGTTATCGTGTTTAGCTAGCATCAGGCATTATCAAAACAAAGTCCAGACAATGTCATCATTTCTAAATTTACTCGTATCTCCATCTAGTACTGATATACAGCTCCTCCCCGACTTTCGACTTACGACCACTCGCACTTACGACCTGCCTCAGCCGTACCAAAATTTTGTCAAATTATGTATTTTCGAGTCCCAACGTCAGTACACAGAGAAAATTTTTGTTTGTAATTCAATTTAAAATGGCTGGCAAGCTTAAAAGTGAGAGTTTTGTGGTGTTGAGAAGAGAAATAGACATCCATTTTAGATTTTCTATGTATTATTTAAGCATTTTCAACTTACAACCTGGATTTGGGTCCCTAACCCCGTCGTAAGTCAGGTAGGAGCTGTACTCTGTAAATGCACTAAAAAAAAAGAAGAAAAGTCTACCATATAAGAACACATGACAGCTTAGCTGGTGTGAACATGGGAATTTTTTATGCCCAAAACAACATGAGAATGGAGGAAACTGCAGCAGGCCTATTGGCCCATACTGGGCAGTCCCATTTACACCCAACCCCTATCACTCATATATCCATCCAACCCATGTTTAAAGCTACTTTTCACGACACATTTCTTTACTTACTAAATGTCCATGACTTAGACCATAAAAAAACAACACTTAAAACCTACCTGAACATGGCATTTAAGGTCTGAAGAGGCCATCCTTTCTACTACCTACGACTGCAGCTGTGAGTTTGAAACTAGTGATGTCATTGCAAATGGCGGCCCTGTTTCTAGAGAAATAAATTTATCTCGACTATTATAGCAGGACTTTAGACTTTTATTACAAATTATATATACCGTATCACTCTACGGACATGGCAGAGTATATTTCTTGTGTTTACCCAGAACCGTCAACTCGTCCATTCACTCGAGTGATATATGAAAAGTGGGTTTTGTATATGATAGGGTTTCTCCACAACAGTATTTTCGCTCTAAAAATTCACAATTACACGTGTCACCCAATAATATTCTTGGCATCATCACATTGGTAGACTTTGTAATTGCACCATATTGTGTACAGCACAGTACTATATATTATGTACCTTGCTTCAAGAATTCTTCCTACACAGTTCAAAACATGTTCATTGATAATAAACACTGTACCATGTACAGTATAGTAAAATTAATACAGTGGAGTTATATTGAACATGCTTTTACCAATATACAGTAAGTAGACACAAGTTGACAAATCAGACATTATTATCTAAATTTAATAAATTTAACACAAAATGACAAAATGCCAGTTGACTGATCATACATGGTACAATAAACCTTTCTTCCTCTAGAAGGTAGTTGTTGTGTCTGATATCTCCTGTTAGGGCGATGAAGTGGGTGGGGAGTTGACGTTATTCATTTGAATTAAAATATCTACTCAAGGTTAAGGAACTGGGGTCTGTCTGAGGACAATGATTCCAGTTGGCAGCATATATTGCAAGAATCTGCTTGGCTAAAGACTATTCCTGAAAGAAATTTCAGGATCAGTGTATTTTATTGTGGTTTAAGGATGTTTTGATATACTGTATTCACAACTTGAGAGGTCTTTTCTGATCAGTTGTAGTTATTGAGACAGTCAGAGGCAATACCAAGAGGTCTTTCAGAACAGTAGTGTATAATTTTTTTTTAACTTTCACTGACTTTACCAGTACAACCTCAGAATTTCACTTACTTCACCACTACAACCACATTTAAAGGAAATCTGGGCATACATATTTCTTTACTTTGAAAAAGTATCCATGATTTGCTAAACCATTTTCCTTCACAACCAAGTCCAGTCACTTCATTCACTGTGTATATTTAGAGTTAGAGAAGTCACAGTGCAGTGTCAACCGCATTGCTTACTTTTACAGTACAGTTTACTGAAAGCTTAATGTAGTATATGTATGGTCTTTCTGCACTGCCTCTAATAGACCTTCAAGGTTACTAAACCCCTTTCCACATTCACTGTACTACTTGTTTTATTTCATACATATATTGATTACAGTATATTCATATCCTGCAAAATGAACTGTGTCAACAACATCAGTGTGTGTCGTTATGGCATCCCAGGAATAAACTGTCAAACTTCATCTGGTAAAATTAGATGAACAAATAATTTGAGTTTGGAAACATATACTTTGTTTATGTAACTGAATGATGGAAAATATCCTCTGGGCATGGAGAGGTTTCTCAGTACAAGGCCTGCCATAATAATGTCTTATTTGTAAGCATATTTTGGTAATGCTGTCATCTCATATTGATACTTTAACTAAACTTAGGGTCTTCAAGTTGTGGATATAACATACCTGTACTACCTATTACTATATCACTGCAGTATAAACATATTTGCTGCAACAATGTTTTACAGTAAACCCTCCAGTTTGGCAACTAATTAGTGCCAAAAAAATCTCCCCAAACCAGAGGGCTTAATCCAGTGGGAAAAAGCCTAATTGGTACCGAGGGGCCACCCAGTCTCAATTTTTCCTATTTTACCCACATATAACCTATATTTTATTGCTGAAAGAGAATGAATAATTAGTTAATCAACATAAACATAGAAAATCAACCTTAAAACTAAAGTTGAGGTGCTTAATGTACACTAAGCTGGTATACAAGTACTTTTTCATTTTTGTCCCAACTCGATTCTCACAAGAATTTTTCGTCTTTGTTTTTACCCCATCATTTGAACCGCCCGGGTGCTCAGACTGTCTTTCACCACCACTATCATCCCCTCCAATACCCCCAGGTACTTTTGAGGCCATTAATCTGTAGCGAGAGGGAGTAAAATAAGGACACAAAGGCCAAGGTCACTCAAACAAGCAGCGGGAATGTGGATTGACGTGGTCAAAATGGCTGCTTGAACAGCTGACTGACGCTTTGTGCTCGGTAAATCCCACCAGTAGTATTAAGCGAGGTTTATCTTGCACTTATTATTCTACAATTATTAGTTGTGATTGCATTTAAATTTAAACTCTCGCCAAAGGTAAGGGTTTGGTCGCCGTAATGGAGGGCAGTGTACTTTGAATTTTGACCGCCAAACAAAAAGTTGCCAAACTGGAGGGTTTACTGTACTTACAGGTATATAAATGAACTAGCTGTTTGTAGGATTTTGGACTGTTGAATTATTGAGTTGCATGTTATTTGGTATTAGCTTTGTCTTCTAACCCAGGGCTGGAGTTGTTACTACTGTAGTATTTGCTTTAGTGTTGCATGTTATTACTTTCACAGTATTTACTTATAATCAGTAAGAAAATAGTAACTTTTTACAGGTGGTAATTTAATTATTTTGAAACCATGCAGGTTAAGACATTGTTTTTATGTTTTGTATCTTCATTACAAAGCTAAGATGTGTTCTTTAATGAAAAGTTTCCACTGTTTTGAACTTTTAACTTAACACACTAAAAGATTGATTTTAATTCAGCTTGTATATGTGTGTGCAGTATAGCCATAAGTTTACTGAAGGTTTTGGAATTTCCTACACTTGGATTAGACAGACTGTACATTATATTCACTATTTCTCTTTCTTAAGAGATATTTGAGATATTGTGCTCGTGTTTGATTTCATGAATAAATTGTATTGAGCCAGTGAGCTCATTTTTGGTTGGGGTGAACTTTGAATTCCTTTTTTCTCCTTAGAGGTGAGGAATAAGGAATGTTAATTGCTCAGAGAAAAGAGGAGTCAAGTTCATCTTGGTTGGCAAGCAGGCAGGCTTTTTATTCCAGTTTTGGGGGAATTTATTTTCCTGGCTTTGACAGATTTCTTAGTTGATCTAAAGTGAATTTATTTGCCTTTTGGGGTCTATTTTTTTAAATGAATCCAGGATCTTTTGTGGCTCATGGCTGGTAGGAAGAGTCATCAGGGTTTCTAGATCATATACTGTACAATACACTTTCACTGTGGGTTAGTGGGTACAGTTAAGAAACACAGACTCTAGTTGAAAAGGCAAGAAACAAATTTTAAGCAAGAGAAATTACTTGCTCGAGTGCAATATATGTGACGAATAGGTTGTTAAGATTGATAAGTACAGAAATAAAGAGATGTGGAAGGTGCTGACCTGGGTTTGTTAGGGTGGTATGAATATATTAAAAAATGGGAAATGCATTTATAGTTTAACGTTGGATGATAAAAGGGGAGACAGGAAGACCAGGAAAGGACAGATGGAAGGATACAGTGGCAGTGAAGGGAACGGACATCTAGGATGCAGTGGTGTTGGTGAATAACAGAATATAGTGTTGGATGGTATATGAGAATATTACATATGTAGAGGTGAATTATTGACAACAATTGAGAAGAGAGAGTCTGAAATGTAATGGGAAATGTCTGTCAAAGGGTAAAGAATTGGTCTGCTTTGTTAGTATGGTAGTGTGTGTTTGAAGTGCCATGAGAACTTTTGCTATGGTCTCAGTATGTATTGGACTGTTTAGAGAAGTCAGGGAATACGAATTGTTTCTTATTTGTAAGAATGGGAAGAGCATTTGTTTTTCAGTCAATGTTTTCTATTTAGAATTGTATATACAGTATTTAGAATGCAGCACTGCATATGCAGTTTGTCATGAATGAGTTGAGTTTCTGACCTTTGCTCTATAATGATAAACTTTGCTTAGTCTCTGGTATTTACTCACCTGACATCCTTGTATCTTTGTGTTTTCTGACATTTTTCACTGTGATTGTCACCTCTGCATTTAGAAGATAGCCTGCACGATGAATCTAACTTTCTTGCATGGGCTGCATGGTTACTCCTCCTGGGTGCCATTGACTAACTTTTGCGTTGTTAAAAAGGATGAGGTTGTTGATCCCACAGATCACAACACAGAATGGGGAGTCGCTGGATGGGGAGAATGGGGGATCTGGTGGCTCTGTGGCGATTGACCTCAACCAAGTTTCTGAGGGGACCCTCGCTCATGAAGGGACCATTTTATTAACAGGAGAGGATGGCTCACAAAGTAAGTTGATGCTCTGCTTCATTAATTTATATTTTACCTCCTATCATTACCTCAGTCATGGATAGATAAGTTAACCTTAAAAAAATTAAAGGAAAAATAAGATTTTACAGATACTGTTTACCCACCCAAATCCTTGAAGCAGTTAAGAAGTAGCTTTCCAAGCCTCAGGTCTCAGTTAGGCAAGTTTACCTTCATACCTACATTTGTTATCTTGGGATATAATTTTTTGTTAAATGGTCTTACAACCGAATCACCTGTACCAGTGTACTAAGACACTGTAACTCCATTTTTTTACTTCACCCCTTAAGTCAGGTGAGACTCATAAACTTGGGTATCCTATGGGGCCCCTAGGCGCAGCCAGGATTAAGCTGATCTATTAATCCATTTTGGTTAGAAGGTCTCTGACTGCCCAATTACAGCAGGTCCACCATGAATGAAACTATGCAAATCCATATGAATTTAGGTTAAGCTGAGACAGTTTACACTCTTAGTTTCTGACTCACATTCACAGAGGCTGACCGTACTGGTAGACTCTGCCCTGGTCTTCTTCTCTTCTACTAAGGCCAAGTATTGTCCCCATTTTAGAAGCTTCAAGGATTTTGTTTGTTGGTTAAACTACAGGCTATGGTGTTATTTTATACAACAAGGCATTATGTCTTCTGCATGAAATTTTTTGCAAATACTGTGAATATGTTAAGAATTTATTGCAAGGTTTTACAGGGGCTCATAAAAGTAATTATTTCCACTGCAGCAGTAATTTTTATTCTATTTTGCAGTTGTCAGTATATGAAATAGTAAATATACTCCATTGATTCATTCAAACCTTCTCTTTCACATCCCTTAAAGAAGTTTTTGTTCTTTTAAACTCAAAATCCCTTGTTTGCTTCAGAAATGCTGATTCACCTAGGTGAGTAGCTGTTTATGTAGCAACTGATACTGCTCTGACAACACAATACACCTCCCTCAAAATGCTGATAACCTCCTGAATAAAGCACTCTGTCATGAGTGTTCTGGTAGGGTAATCTTGCAGCTCATTTGTTTCTTCCTCTTTACTATCAAATGTGACTTCATATTTCCATCCTCTCTCTCTTTATTATTTTTATTATTATTATCATCATCATCATCATTATTATTATTATTATTATTATGATTATTATTATATTATTATGATTATTATTATATTACTATGATTATTATTATTTATTTTTTTATTATTATTATTACTATGATTATTATTATTTATTTATTATTATTATTATTATTATTATTATTATTATTATTATTATTATTATTATTATTATTTAACTAAAGTTGTGAGATTATTATTCAAAGATGAAGTGCAGTATTTCCCACCGTATTCGATGCATCCGTAATGTAGCAGAGAATGTCTAGGGAAAAAATGATGAGCAGCAGCTTCCTTGTCAGTGCAACTAAGCTTAACTAACTTCCTTACATCTAAAATCTCTTTAGATTAATAGTTCCTGTCCATTTAATCTTTTATCTGAAGGAATATATTATCATTGTGTTGGAGGTTTTTGTGCATTTTATCATAGTTTTCATGACGTTATGACTGCAAAAACTTGTAAATTGTCAATGAATGGGGCTGACAATGACAACAAGTGGGTGCGTTTACTGATAGCATTTGTTTTGTACTTTGAACACTGGTTATGGCTGCAGCTACAGCATTTAAAAATACCCCCCCGCCCCTCCCTTTGTGCAAATTAAGAGCCTCTGAGCTGGATATTCGTACTTATAATAGCAGAGCTTTCAAGACATCTTAATACTAAAATCTCACGAAGTAGCAGATGAAGTGGAGAGGACAAAGTGTGTTTCTAGAGCAATGAACACAAGGGAGTATTAATGACCGTAAGAACAAAACATAAGGGTTTATACATCTTCCAATCTTAAACCAAAAATATTGATTCGGCATAAATGGAACAAGAAAATGGGATGATAAGAAAACATACAGTAATAAGATTATTATTATTATTTATTTATTTGTTTTATTATTATTATTATTATTGTTGTTATAATTTTTATCTATATTATTATTTATTTATTTATTTATTTATTTTTATTTTTATTTTTTAGGTGTTTTTTATAGGGCAGGAAATACAGTCCGTGAAAAATAAACACTAGCAGTTGGTGTTTGATATTTTAATTCTCACGGGTGTAATTTTCAGGATATTGTTGTTAAATATTGTGTTAAGTAAGTGGGTAATATATTGATGATGTGTACAATGTGTGATGAAGAACTATTACATAGTCTTCAAAAATATAATGGACATTAAGAAGATAACAGAGTACTTGATTTTATTATATCAAGTACTAAATGCTGTAGTTATTGAGCGCTGGGAAGATTATTACCAAGTACTGTGCTGTAGTTCTCTGAAGTAATACTAACCTTATCGTGTATGTGTGAACTCCCTTGAACTGGAAAAGTCTATGATCCAGCTCTGCTCAATTGCCAAGGCTGAAGAGGTTCACCTGTGTTTTATGTAATATGTTTCATCCCTTCAACATGTCAGAAAACTCAGCATTATTCAAATCTTTGATCAGTTCCAGTCAGTGTGTCCGGGTCGTATCCAGTGTCGGGGATGATAACCGTACCGCTACCAGTCTACCAAACTGTGGTTGCTAACATCCAAGGATCAGATGGTCAGCCTCTACAGGTGATGACACCATTTGTACAAGTACCTAAGCTAGAACCTGGACTGGACAACAGTGTAGAAGTTTCTGCAGGTCTCAATGCCTCCCTAGATGCATCAACAATTATTTCTTCTGGACAAGGACAAGTACATGTGAGTTATATTAAAACTTTCAGTTTCAGTATATAGATTGTGGCCTTAAAGTTTGCCTTGTCTTGGTGATAACACTAGTTCTGAGCCTTCTGATGGTTTCATCATGTAAATGACTTTATGTACCAGTATTTTTTGAGTGAAATTGGTTCCCAGTGACAGTAGGTCTTTGGCAGGAATGGATGCATCATCTCATCAGTACAGTATAGTAGACATATCCCACTATAGATGAATTTTCCCATCATTCAAATTCTTTTCTTCAGACACTTTTCTTTGTGACTTCATTGCATTCCATAAGAGTAACATTGTCCTTGATACCAAACTCGGCAATCTAAAAATAAGATAAAGTTCTAATGCTTGCAGAGAGGCAGGTTAATAGACAAAGCAAGTAAGACCAAGGGTTGAAATTTAGCTCAAAGATGTTGGTCAGTTGACTCGATGAGAAATGAAAGATTACAAAGTGCATTGAGCCTAACTCTCGTTGACCCATATCCAAGGATGAGGTTGGTACAAAAGTTAAACCAATATTGTGATATGTTGACTGATTTATGATTTAACCTAGAATCTTCATGTCTTTTTACAGGATGACGATGATGAAGGGAGTGTAGACATGGTGGATAAAGAATGATGAGGGACTGTATCTCCTGATGATGATGGTGATGATGACAGGCAACAGTGAGGCTTTTGTCCAAAATGTTGGTCACAAATTGTTCAGCTGTTTCCCATCCACATGTCTTTCTTCCCATCTCAGCTTCTCACCAAAGACTAGGGTGTGATTTCTGGAATATGAATAACAACTGGAGCATTCTTCAGTCAAAGCTCCAGAATGGGATTGGCCAGTATTATTTAACCAAGTTCTTTCTACTTGGCCAGTTACCAAATTCATACATCCAGTGTTTCAGAATTTTACCCCTAGATTCAGAATGAAACCATACCAGCCAAAGCCATGAATTGGGTGTGATCCTCCACAGGAAACTCTATTTTTGTATGAGTATGAAATATGGCATTGGATTGAATAAAATGCATATGCAAAGTTTTAGGTTTCTAACCAGGAAAAAGATATTTTGTTTTGGTATGGTTTTGAATTTCTGTATTTTCTCTAGTTTAATATATTGTCTCAAGGAATGAGTAGGTTTGATACTTGCTTATTGTTTTAGATGATGGTTCAGAATATAGAAAAGAAAACTTATGGGTATAAAGCTGTCATTAAGACCCTGTTTGTTGATTTTCATCATTAGCAATGATTATGTATCTGAGAGCCTGTAAGGGGTAACAGCTTTACTGTTGAGATATATTAAGCTAACTTAGATCAAAGAGGCACTTAATAGGTTTGAAGTGTTTAGTTTAATGTACTGTGTATGTGCAATTAGGTCTTGAGTGTACCCTTTAACTTTAAAAAATATTTATTTAAACCCTTCTCCTCACCAGCGAAGTTGATGTAGTTTGCTTTGTATTTGTCAAGTGTTATAGAAGTTGCTCAGTGTTGTATATCTTAGCAGCAACTGTTAGGTGTCATCTTAGGAGTTCTGTTGATAGAATTGAAAACTGGATGGCTTGTATGTGATACAACAGATGATTGAGTTAGCCTTTTATGTCACTTCCATTGAAAGCTGATGGTGTAATGATTTTGAGGGAATTATCTCTGCTGTGGCTGGGATTGTTTAGCTTGGTAATCTCTTGATTTAAGCAAATTTGAATTAAGAGCATCAATATTTGTTGTGGTAATGCTTGATGGGAAATTTTGTGGATGTTACTCCACATCAAAGGTCACCCACTTCTGCCTGAAAAATTATCTGAAATTGTGTTGATTTTACGCATGAATTTTACTCTTAAACAAGTGTCATTTCCTATTTTCTATATATTTATTTTAAAAGTGAAACATTATTCATCAACATTTAGTAAAATATGTAAGGAAAAATTCTAAATTTATTGAAAATTCTCAATGGAAGATCATGTCTGTTGGTCTGGTATGTTACTACAATACTGTACTTTGAGGTTTTTGGGATGAATTTTTTTAAGATTGTTGATGACATTTGTTTTAAAAACCTGAATTTTATTACTATTACCTTAAAACCTTTTTAGGGATTCTTATCACAGGAAGTAAGATACATAACCTCATTCCATTCCTTTAGTTAGCTCTTATATCTTGCTGGCAGTATAGAGAATCCTTTGATTTTTTTGCCCTTAACCCACAAAACATTCAAGCAGAATGAAAGTTTAGATCACCTTTTCTTATATATTTTGAATTGAGTATCTACATAAAATTGTCACATGTTTGTTGGAATTGGAGTAAACTTTCAATTCAGTCAAGGCTTGTAGATGTGGGTGTGTTTGTAAGAGTGTTGAAAGACTCCATCACTAGGCATTACACCAAATTAGATTTGGGTGACCAGGAGAAGGATTCATCCCCAAAAGCTCTTATTGATAGCTATTTGCAAATTACTTAATAGTTGTTTATATACTGTACTGTTAAGCTTTGTATGGTATTACTGTACTGGAATTTTTTTCCTCTTACCACTCACAGTTAAAGGTTGTTTCTCATTTCATATCATCTTAGTATTTATGAGGATCTGGAAAATAAAAGAAATGGTAACATCTTAATGACACAACTTGAATATATACCCTCTGTGTATTCAGGTTAGAACTGGGTGAGTTGAGGCGAGTTGTTTCGGCAGATGTGTCGTCACGTGTGCCGTTGTGTGACGAGCTTGGTGCATATTCTGGTGTTACTCTTGTATGTACTTTGTTAGCATGATTGTTGACTGTCACCACATGTTTTGCCATAGGGTAAGTAATGCCAGAATTCTTGTTGATATGATGTTAACTTGAATGCTTATGGCCTTGGTTATCTTTAATGTTTAATAAGAAGTGGTAGATGACTGCAAGCATAAAGTTTGTTGTTTGATCCAAAGCATGTGAGTAATAAATAAAACTACCTTCAGTTTTCCTTGAAATAGAACTACTAGAAATTGGTAAATTGAGGCTAGGGTGTTATGTTCTAGAGTTCAACAGTGGCTCCTCAGGTATCCAGGGGGTAAAGTTATGTTGATCATTTGGGAAATGTTAGAATTCACATGAGTAGTGATTCCTTGTTTTGGTGTTCTACTAATGTTAGTTCATGAATTCTAGAAATTATATTATTTTAATAAAAGAGCTTAATTCTCTTCTTAGAGTAAAAATACCCCAGCTAGTTCACATAGCTTCTAATGTGAGTCTCCTTCTTGCAACTGTGCATTAATTGTTACTAAATAGCAGATGCCTTGGGTACTATAGTAGTGTGGCATTTGACAGCAATATGAGTTTTGGCGGGATGTATGTAAAATACACTCAATAATCCTTTCTGCTAATATTAAGACATCATTTATTAATGTGTCAAAATGTCTTGCAACCACCCATCTCAGTAGACATACAACATGTTTATATATACATGTAATATAGATACATTAACCATACTAATACATATACAGCATATGATTTGCTTAAACCAGCATACATAATCATAGCAAGTATAGATGCATTGAGGCTTCTGGAAAGCTAGAAGAATACTTGCTTTTAATTGGGTCCTATTGATACTAATTGGCTACATGATTTATTAGAAATCCAATTAGCTGTGTGGGCAGATGATGGACACCATTCCAACATCATTTAGAAGCAAGAGTTTAGGATCACATTAGAGTTATGTGAATAATATGGCATTTGGATATTTTTTGTTACTCCTTTTCGAGGGGAGTGGATAATGCGTATGTGTCATTATAAGAATGGGGTTATAACAGCAATATCTTTATTAAGAAGCTCATGATCACAACATTCATGGGAAAGACAAACATTACAATGTAAAAAACTAGTATTACTGTGTACAGTAATAAATTTATTTAACCTTTAAATATATAATGCAAGACATGCTTTTGGGTGGTCAGTGATTGTATCGTTGAATCTCATAATCGACTATCAAGATTTGTTATATTCGGTGAAAATCTTAAAATGAATATACTGTAATCAGATTAATGCTCCTTTCCTATGGTCGAGCAAGGAAAGGCTTGGGATAAATGGGCCACTGTCCAGTCACTAAATCTAGAACAAGCAATCATGGCTGTGATAATCTAGTTTAGCATCGCGCCAGTATGGAGCCACGGGCTGAGCATTCCTGGGGGAACAATGAAGTGGCTTGTCACGATATGAATTAAGATTGTAAAGGAATGAAAGTATTTATTTACTGTATTTATTCTTTGTTATTATTATTACTGTAAAACATATCACAAGCCATCAAATATTCCTTCCAGAGTAATTTGCTCAGTTGTGTGTAAAAACATCTATTGCAGGAAGTCCATATTGTATTAAGCAAGCAAAAGGAGTAAAGCTTGTTCTGGATGCTTTCTTTGAACATAAACATCTGAGTAGATGTAACTGCTTTTGCCCCTAAAATACCCATAATATTTGTGTACAGATTATTTAATGTTATAGCTTTTTGAAAAGTTTTTTGAAATAGGAATTCAAAATTCAAGATTGGATGTGCTTTATTTGAGAAAAAGAACTGTGTACTGTATTAGCTGAAAGCTTGGAAAAAATCTGTATTTTCATCAAATTTATATTTTGAAATTGCAGTGGTAAGTAATGAAGTTGTGTGTATACGAATTAGGCAATTAGTTCTTGTTGAAGATGTATGTTATTGTAGTAGTACAGTAGTAGTAGTAATAATGTATGCAACAAACATTTTGGTTTGGGGGAGTTAAACTGCATACTGATTGAGATAAACTATTGATTCGAAGCTTACTGTAAGTCAGTAAAAGAACTTTATGTGAAAACTGCTTGTAAAGTTTAGAAAACATTCCATCTTGTATCTCATATAACATAATGAGTAGTTCAAGAGATGTATGGAAATGAAAGATTTTAATATATTTAAATCACAGGAAGGTTCACAAATCTGGATAATATTGTGTTTTTATAGTTATCTTATTGTTTTTTAATCTTGTTTCCATGTACAGTGTTGTGTACTTTCACTATTGACATTTTGTTTCGTGCACACTTCTTTTTTGTCAAACTGGGAATTGATTATATTTTAAGCTTGTAAACAACTAAAATATTTAGTGAGTGCCATTTTTTACTTTTTGTTTTTCTTGAGCAGTTCCACATATTTTCAGATCTTATGAGTACAATACATGATGTTTGAGTGATGGAGATGCTTTGTATAGAGATATAGGAACTGTGGACTTCCGAGCATGCACTTGGTGATTTTTAACTAGTCGACTGTGGCGCACCCTGGCTAATAATGTCTGCAGACGGGTGGAAGTCAGACTAATCAATTATTTGTGACTGTTGAGTGGAGTATCTTGTAGAGCACAGACGGCTCCATTTGAAGGCTTTTTTGTTAGTCATCTTTCATTGGCCTGCTGATCTCTATTAGCCATGGAGCACGACAATTATAAGCTTGTACTGAGAGAACATTTCAAAATTCATGCAAACAAAATGCCAGATGGCTCGTGAAATTTATAAATTTTAGAGACGAGAGTTTCACTATTGGTTAATGAATTTATGCTTGAGATGTAGTTAAATTTTGATTAACATGAGTTGCATATAATCATTCAAGCTAATGTTCTTTGAGTGTTGATCAGTGTTCTGCCAGTTACCGGTGCTCATTGTCGTGTTTCATGACGCAAAATGTAGATATAATGTAGTGAAAACATTATGGTACAAAACAGACACCTGGGATCTTACCCTCTTGTCACCTCTACTAATCTTGATTTTTTATTCTAATTTTGCCTTCATTACCTTGATAATTTTTATGTACATGATTGTATAATTGATTTATTCATCATCATCACTCATTACTTTCAGTCATAAACATTTAGTTATATTCAGTAGCAAGTTTGTTTTTTCCTTGTACATATGGTACACTGCAGGGCAGTCACTTGGTATAATAAAATATATTTTCGATATAAGCTACAAACGAGCCAAGATAGTAAATCAAGATCCAGATACAAAAATTATATCACGATAGTACGTGCCATAATTTGTACTTCCATGTTTGGTAGTGTTGGTGGTGGTGCTTCATTTCGTGATGAATTTTCAATTGGATTTTTATTTTCAGGATTGAGTCATGTGATTTATATAAAAAAATTACATTAATTTTATTGAATGTTGGCAGTTGAATTTGATTGGAGCCTCTGTGTTTGTGTTTGCTGATTTTGTTACCAAAACATAAATTTTCTTTTATAAATTTCTCTGTCATATATTTTATCGTTCTTATGTAGTGATTTGTCAGATGTGGCCATCGTTCTAAGATATTCACAAGCTCATTTTTACCCATTCATGTGATTTTTTATCTTGTTTTAGCACTTCAGGTATTTTGAATTTGGTCTGTGTATTTCTCAGATGTACGTACAAATGAGGGTTATCCCACTGATTTGGTTACTTGTTAATATTAATCCGCCATTCAAGAGTTCATTGTGGTACATAGCAGTTGTTCGCTGTCATTATTGCTGCGTTATTGGTCATTATTCTCATCTAATTAAATTTTGGAAATATTGTTCTTGTAGTACAATATAAGGTTGACAATTGTATGACATGTTACAATGGTGTAGTATTATGACAGGCTTTATTTTTAAGTCTACTTCTGCATAACACACTTCTCACAACACACTCATTCGTGTAGTTTGCTTACTCTGTTGTTAAAGCTGTTAGCACCTAGGGTAACTTGATGAAATTAAGGTAATTCTTTAAATGATTGTGACAACTTTCTGAGGTACCCTAATTTTTCTTGCTACATCTTCTTGTGGTTATGCCCCTCTACAAAATCACACATTTTATTAATTTTTATTTTATTTTTTCTGATAGTGCCTGTAATCAGAATTGTTTCCCTGCTGTTGTTTACCTTACTGTACTGTTCCTCCTCAGCCTCAAGCGTGTTTTAATGAAGTCAAAAAGTTGGGAATATAGCCTTTTGTCTTTCTTACTTGCAGTGTTGTGGCTTTCATTGTTGCAAGTGTTTTTACATTCCTTCTTTTTTCCTAGACATTAAGCTTTTTTCACATATTTATTTATATATATAGTATATATATATATATATTTTTAGTTTTTGTTTGTTGGACAAAGACAGCACAGTGCACCAAGTCAGTCCATTTATGGTAGATTTTAGTCACCCATAGTGGAATAAGAGTATCAGTTTGTGCTGTTTTTTTTTTTTTTTTTTTTTTTTTACTCATCGCTGCTGGTTTGTGAATTTGTAATTGGAGCCTTGTTACTGTAGGGTAGTAAGTATGAAAGATCTAAGGATAAGTTACGAATAAATCTCGGTGCCAAACAGATTCGTTGTTTATGTTAATCTCACTTCATTTCTTTATTTTCTAATTGTGTGCCATGAAGTTTCCTCAGATTAATTATTTGTACAATGTTGTTAATATTATTACTACAAGCACAAATAGTCTAGGCTCACATCAAGACATCCTTGTTGTTAATAAATATAATACATTAAATATTAAGGTGGACTTGGAATAGCCAATACAGTGACTCCATTCAGTCATGCGGTTTACAACATTCATTTTTGCGCACAATCAAATAATTTTGATACAGTATTTGAGAAATTTTAAATATTCATCTTGATGAGAGCAGAGGAAGACTTGTGTGATAATAATAATTAAATGAAAATGAAATATGGACAAGAATAAATTAAAATTTTGTAAAGGGCTACAATTCCTATGCAATGCTTGAGTGGTATCACCAAAAACTTTTCCATCCACCAACAGCTGAATCAACAAGTAATGTCAGGTAATGATAATCTGGCATCAAACTGAATAATTTTCTTATTGACCGTGTTACTTCTTGGGTAATGGTGTAAGAATTTAGCCCAAAGATCATGGATAGTTATATAAACTCCTCTGACTAGCAATATTATATCAGGAAATATAACTCCCTGTCATCTTTTAACAAGGAATGTGTGAAGCCAATAGTACACAGGAAAGAGTGAAAAGAATTGTGGGACTCAGCCATGACAGTAGACATAGAGGATGTAAGAAAGGTATGTGATTCAGTCTTAAAATTTACTACAGTATAATCACCCTCAAGTTTTCTTTGTCATGATGTATGTTATATAAAGAATATTCAGTCCCAAGCATTATTTATTTTTGGCTTTTGTGTACGGTATAATGTTTTGAATTTCAGGACGTAAGATAATTTTGGATTATGTACAGTCAAGGTCTATTGTACTGTATGATCTGAATGTCCAGTGATCTTTCTTTCATCCTGTATGTCAGTGTGTTGATCCCCAGGTCACCTCTTGAAGTCCTCTCTGTGTCCACTAAATGTAATCTGTAATTTTGTTACATTGAATTTATGAAAAGTCAAGAAAACATCAGTTGAATTTCTTGATGCATTGTTGCTGATTGTTAAATAAGAATAGGTCTAGGTGTCAGAAAGGTTCATTGATTTATTCATATCGAGGGTAAAATGAGCTTTATTGAAGTGCCATCTGGAGCTCCTCTCGGGCGATGGTCACGCTTTAACCTATTTTTCCGGTCGGTAGATCTGGTCATAATGAGATATTTGTACTGTATTGTTTTGGAGAGGTTTTGTACACATTAACCATTTCCAGGTGCAGGTGTCGAGTTTATATTGTGATTTTGTCCATATACCATTTTCAATATTTTTTTTTCTCACTTGGACAGAACTCTGCAAATTTTATGATTTATATTTGTATGAGCAAAGATACTATAAAAAAATTGCTCTCTCTCTCTCTCTCTCTCTCTCTCTCTCTCTCTATATATATATATATATATATATATATATATATATATATATATATATATATATATATATATATATATATATATATATATATATATATATAGTGAAAGAAGAAAACACGGCGTTTTTTCTTTCCTTGTGGTTATCAGCATATACCTAGATCACGCCCTACAGTGATTTATATATATATATATATATATATATATATATATATATATATATATATATATATATATATATATATATATATATATATATATATATATATATATATAAAATGTATACCTGTAGGACAAACTTTGTTTTTGGAAATGGAAAACTGGAGACGAAACTTCTGCCAAAGAGGAAGTGTGGAGGTGGGAGCCAGAGGCTGAATCATATTGCTGCTAGATGTTTATACTGTACAATACCAGAGAAACTTTTGCCAATCTGATCACCTCCTACACAGCCATCCACCTTCCTCGCATTAGCTCAAGACAGTTCATGCGTAATATTGTGTGTGAATTTTAAATGTTATTATAATATTTCTATTTCAGGTATAGGTCTTCAAAAAAGAAATGTATTCACATTTTAACTTGTATTTTGTGTTTAATATTATTGTTTGTTTCTAGTAAAATGTGAATAATGAATAGTGCATGTGAAGACACTGACTGTCTTGGCACTTCTAACTGTACTTAAAAAATGAATATTTTAGCCACAATTGTGTTCCATAAGGGAAAAAAAGGCCATAGGCTGAGCTCATTAGCATATAAAGCAACATGTGGTGTCCTCTTTGTATATTTTATGTAATTTATTGTCAACTGTATATAAAAATGAAGATGGATAAATTTTTGTTTTCTTTACAAGGTTTACAGACCAGTAATGATTATCTTACTGGATGTGGCAGCAAAGTCGATACAGCATTCATCTCCTGTCCTGAAGGTCACTACTTTATCCCAGTCCACCCAGCTGACAGTGGGCACCTAACTTTATAATTGGGGAAAAGGAGTCGATTGAGTGCAGTACTGTACTGGTCAACCCGCTTTCTTATGTACGAGTCACTGTGCCGACCCTCCCTACCGTATTTTTTTTATTATCTAACAACCATTGTGAGGGACACTGCAGATTGTGTTAATGTGAGAGCTTTATACTTTACTGCACCTTGTCATTGCTAGCAATTATCCAGATTATTCTTTAAAAAAAAAAAACTTTAATAGGCATTACTACTACAATATTGTCTAGTAAATATGATTTACAAATCTCTAACAGGGCAGAGTTATATTAAAGAAATTAACCTTAACTATAAAAATTTTAATTACAAAAAGTTCACATAATGGAACTACGGGTATAGTCAATTTTTTGCACCATGAATTTTATGTTACAGACTATTTGCCCAAAATTTATAAGAAATTAATTTTTAGGGTTATTAAGAAACCTATATTGGTTTGGTTTGGTTAGAATAGGATATGGTAGCTTAGGTAAGTAAGGTTAGATTAGGTTTGGTTAGGTTAACGTAGATTAGGATAAGCTAGGCTTGGTCACAATAAATTAAGTTAGTCATGGTGAGGTAGGATAAGTTAAGATTTGGTTAGGGTGTGTTAAGTTCCACTCCCATTTCACAAGTGAAGTGTTTCTATTCCATTACAGGTATATCCATTTTTAGGCAAAAAACAAAAACACTTATCATACACATGCACATTTTATTAGTTAGACAACATACATAATTTATGTACAGTATATTCTTGAATTATACTTGTATAATAACAGTACTAATTGAAGATAGGATGTTTGTCTATTTGTAATGACTGATTTTATACACAGGCGAATCCCATACCCTTCCAGTTTAATTCTCAGCCTTTCATTGGGGTACACTGTTGAATGCCTTGGCAAAGAACAGATATACAATATATTGTTGATTTTGCTACCATGTTCCAGAATTTGAGTCTAACCATTCAGCATCTTTAATTATGTCAAGAAGAAGCGTCCAGGCATAAAACTATGTTGGCAGTCATTTACCAGGGTGTTTCGTAATAGATGCTGGTCACTGGACTATAATAAATCGGACAGATTTGCAACAGCCAATCAGCTGTAACTCTTGAGGAGGGAGCGGGGCATCTCTTCTCAGCTGGGAAAAAACGCACTATGGCTGGAGAACACAGACATAACAGGTTTTTCTGCCAGAGAAACATTCAAGGGGAAAATTTAAGGTGTTTGCTCCTCATTCACATTGCGATAATTTTTATGTTGTTCATTTGTTCAGTATTCTTGAATTGTTGCCTTTACCTTTAACCTCTTTGCCACTGATTGGCTCATTGTGCTCCTCTCCAGTACGTACAGTAGTAAGAAAACACAAACACATACCTTAATAGGTTTATAATATTCCAGGAGTTGACAAACAAGTAGAGGCAGAGAGTGAGAAGTCAGCATGTACGGAGTCTGGGGAGAGAGTGGAGGGCAGCGGAGCGCACCAGCAGATGGGCCTCTTGCACGGCCACCACCTCCCTCATCTTGGAAGCCCCCTTCGAGTCACCATGCACTGTAGGAATGCAGCCAACACCACCCACAGGGACTGAATGCGACCGTCTCCTGCAAAATATATAATATGCATACTGTATGAGGTACAGTATTGTAATGTAGTACAATGGTAGTGTGCTTCCCTCTCAATACTGAATCTTGGGTTTGATCCCTGGGGGGGTCACATGTAAGAAGGGTATTATCCAGTGTGACCCTACCAAACATCTGTTATCTCTGAGTATTCTGGTTTCCTCCTGTATTAATACTGGTGTGGTTATTTACATTAGAAAGGACCTGGGAGAAGATGTTTTTAAAGAATATAAATGGTGTAAAATTAAACTGAAGGGAAGAAATACACTCATTGTTGAATGCATTTACAGATCTCTGAATTATAGTTTACTGAACCAAAGAAATTAAGATCCTTGACAGACAACACAATGGCACTCAACTGTAAGCCATCTCCTTGTCACTGGGGACTTCAACTATGGTAACATCGACTAGAGCTGTAAATGTATAGTGAATGACCTCAATAACTCCGCTACTGTTTATGTAAAAAAAAAAGAAGCCCAAACTACTGGATCTCATCTTAACTAACAATGAGGGTATGGTGGCCAAGTTGGAACATCTAGGTTTCGTTGGTACCAGCCATCAGATTTAACTGCTGTTTAGCACTTGGTGAGAGCAGACTAAAGTTCAAATATTACAATGGTTATTACAACAGGATGAAGGAGGAAACCATGAGCATTGACGACCCAACTTGTTAAGAAATAAAAATATGGATACTACCTTGAAATTCATAGACAGCAAAGTAAATTATTTGATGGATACTTAACCAAGACCAAGCCTACTGACTCCAGGGCAATTTGGAGACCTTTATATATGAACCATGTGGCAAATGGCAAAGATGGAAAGAAATCTCAATACTGTAGTTTCAAGAGATGGGTTGCTACAAATGACAAGCAAGACAAAAAGATATATGCTAGGTCCAGGAACCAAACCAAGTTAGAGTGGAGAAGGGCTGAAAACCACAGTAGATTTGTATTACAGATTTCACATTTTTCACATCTCTTACAGTATCTCACACTATTACTTTAATTTGTTTGATGAAATGTATAAAAAAATGTAATAACACATTACAGGTTGACAATCCCTTATCCGAAATCCTTGGGGCCAGATGCATTTCAGATTTCGGAATTTTTCGTATTTCAGAATGGTTAGGTTAGGGTTTTTTTTTTTTTTCCCCCAGGGATCAGCCCACCCGGGCACAAGTCACTGACCCACATTGAGGCCTGGGGGGCGAAAATATAATAAGAATTATAATAATAATTATAATACAGGGTAATGTGATTTTCAACAAAATCAAATTTTTGGGCCAAAACTGTCAAAAAGGTAAGCCTTACCCCTTGGTAATTTTTCGCCCATAATATACTTTTTTCACATAATTGAAATTTTAGGGGTTTAACTAATTAAGTACTTCCAGAATAACACATTAACACCAAAATCGTACTTTGGAAACCCATAGTTGGCGAGTAATTTGCATTGAAAATTGTAATTAAATCATCCAAGGGTCATTACAGCCACTAATTATCCCGCAATCGAATCGTGGACCATATATTCGAAATCAACATGCTCTGGAGTACTTATACCCTGTACCAAATTCTAAGATGCCTCGGTAAATTATTTTGTACGGTGCAGTACCTATAGCATAAATGTGTAGATACAGTCTCAGTAGGTCTTATACAGCACCACAACTCACCGTGATGGGTGTCTTGGGTCTTGCTGGTTGTGGCTGAGGTTGAGGTGTGATACAGTGACCGGGGCTGCCGACTGGGACAGTGCTGCGTCCGTCACTCCCAAGGACACAAAGTACTTCTTCAGGAGGCCCCGCAAATGTCGTCCCTCTTGTCGTAGGACCTCCCCTTCACTGCGCAGAGCAAGACGCTCCAACTGCACGTGGTGGTATTTACGCCAAAAGTTGCGCAGATCATCATGCGTCTTGAGCACCGTGTCTGCCTGGTGGTGGAGAAGCAAAACAATGAGTTATAAGTACAGTACGGTACTGTATATGTAAAAGGTGAGTGAGCTTATGTAGAATAGTTTGGGTTGTTTCTTCATGTTAAAAGACTGTCAATCTTGTATAGTGTACGGCTTTGGACCAAGACTACAAGTAGGAGTGTTGAAGAAAGGAAGCAACCACACACAAGTAAGGCTATGCAGAGACAAGGTAACATTGATGTTGAGATTCTCTTCTTTTTATTCTCTCAAGTCCTTCCCTTGCCTCTCTTGGAATCACCACAATTTTAATTTTGCAAAGAATAGATCCAGAAAACAAGGTTATCTTTGTCAGGTTGGTCCATATATTAGTCTTACACAACGTTTTTGCCCTTTACAATAGTCATGTCCACCTCATGGTGTCGAATAATGCACTGTAGTCATACTAATTAATATTAAACAAAATTAAATTCACACATTATCTCCAACTTCCTGACAGACGACCAGTTTCTTCACGTTTTCTATTCTATTGCTACTTCAAAGGTCAAATCTAGTCCATCACTGCCCTCCCTTTGGTCTCACCTATAACACTAATCATACTTCATCATGCCATCAATGTAAACTGTACTTTATCATTATTCACATCCTTCATTCCTTGCACTTTTTGTCTATGGAGCTCCCTGCTCTCATATCTTTCTATCTACATCTTCCTATCAATGGTGTACTATGTAAGACTAGCTTAAATATAGGTCACCTGTTAGTTACAGCACCTTCAGGGAATACTCTTGTGTGTACCTCCACTACTCCATAAAAAGCCAACACCTACCTCCTGTAAGACAAAATCAGGTGGGGGACCAAGTGTGTCGTGGCCACCGAGGGTGTGGGCAGCCTCGTGAGCTGCCTCCTCGTGGTAGAGCAGCTCGCTGATCCTGGCCAGCTTATCCTGTCCCAGCATGACCCGCACCCCACCCCGTCCTTCCCCCACACCTGTCATTAGGGGCACACCTTGAATAAAAAAACACTCATTCAAGATAAATGCAAAATGGTAATAAATGGGTAAATTGGTGTCGGTAAATATATTAACAGCAGTGGAGTAAGTCTCGAGACATATTTTCAGGTCTTGATCTTGGTCACCAGTAGCCAGGAATGTAAGGCACTTTCAAATTAAATATCAAGGGAGTAGGCAAATGTTATCATAAAAATAATCATGATTACAATTTTATTTTAATTGTATATAAAATAACACAAAATAAAATATTGTAATCAATTACAATAATTGTTCAGGTTGTAATCAATTGTAATCAATTACAATTATAGAATATGAATACCGTAACCAGAATATGGTGTGGAGTAGGAGACAATGGTTTACAGCGTGGGTACCGTACAGCAGCTAGACTAACCTCTCGGATGTGGTGTGGTGGAGGGGAGGCGAGGCAGCGTGACAGAGGTGGTGGTGGTGGTGGTAGAGGGAGCAGGAGCAGTAGTTGAGGCACCCAACACACTAGACTCTACACCCTCATCAGTCTCCAGCACGCTCATCGCCCTTTTCAATGTTGCCTGCAGGAGTGAGGAGGTGCTAGCTCATGAGGTACTGATAACATGGTAACGTGCACTTGTGAGGTATTGATAACAGTAATGTGCAATTACTGTATGAAGCCTTGATGAGTACTCACAACTCACAAAAAAGCCACTCATAACTAATGTCAATAACAACTCACTCGAAAACTCTCTCTCTCTCTCTCTCTGTCTTCAACATTCACAACTTCTATTTAGCGTTTGTGAACATAATCACCTTGGAGGATGGGAGGGAAGTACCCAGGCCCTCATCCATCTCCGTCGACAACCCCACCTGCGTCTCCAGTTCCTGAAGAAGGGAAGAAAAATGTGCAAGTTCCTAAGAGGGAAGCACAGTGTTGGGGGGAGAGTGATGGAGGGCTAGTATTATCTTCTATTATGGACATATTTACCAACAAGTATGGATTGAATTACACCAACTACCAAACAATTCATTGTTTTTTTTTTCCAATTTCAAGAAAATGGGTACAGTAATTAAATATACACATCTTATTTATTCATTGGAGTTAACAGGTATGTTTATTACATCAAGCTCATTGATCACATCCAGGTAAAGTACTTCATTTTTCATTACACTTAGATTTCCCAGATCGAGACCTGCAAAAGGGTTTAGAGACTGGTTTCAAGACCTGCATCACTGGAACGTATTGCACGTAACTGTACCTGTGGCTGGGTGTGGCCAAGGCGATCATGTTCAGTTGCCAGAGGAGGAACGGCTACAAGGCATGTCCGCAAGCTGCCGTCGAGGATGGTGGCCGAGGCGATGGTGGGTGGCGGTGGCATGAAAGGCAGGTTTCGGTCCCGAGGCATCTCCAGGCGACTACATACTGACGCCAACTCCAACACATGTCGCCCCTCCTTCAGCGTCTCTTCCAGTTGCTGGTGAGAATAAGTGTGTTGAGTGGGATGGTGAGTGAGTGTGTTGAGCAAGATGGTGAGTGACGGTGAAAGTGTATCAGGCTACTTTCTCATACACTTATGTACAATATTCACCTTCTTGGCCTCATAACCCCTCCTGTTTATGGCCTTGATGAGAGTCCTGGCTGAGACACGATGGGCTGCCAGGGAGGACCTCAACACCATTACCCCCTTCTTCAGGTGCTGCAGCTCCCGAGCAGCAGCTGACGGAGTCCCCACCTGTCGCAGTCGCTTCCGCAACTCGTCAACCTCGCTCTGAAAGGTGAAAGATGAAGTTCATGGAAGAGGAAATTTTGAGATTAACAAATAAACTAAATGATGTTTTTGTCTCAATAGCAATAACACCAGATATTATTAGTACAGTATTGATTATTTATCGCTACAGGTAATAAACCAATTGAAAATTATTAGAAACAACTAAGAACTGTTTCTAATTCAACGTACAGTCAAACATGCTGGAAAGGACATAGGAGTAGGCCTCTCACAATTCACTATTTGACTTACCAGCTGTTATCACAACCATGGATATTCAGCACAATATACATCGGTGCTGTTGTGGATAATGTAGTACTGTATAGTATTTGTTTGGTCCTGAGCAGGTCGTCGCCCTTCACATCCTCAGTATTTTGGTCATATCCTCAGTGCCTCAGAGACTCATGTCCTTATGGCATGGTTGTCATGATCAGATCCCCTGTATTGTCCCAGGTGGTGTGGTTGTGTTAGTATGGTCCCTGGTGTGTTTCCAGTCTAGGTTATATCTATTCTGACACAACAACTGCTCGAGATATCTAAAATGGTAGTTGCATGTGGCCCATTAGATAAAATGTACTACGTACTGCAATCCAAGAGTCTCTTTGGTCTATCCAGTAGAGTCTGGTTGTATCATCGAGACATAAAAAAACACTTACCTGCATATCCTTGATGCCTTGGTTGATGGAGTTGAGGTTCTTGTGGTTTGTGGAGACTCGGTGTTGTAGCTGTTGACAAGTGGCCCTTAGGGTGGCTGTCTGGCTGCCATGGTCCCTCACAGCCACAGCCAGACGTGCCCATGCCTCCTCCAATGTCGCCTCCCTCTCCACCCGAGCCGCCGCCAACTCTTCCTCCAGCTGCACCATCACCAAGGGAAGGAAGACATCACTAATCAAGAGAATACCTCATATTAGGGGTGAAGGCCAGACATAGCTGGTCTTCTCTTCCTAGATGTTCTCTTTTTCTAATTTTGTTAAGTGAAGAAAACCATTTTTTAGATGAAGAAAGCCATCAGCTTTCCATTGAATTTGTAAGGGTAAACTTGACCTCGTGGTGTGTGGTGATGTGGGTTATAGCATTGTGTGATGATGTGGGTTATAGTGTTGTGTGGTGATGTGGGTGGTAGTGGTGTGTGGTGATGTGAGCTATAGCATTGTGTTGTGATGTGGGTTATAGTGTTGTGTGGTGACGTGGGTGGTAGTGGTGTGTGGTGATGTGGGTTATAGCATTGTGTTGTGATGTGGGTTATAATGTTGTGTGGTGACGTGGGTGGTAGTGGTGTGTGGTGATGTGTTATAGCATTGTGTTGTGATGTGGGTTATAGTGTTGTGTGGTGACGTGGGTGGTAATGGTGTGTGGTGATGTGGGTTATAGCATTGTGTTGTGATGTGGGTTATAATGTTGTGTGGTGACGTGGGTGGTAGTGGTGTGTGGTGATGTGGGTTATAGCATTGTGTTGTGATGTGGGTTATAGTGTTGTGTGGTGACGTGGGTGGTAATGGTGTGTGGTGATGTGGGTTATAGTGTTGTGTGGTGACATGGGTGGTAGTGGTGTGTGGTGATGTGGGTAGTGTTGGCATTTGGTGGCTATGGTTGTTGGGGTTGTTGGCTTTGTGTAATAAGTTCTCAACACTGACCTGTGTGGTGACGTGGGTGATGGTGGTATGGAAGGCGGCCAGTTCCTCCTTCTCTGTGAGTTGGTGATGACGCTCGGCAGCCTGGGAGACAAGTGAGAGGCGGCGGAGGTCAAGAAGATGGGTGGCTGCTAGGTCTTCCGAATTCGCCGCCTGACACCGTGTCACCTCCGCCTCCCGTGAACGTACGTGCCTGGTCAACATGCCTACATGCTCCTCGTGCAACTCTGTCCGCACACATACAAGAACCTGACATAGATATCACAGGTTTTGGTTTTGTAGATGTTAATCTATTTCGGTATTGCCTATTACAGAGCCCTTCTTGGTTGCCGTATTGGGTCACCAGTTGTACATGCCCCAAATTACAAAGCGAGTCTTCCAGGTGAAAATGCAGGTACTATATGTCAACTTTGTCAGACTTCATCTTGCTTTCCCTGCTATTTGTTTTCCAACAACATTTACCCATTTTTTTAATGAAACTAATTAAATAAACAGGGATCATTTCTGACAGTAGAAGACCCGATTCATCCTCACCAAACTTAGGTAAGGTTTAGTTAGATTAAGGTAGACTAAGTTTGGTTACATTTGGTACAATAAGGGCAGCTCAGGTAGATTTGGTTATATTAGGTATATTAAGTTGAAGTTGGATCCCCTTGGGATGACTGCCCATCTGAGACAGAGTAGTTACAGCCCACTGTGTAACTGTTCTGAGCCTTTGGCACGCATGAAGCCAGTGTGGCCAGCACTGTACTCGGTCGTCTTCACTTCCTCAACTTGAAAAGTTAGGTTCCCTGTAGCTGTTTCTAGCAGGGTGGGCTGGGATTGTCCCAGGATGCAACCCTCACAACAGGAGGGTTAGGTTATGTTAAGTTGGGTTCGGTTATATTTAGTAAGATTAGTTTAGATTACGTTATACTGTACTAGGTAAGGCTAGGTTAGGTTCTTTTACGTAAGGTTAGGCTCCAGTTGATGTCATGTTACAGTCTGTCAGGTTGTTGGTGGCAGTCAGGTAATTGTAGGAGACTCACCTGTCAGGTTATGGGTGGCAGTCAGGTGGTTGTGGGCAGCCTGAGTCCTCTGGTGCTGGGCCTGAGCCACCTGGGAGGACAGTAGGTGGATCAGTCGGTCCTGCCGTGTCGTTGTCTCCGTCACTCGCGTCTTCAGCTCCTGTCAGAGAGAGACAAGCACCTTACTGTTGGGTCTCTCATGAACACCTCACAATACAGTACTAAAAAGAAAGAGAAAAGTATCTTTTTTGTTTTATTTCAGGAACAAACGACTCCTTTCTTGGCGATATTAATCAAGTGACAATAGACTGGTGAATACCTTATAAGCTGAAGAACTGAATTCCTTGGCCTCATAACTAGATTCAACCCTCACATAACACATGATCGGAACCCACAAGGGGAGAGAACATTCTGGATTCATCTGAGGCATGGTGGAGCGAAGTTTTGAACTTCTTTCCGCTGCATTCATAAGTGCAGGTAATGAAATAATCAGCCATTTTTTCAAAGCCTCGTTGTTCCCTGAGATGGCTGGTGAGTGGCTATTATCAGACTCAGAGAGAATCATTGACCAATAAGAATTAAGAGTGTGTGGGTGAAGCCATATTATATCATTCATTTATGAGCAGAGAATTTTTAGTTTGTGCTCCCTTGTTGAGGGTGGTGGGTGTTAAGGCTGGTATAAGCATACCTGGAGCTGGGCATTGAGAGTGGAGGTCTTGGCCTCCCGTAGGATCTCCCTCCACTTGGTCATCAACTTCGCCTCATTCACTTGGCCCTTCTTCTCCTCGTCTGCCAGTTTGAGCTGTGTGTGTGTTGGGGTGAGGAAGGTGTCACACAAAGCTTTTTCCATATCCTTAAAAGCTAATGCTAAACATATACTGTAGTGTAACCAGAAACTCAGACACGAGCAAATATAAACATAAATTGACAATTATTCATTGTCGTTCGCTCCTCCACACTCTAGTGATAGGCGTGTTCTGTTTACCATACACAACATGGCCACATATCTGGTTTATCCCTTTAACTTCACCCAAGCCAGCAACACCCATCAGTACAGTATACCCTGTACAGTATATACTTCCCCAAAAGTCACTTGACGCCATGCTCTCTGCTGATTCACGTACACTGCTACTTCCTGGATGACCTTCCTAAATTCTAATGCATGCGATCTACCTCTGAATCATACAAACACCCTTGTACATAAGCCCCCCCACACACACACGCACACGCACACACGAGATTACGTATGGTACATACAGACCTAAACACCGTTAAAAGAAAATATGAGGGACTCTAGACCCACCTTGAGGAACCCTGCCAATAGCTCTTCTTTCCGTCTGTTGCTCTCGGCTTCCTGGGCTGCGCGGCGGTCCAGGTACTGCTGCCGCTGCTCTACAGTCATCCTGGCCAGCTTGTCTCCCTTCCCCTTACCTTTCTTCTTGGGAGCCATCTCTGCTTCTCTTCTTTATCTCTCTCTCTCTTATTTGTGACCGGCGGAAGATAGATGTGATGGTACAATATGTAGAACTCTCTTAATACTGTAGATGAGATGAAAGAAAGGAAAGCGATAATAGGCTATATATATGATGACAGTGAGATGGCAGATACTGACATCATCACACACATTAGTACCTTAGCTGACATCACATTAGTATCTCTGTGACATCACATGCATTAGTACCTTAACTGACATCACATTAGTACCTCATGCTCATATCATCAGTTCATCACACTCATAAGTACCTCTTGTTGACATTACCACATACTCGTACAGTAGTACCTCATGCTCATATCACCACACATTAGTACCTTAGCTGACATTCCCACACATTAGTACCTCCTGCTGACTGTGTGACAGCTGACATCACTCCACAGTCCATAATATGTTGACTCTTAAGCTGTACAGTGCATTTGCTTCACATTCTCTTTATTTTACAGTTTATTTCCACTTGGTAGCAATTTCATCACAATTTCATCCTAGCTCAATTATGACTTCTGAAAAAACTTATATAAATGCAGGAGTTATTCTGGATCACAAAATTTATCTCGTGGTAATAAAACTAATACTTCGGAGTTCAAATCAGTTCTTGAGTGGTGAAATATTATCTCCAAAGGTCTAGTGACAGGAAGCAAAGGTCGAGTGACTGGAAGCAAAGGTCTAGTGACTGGAAGATACGACTAATATTTCGAATGTCTTGCCTGGAATGCAATTTTGAAGTAACTTATCTTCCATAAAATTACACAATGTTTCTTATAAAATGTGAGCAAAGAATTAGAATTTTGATATTGCGCATCAGTGCAGTGCAATTAATTTAATGGGTTCTTACCGGAGATGGAGAATAGAACTGTTTGTGTCACAAGAACCGACCTGAGCGTCCCTAGTTACCTGCGCGTTGTTAGGGATGACGTCATGATAATGCGCTGTCTTCTGGCGGGAGATATGGTTGTGTGTGTCACGATCATATTTATCATAAAATTCGGTTAAATAAAATAAGTTAGTTACTTTGAAATAAAATATAAATATATAAAGTAGTAAACAAATCTGGTTAAACATAACCACGGCATTGAGCACTTAACTTAAAGACGGCACCGAGTGTGACCTCTTTCAAGACTGTCACTTGACCAACACTGGAGATGCTGGAGTGGGTTCAGAACGTCAGATACACTCAGCCTTCAGGTGCTAGTGCATACCCAGTACTTGCCAACAGTGCGTAACAGAGACGTGACCGACCGCCCAAATACTGCACTGTACAAGGATCCTCTGACAGCTCAACCCAACTGCTATACAAGGTCTGACTTAAAGTGTTAGAATGTGAATTGGAATCTCCTTACTTGTAAATGTTGACGTTGCACCAAACAGGACACTTCCTCCCTTTACCGGCAGTTATATACTGTACATGTTATATGAGGCACACAGAACAAGGGTCATATCAACGTTTCCACGTCGTCTTTCTGTCTTCTGTGCCACGTTTCAAAAATTGTAAAAGGCATACGAAGTTGTACAGCCCACAAATATTATATAAAGGGAGTTACCAATACGCCTTGATAAGAAATATATATAGTCTTATTCGGATAATGTAATAAATATTTGTGTCTTGTACAGTAACGGGTTATGAAAGACGATCCAAGCTGTTCACTGATCACGGGATATTTGCTGTAAATCTTAACACATCTACCATGTAACATCAAGAAGACTTAGTTTCTTTTAAATTTACGTCAATGCACGATTAAACTATAGGAATGCTTACCTTTAGACCATTAAGATCGTACTATATGCAAGAATGTTGAGGCACATCAAGACAACAGGATTAATTCTCCTTAACCTTGACTTATTCACGCAATTACAATTTCACCTGAAGCATGGACAAACTCGGCATAAGTTCACATACAGATTTTTTTTTACTTTTACTTTTATCCTCCACCACTGATCGGCTCGTTAGCCGCTTGGGCGATCAGTCACGTCTCTGTTACGCACTGTTGGCAAGTACTGGCCATGACCGGCTCCTGAATGTACCTGAACCTGCTCCAGTGTTGGTCAAGTCTTGCCTTGAAAGAGCTCACACTCGGTGCCGTCACAACATTTTCTGGTAGATTGTTCCAAGAGTTTACAACCCTTACTCCGAAAAAGTTTGCCCTCACAGTCTTCTGGACTTGCGGATTCTTCAATGTTGAGCTGTGACCCCTTGTAGGGCGAGCGTCCGCCAGCTCCAAGTAAGGACACTCGACTGAGTAGTGCCCCCTGAGATGCTTATACACCTCAATTAGGTCACCCCTTGCCCGTCTGTAGTATAGCTTTTACAGTTTATTTCTAATACCCTCTTCTGTGAACACAATGTGGGTCAGTGCTGTGTCGAATCGTCTGTCCTCAAACGCAGGAAGGTTAATCGCATCCTCTCTTGTGAACACGGAGGAAAAGAAGTTGTTCAATGCCTCAGCTTTATCCTGGTCAGAATCTGCGTAACTACCATCTTCAAGCCTCGGGTCTGATACTCCTACTTGCGTTTTTAATTTCGACTTTGCAGGAAATAAACATACCCGTTGATAGAAACAAGAAATAGGATAAATATACAAATATCACACACCTAAAGACAAAGGTAATACTATGACGGAAACAACACAGTACTGTACAGTACATGAATTTAGGGGGATTCATGTGGGTGCGATCGGGGTGGCTGTTCGTCAGTTGATCACCATGATTCAGCCCTCAGGTAATGCGGTCAGCAAGGTTAGGTTAGGTATTGAGGCTTGAGGGAAGTAATGCATCAGTTTGAAAAGGGTTGGGTGGGGGGAAGATTTTTAAGTGGCTATTCTTGAGGGGGTATCTTTATTTGATCCGTTCCTTTTGGTATCATTGTTCATCAGTAAGTTGCTTTCCTTTAATGAGCTACACCAGTCTACTTGAAATCTGAATAAATATATATATATATATATATATATATATATATGAACTGGCTACGAACTCTGACTAAACTGGTTCACTATCTGAGAAAAACCTTCCACTGCAATATATTAATCAATTGAATAGAGAAAACTAGAAACAATTTACTCTTGTTGATTCATGTTTTGTCAATCGTACGTCGGCAGTGAGGCAGCACGAGCTGACGTAGACAGGACGTTGTCATACTGGCGCCAAGTATAAGGCATTCAAAATGAGTTAAAATATATACCATATACCAATTTCCTCCATTTATTATTGTCATCTATCCTATTTAAAAAATAAATAGAAAGATCTTCATATACAGAGTGCAATGTGATTACACATTAAGGTGAAAATTAAAGTGAATTAGGAAAATATCAGTATCAGGTGATTCGCTTTAGCCACTCGCCAGCCCAGCCAGAGCCAGGGCCAGTAACGTCAGGAGAAGGCCGGAGTCTGGCGCGTCGGCCTCGGGGAGTTATGGCGTCATATAATGTTAATAATTGTGGCTCCGGACCTGATAGCAGAGAGTTATCCATCTCGGATGTTATGTGCCCAATATGTCTTTCTATACTGATAGAGCCGGTAACGATGCCTTGCTCTCACTCCCTGTGTATGCAGTGTTTCAACCAGCAGGTAGCCCAGACCTCCCTGGCTTGTCCTCTCTGTCGTAAAAGGTAAAATAAATGTGTTTTTATTCCCTGGAAACTCGTAAATGAGGTGAGGTATTATTTACCACCTACACTGCTACAGTCTGTAGGACATGCAGTAATGGCTTCTGACATGGCTGGTCTAGTACTGTAGTGTTACCTGACCTGTGTTTCAAGTGTTGATAGTGCTAACTGGAGTAACTGGCCTCTCAAGAGTTCCAGGGAGTATCTTCCCTGATGGGTCCAGTTTTAGTATAGAAGAAACTGAAGTACAGTAGCTGGAGAACCTTGGTCATACTGGACAACACCTATCTTATATAACTGACACAGAGCGCGCTGGGTGTACCACTGACACACAGTGTAGGTAGTGGCACAATCATGCTCTGCTATTTTTAAAAATTTAAGATCATACAGCTGAACTAATACAGTGAGTAATAGTTGAGTTGGTAATTCTTGACTTCACAGCCTCTGAATTTTAATGGAAAAAGAATTTAAATATAAACTAACCTAACCCTACCCAACCCAACCTAACCCCTAGCCGGGACACCAAGTAGGCCTAGCTTAAACTAACCTAAACCCAACCTAACCCAACCTAACCCCTAGCCGGGACCCCAAGTAGGCCTAGCTTAAACTAACCTAACCTAACCGTTTCAGTAGTTTGAAACTTTGGGGCACACCATGTCCGAAAGTACAATACAGTACCTTAGAAGTGGAAGATAATGTATTGACAAATATTCCTCTTCTTACTCTTTGTGTACCTCCTTGAACGATTATAGAACCACTGGTTCTTGTCCTTTCTATATTTACAAGGCAATTTACAGTGCGGGCACTCGACAGACATAGGGAGATCACCGTGATTACGTACGAATTGGATAGAATGATCGTCTTTCTCGTAAAACTTAACAATAAACTTAAAATAATCATAGGAGCACGACTGACACACGACCACGGCCGTTGTCAGACTGGTTATGGATTTTCAAATCCATACCCAGGCTGCTTTGAAAAATTTAAATGTGATTGGTAAAAAAATTCTCAGGGTGATATCGATACATCATTAGTCATGACTGAATGACGTCAGTCAATATGGGCATGCATGATCCATAATTAACTCGGTTTCATGCCGATAACATCTCAGACAAAGACTGTAAATTACGTAAATCAATTAAATTCAATTATATCGCTATTTTTAATTTTTGAATGGTATAAATGGGGTTCAAAATGCTCAGAATGGGTAGATCTAAATGATTCAGTAGTTTATAACTTTTGGGTGCACTATGTCCTAAAGTAAAATAATACCTCTAGTAAATATTGTGTATTTTTTTTTAAGGCAATCCATTATCCAAATTAATTTAAATATTAAATACAGTAATAAGTGCCTATTGTAAAATACAGGTGTCTCTCTTTTAGTGTTAATTCACTTTACGTTAATTCGGTTTAGCGCTAAAAATATTTTGACACTTTCTCACCAAATGTTAGCTCAAAATTCTGTTTTAACGATAGCTTGACTCACTGGGAATGGGAAAACTGGGGATGGGGTGGCATGGGTGTGTATGTGTGTGTAATGAATGCATTTTTGGAGGCAGTGGGCAATAACTGTGTTGCTGGCCCAGCCCCCGCCCCCTGAATCCCTCCCTAATGTGACATCACGGTATACATAGCGCTGCAACCACACGTCAGAGAGTCAGCTCAGTGATTGTCTGGCTGAACTTTGTGGTATCACCCAGAGGATGGTTTGAGTGTGGAAGGAGTTCTTTTTAGTGTTATTGTATTTTATGATATGCTATGTATCAATTTAATTGTTTATCATAGCAATTTTTTTCGTTTTTGACTTATGCAATTTGAAATTTGTTCAAATTAGGTTTAACCACGAACCACATCATTTATATAGAAGTTTGGTGTTAAGAAGTCAACTGTTAAACTTTGAAACAATTTATAACAAACTCGTTTATTATTATTATTATCATCATCATCATCATCATCATCATCATCATTATTATTATTAGGGAGTACAATGCTGTACTGCTGTTTGAACCTGTTGGTCGCCCGTTGCTGTTATCCCTTGTTTAGTGATAATTTCGCTTAATGTTAGGTTTTTCAGGAGCACCACCCTATCGTTAAATGAGGGATACCTGTACAGGTATATTGACAATATTTTTGCAGTTTATAGTATGTATGTTAGTTATGTGTTGGGTATGGGATGACATTATGAATAAACTATAAATTTTGTATATTATTTTTAGATCTTTAAAACCAATTATCCTATTCACAGAATTAGTGTTTGGGTGCGTCGTACCAGCAAAACCAATAGATTAATTGACACCAAACTTTGGCAGAAGATCCGGGACAAGTTTTCTGCCAAGGTAGAAGCTCGTATACGTGGAGTAGACGACACTGATAGTGAAGGTAAACACCATACCATAACCTTCCAATTTTTTTGTTTTTGGCATGTGTGTGTGTGTGTGTGTGTGTGTTTTTGGCTTTGCATTTAGGTAATCAGTTTTTATCCTGTGAATAAAGTAACAACTACCACAGGCACTGATCTCCTTTGGGAGTCAAGGGTCTCTGTGTAACCTTAGGCACTTTCATCCATTGACTATGCTTTACACTCGAGGTAATTTTCTGCTCGGTACAGTACTGGTTGACTGCTGGAAGATGTAGACTGCCTTCCAGAAAACAGGTAGATGTTCCCGAGAAGTGAAGTACATACAGTATATGTAAGAAGGTTTGATCTTGAAATCACTTGAAGCATAACCACCCAGCAGAAGCATAAGGCAATCCTTTTTATCTTTGAGCCCTGGAACATGCCTCTCTTCCTGTGGAATGAAGTAATAGGCTTCCAAACATTACCTGCCTCTTTGACATTAAAGTCAAGTTGAAGATGAAAACTGTTGTGGTTGATGATTGCCTTCAAGGAGTCAAAGAATTCAGTAGCTGCCTATATGTCAGCAGACTCAGTACTCATAGCTTCATCAGAGATATGTACTCTGCAAGTTACTATGACAGTTAATTTTCTTGAACCAACTTTCCCCGACCTGAAACATCTCCATTGTCAATCCCTTGCCGTCTCCTTCATGCAGGCAGGAGGAGGTGTTCCTAGCCTTCTTCATGAGGGTTAGTTGGCGGAGGGGCATGTGGCACTGTGTTTGATCTTACAACCCACTTGCCCAACTAGCTTTCCATCTTTTCCATTAAAGTGTTCACTGAATGAGTTGTCTTGGTTGCTCTTAAAGAACTGGTGGATTGAGCAGAAGCCCTTATCTTGGCTGCAATCTTGAGAATGGCTCTAATGGTTGTTATAGCCGAACCCAAGCTATGATCAATGTCAACCTGACTCAAAATCTGTATTTTACCATCCATAGTGATGCTTTTCCTTGACTGCACAGCCATATTACTAGCAATATCAATTCCAGATAATTTTCCAAACATTGTGGTTCTGAAATAAGATAGAAAGAAAATTAGTATCATGGTGGAGTAAGCACATGTCTGTCAAGGTAGAAGCTTATTAACTGAATGTAATATGCATATACTTCATTCATTGGCTGTGTGTGTGTAGATAATGTAATGAGTGCATGTTTTTCATTATTTATATCATTTTGTTTCAGAAGTATTTGTTCCAGTCCACTCTGTGAGTGCTCCAGGGGAAATTCGTCAAGAGTATGAGACTTTCCTGGCAAAACAGCTTGAGGAAGCAGCCCTGAGGAAAACTGAGGAAGAAATTGCTTCAAATAGACTGATACAGCTACTGCAGGTAGAAGGAAATTCAAAATTTATTGCAAGCAAACTTGGATGCCTATAAATTCCCAATACAAGGGGCCCCCCAAATTCGCAGGGGTTAGGTTCTCAAAATGGCCGCAAATCGCCAAATCCATGAATAACATTTGCGGAGGGAGGGGGAGGGTTACATTTTTACGTGTGTACAAAGAAATGTATATTCCCTTTATGTGTTTGCTATTAGAACAATTATTTCTTTTACCTGTATTGTATATATATATGTGTGTGTGTGTGTAGACACGCACAAAACACATACAAACAAATAATAATGGGAAAATACTCTCACAAATAATCATAAACAAATTCATTAAAAATGTGAATCTACCCTCAAGTCCGTAATTTATCACTTTATTAATAAAGCATGGACTTGAGGGTAGACTGTCAGTGGTGTTGCACACCTGGCCTCTCCTTGATCTTGTCAGCTCTTTTAACTATGGAATGCACCGTAGAGGGAGCCAAGCCGTGCATGCGCCAAATCACTGACGTTCCTTCTCCGTGTTCATGTCTTTTTATGATATCCAATTTCACTTCCAACGTAACTGCCATACGTGATCTCTTAGCACCATTGCTGGGAGTTTTAGTAGCTGGTTGGTTAGGCATTGCGAGATCACACAAAACACACGTCAGTACGTGTGAGACTTGAGGCGAGCGGGAGCGTATGGCGGAGGAATACGTACACGTGCTGTCCTACGCTACGGTTGAGGCGCACGGTTCAAATTTTTTGCTCGTAAGAATTTGCGAATAAACGGGGCAGCCATTGCGAATAATGAAAATGGGTAACAATAAATTGATTGCGGATAAACGGGGTTACGAATACCTTGGCTATGAATTATGGGGCTTGCCTGTACTGTACTACAGGACCTCCTTATAAATATAAACACCATCTCTGAAACATTTATCATTTCTAGCATAAAATATTATGACAAATGTGATAATCTTGGTAGCTTGATACAATGGTTTCATCAGTGATCCCCCCCCCCCCACTCTTCGATTTAACAGCAAACTGGATTTAATGGTGGTCCAGGTTCCATCGATGCCATTAAATTGAGGTTCAGCCTTTATATGATTTTCCACTTTATACACAACATCTAAAGAATGCATTCCTTTTGTATTATGATGACTGCCTGGACTATATATGAATATGTAATTTAAAATTATATTTATATCTTTGATTTATTCTTGGTTACAAAGTTATCTCGTTGACAGGACCAGGAAAAAATGAAACTACGGGAACGACGAAAAGAGCAGGAGCTCCTAGCAGAAAAGGATGCCATGCTGGCCCATGAAGTGAAGGTGTGATGGGGTTGTGTGGAGTATAGACACTGCTGAATGAGGATAGATGTGATTATTTGCTTTATTATTCTTTTGTTGCTACAGATTTTTTAATGTTTACTTATTGTTTATCAGGAAGCAGAAAAGATGTGTATGGAAGAAAAGTTGAAGCAGTTCCGAGAGTTGTGTGCCAGTGATGAGGCTGTTGCACGCCAGATTGAGGTATAAAATATTATAATTAATGAGGGATGTAATATTTGTAAATTAGGAGATCATTAGAATAATATTTTTTTTATAGCGTACACGTCATTCAGCAAGTGACTTTGAGACAGCCCCCTCAAACGTAAATTTCAGGCAGCTCACCTCTTTTAGGGGAGGGGAACTTCTGGATTCTAAAGAAGGGACCATTTTTTCAGAGTAGTATTGCAAAAGCTGTAAATCCATTACTGCCCCTGTTGAATAATGCTTTATGAAGCAAGTCTTGGCCTAAATCCATTTTGTTTTCTTTTTTTAATCAATCCTTCAGTTATATACTTAGATGACACACATTAGTGGCCATGTTTTCCATGCATGACCCTACTGTCAACACCAATTGTGTATGCTATGCAGCTTTTCTCATGGAACTTAAGATGAAGTGATCTCTACATTTGAATTGTCATCATATTGGCAGTGTTTACTTCTGTCTGACAGCCTATGATTTAAATAATATTCTGGTTTTGAAGTAAAGGGTGTTTGATGACCATTTGACCATTTATGGCCAGCTTCCCTTCTCTAGGCAATTAAGAATAATGTTGAAGACTACCAGAGAATGTTGTGACACTAAGGGGTGTGAACTTTTAATAACCTGCCTGAGAATGTGGCATTAAAAGTTTTTACTTGAATTGGGTAATTAATTTGGAATGAAACTTTTTGTATTGTGTGATTGTGACAGTGTATATAATGTGGCTTATACAGAAAAGGATGCTGATATTGTGCCAGGTGCTGAATTGACATTTCTGGTTATGTTGTGACAACATTACTGCCCTCTCATCAATAGAAAGCTCTCATACTTTGTGGATAACTGTTAAACTAGCCCAAAACTTTTTCGTTTTCTGCTTGATAATAGTACTGGCATGTGAAGAACTTTCAAATCGAACAAAAAAAATTGCCAAAGCTACCAAGCATTCTTACACAAAGTCTGCTCTAAAATGGATTCTTCTTGTATACAGTATTCCACTCATCCATACTTTTTTTCATGATACCCCAGGGTGGTAGGAACCATGTAGTAATGTTTCCACAGCAGTGTCCTAAATGTCTATGGTAGGGAAATGCTTCATATATTGCCAGAACTTCTGTAGCTAATTTACATTGAACAAAATGTGAGTAGTGAAGGAATTATAGAAAAAATAACATTGGTTATTAATTTAATGACTTTTTATAGCATGGACGATGTTTCAGAAATATTTGCAAAGATATCTTGCTATAAATGTTATAGAAGTATGATGGGAATATTTTGCATTAGAAACCCTTAGTTGTATTTAATTTGGGGATGTTATGAAGGTAGACTGGCAGCAGTCCTACATGGTAAAAGATTTTTATTCAGGTTGTTACAGTATAATTTTTTCCTTGATAGCTTTCCATTTAAGTTTTGTTGTAGTGGAAATAGACATAATGAACAATTTCTTTACAAGTACTAACAGTAATAACAATTTAATATGATATTCTGACAGAAAACGGAGTGGAAGGAGCAGAAGCAACGGCTTCCACAGAATGCTAAGGATCGTTCAGGTGGTTCCTCCAAATTAGGTCGCACTTCCAATAAACCTGTTAAAACACCCCATGGTCCAATGGATGTTTATATTGGTAAATGTTTTAATTTTTTATTGTTTTTAGAGGCTTGGGAGGTGACCAAAGGGCAACTTCAACTTGTTTTATGCAGATATGAGTATAACTGGAGAATTTCCTTGACTGCTGTTTATTGTTTACCTGCAAGTGGAAAGAAATAATTTTTTTTATGGCCAATGGATCACTCACCAGATGACTTCACTAGAACACCTGGCAGTGTGTGCCTTGCCCAGGATGCTTTGAAGAGTCATTGAGTCAATGGACACAGCTGCTTCTGGCTTACTGTCAGTACAATGTATATGTTACACCTTTACTATGCCACTTAGGAGTTTTCCAAGAACGACTTTCCTTTTGTTTTTATCCTCTGCCACCACCTGTTCCCCCACCTGGGGGGGAAGGTGTAGCAGAAGAGACTAGGGCATCATATAACTTTATCCTTACTTTGCCTTTTCTATTCCCCTTACCCCTGTCCCTTTTAATTTTTAATTTGGCTAACAGCAGGTGATTTTATTCAGCACAGAGGTGCCTAATACCCAAGGGGTTAATACCAGGCATGGGGCGATTAAGTTTCAAATTTAACTACGCTTAGTAAAGTTAATTTTAATTTTTTTCCAGTTAACCTGGTTTTTTTTTTACATTAACTAATTAAGTTAAGATTTTTTCGATTAAGTTAAGTTAACCAGTCTATGTCAAATTTGTTTTGGAGAATTTTCATGTGGATTAAATAACTTAATATCCTGTAAATGTTTTCCAGAAGAGTCAATAAATACTGTGGTTTGAATACCTGAATAGCCAAACTGGGTCAGGCAGTCTGGCACACTACTTGCTTGGTATGAATAAGTCTTGAGACAAAACAATTATAAATTCTTTACTTTTTTATTTTCTACTCAACAGTTTTTCACATGTAAATAATTTTATAATTTCAGTATGCAGAAGCAAGTTTGACTTTCTTACTTGAAAAATTATATCACGATATGATAAGAATTCTGCATATCGAATAAATAATAATCATTGAAAGTTTAAACGCAAACCTTTTCATCACATACTTCTTACACTTTATAAAGTTAAACATAATGTATTCAAACCTTTCATCACTTATTCAGCACCCGTCAGGCCTGAACACTTAACAACAAAAAATAAGAATTCTGCATATCAATTAAATAACAATCACTGAAGGTTTATACTCCAACTTTTTTAATCACATACTTATTACACTTTATAATGCTAAATGATAATCAGTGAAAGCTTCAACTCGAATTTTTTTTCATGACATGCCTACTACACTTTATTAACATTGTTTTCACACCTTCACTTATTCATCACATATCAATTGGATACTCACTGAACGCAAGGGCTGGTGTGTTATATTTTATTCGTTATATTTTCTAAGGAGTAAATTGATAATTAGTCAAAGTTAATCAATTAATGTGCCAAAATTTTGATTAAGTTACCGGTATGTTAAACTGTTATTTCAAAAGTTAATTAGTTAAGCAAAGTTAATTAATTGCCCCGCGCCTGGTTAATACAGCACAGTACTATATGTCGCTTTTAGTTTGGCCTTATAAACTAATGAGGTTGGGTACAAGAAGCACTGCTATGAAAAAAATTGCAAAAAAAAAAAACCTAGCTTTGGGTTTTTTGTAAGTACCAATATATCGAAAGTACAGGTATAATACTTTTTGTTCATAACTTTGGATAGTTATTAACAGGATCATTGTAAATTTTGGACTGCATATATATGAAGAACTGTATTAGCATAGAGAGATTTTAATACTCATTTTCTTTCAGGGAGCAATATGAGAGTCATTACCAAAACAAATCAGGATATCAACGATACCCCAACCACATCCAGTGCAAGAGCCAGTAGTTCACCCATTAGTTCTTCAAGACTAGACACCACAGATGTTGCTGCTTTAGTCATTCCATTAGCATCAGGCAGCATATCAGCATGTGTGGACAATAGAATTTGGAGACAACTAAGGGAAATTACATCATCTCAGAGTTCAGAGTCTGGTATGTCTTTTGGATGTAGACAAGTGTTTGTATGTATACAAATGTCATGACACCATATTCTTACCTGTATGCAAATATGTATCAATGTAGTAGTAATTTTCTGTGACTAGTATTACAGTTTTTTGGCCTGGGAGGAGTCAGTCTTAGTGTTAAGCCTCAAGGGCTTAAACCTCCATTGTGATGATCAAGGTCATTGAATCACATAAAAGAATTGTATGCCTTACTCACTTGATCATTGAGGAATTTTGGTATCCTTAGCTATTTGAATTAGTACCCTGTACCTGTGTTAATGAGTTGAATCCTTCCAAGGAAAACATGAACCAATGAAGGGAAACTTTTGAGGAACTTATAAGATTAGTTATTAATATATTTCATCACTTATCAGATTACTAGTCATTCGTGTGGTTGGTCTGTTCTTTGTTACCCAAATTCATAAAAATGGCAGCTGTGGCTGATGACAGCTACTGTGATAGGTTCCTCTAATCTTCCTTGTTTGTTATAGTGATTATACTGTACGGGTATTTTATCTTTCAGAGCCTGAAGACTTGACCCTATCTTCACAGCTCGGTAATCGTCATCGCCAGATCAATTCGGGGAAGGAAAATACGCAAAGAAGAAGAAAAAACAGTCCATGTAAATCAGGAAAGGGAAAATTGGCAGCTGATGAAACCAAAATTATTAATATTCAGGACAGCCCTGATATAGAGTGTTATAGTGGAATAATTGGTCTGAATTGTAATAATGCATTTAGAGAAGATAATGATAGTGATGAAACTGATATTGAAAACTCTGTGTCAACAAACTCTCAAACTATAACAAATGGGAAGGACAAAGTAATTGTGAATGAAAATGACTGTAACAGACTGGTAAATGAAAAACCCAAAACACATGATTGTATTCATGAATGTGGTGGTGGTACAGAAAAGGAGACAGCAGTTGGTGAAGTGTGTGATAGTTCAACAGGTAAACTAGGTCTTCACCGTAACGCACCAATGGAATTGACATCAATAATTAATGGCCTGGAGTTTAATCCAGTAAGTGTATTATATTTTATTTATTTATTGTATTTTTTGTGTTTTCAGTAATTTCATAGAACTCTAATCTAGGTGGCTTTTTTTTTTTTTGCTTTCCTGCATACCCCACACTGACCAACCTGGGTTGATGCAGCTTGTAACCAGTTCTTGTTCTCTCATTCTTGTTTTCCTGGTATTTAGACGAGTTTCTTTATTTTAGTCGCATAATTTTTTTTTTAATTAGTGAAGGGTGTAAAGAAGTCAAAAGGAACTACAGTACAGTACTCCTGGATAATTTGCAGATTTTTATTTTGCGGGCCTCTATTATTTGCAGATAACACGCTGGATGTGCCCAAGAATGTCTAAGTGTAGTTTTAGAGTTGCTGGCATTTTCATGGCCAGGACAGGGAGCCATTCGTTCTAGAGACAGTAATTTCCTTTACCTGTATTGTATATGTGTATGTGTGTAGACACACAAAACACATACAAATAAATAATAATGGGAAAATCCTCTCAAATAATCAGAAAAACATTTATTAAAAATGTTGAGTCTGACCTCAAGTCTACTCCGTACTTTATTAATAACAAAGCACAGAGTGGACTTGAGAGTAGACTCAATATTTTTAATACATTTCTTTCTGATTGTATAGTATTGTATTGTATATATGTGTGTGTGTGTATAGACACACATAAAAACACATACAAATAAATAATACATGTAATGGGAAAATCCTTTCACAAATAATTAAATCAGATTTTTTTATCGGGTCTATTCTTAACTCCATTCCGTGCTTTGTTATTAATAAAGCACGGAGTAGACTCAACATTTTAATAATTTTTTCAGATTGTTTGTGAGAGGATTTTCCCATTACTTATTATTTATTTGTGTGCATGTGTGTGTACACACACAATGTTATATACAATACAGGTAAAATAAATAATTGTCCTAAGGGCAAACACATAAAAGGAATAAACATTTCTTTGTACACAAGTCCAAGTTATATATGATAAACAAATTGGATTAGTACAGTACTGTTTTACTGTACTCAATTGTGGAAAATGTCATATTCCTTAATATCTGTTAAAGTACAGTACCAGATAACAAACTACATTTGCAGGAATCATTGGCAACACTGGTAGCAGAGCAGCATTCAGTGGAGGCCCTACTCAAACAGGAAGAAGAAGATCGCCTATTGGCAGAAGCTTTACAGAGGGAATTTAACCAAGACCAACGAAGAGTGGTTTGTGTTTATAGTTTATTTTTCTCAGATTCCAGAGTGGAGGGATTTAGTAATCAAAATTTTTTTGGGTGTTGTTTGAGCAATTTTTTTTTTTTTTTTTTTACTTGCTGTATTGTAGAAGTGGACATTAAGTTATTGAATATAATACTCAAGAATTATGTTGCTTGCAGTTTGAAAATGCAGAATAGGCTTGAGCCAGGTGTGCTTTTATTTAATTGATGTTATAATTAGAGTCCTCAACATTTCAAAATAGTGTAGAAAATTATAGACAAAATACAGTAATCCCTCACCAACCATGGGAATTACATTCTAGAATTCTCCTGTGGTTGTTAAAATTTTGATTGCCATACAATGTATGATCTAGAAGTTAAAAATAAGTGCAGTATACTGTATATAGGGTATATGCTATATGTAAAGAAAAATTCATTACCTTTACAGTATAAAAATACTTGTATGAAACACTGGTTAGTATAAGAAAAACAGTATAGGTGCTCCTCTACTTCTGAATGAAGTACACTTCTGAGGCTTGTTCATAAGTCCAACTTTCTACTTGTGGATACAGAACAGGTGTATTGTAAAAACTTAAAGAAATAAAGGATGTACTGTACAGCTGTACCCCAATAATGTAATAACTACTGCACATTACAGTATGCTTCACCAGCCTTTAATAGTATTAATGTATAAATAGCTTATACTTTATTAATTTTATAGGTAACACAGTACAGTACATATGGACAGATTTGTTTATAATTTTGAAACCATGGAACCTGCAGAAACTGAAAATTTTATATTTTGGTTGGTCAAATGCTGCACAAATTATGAAACATGGATACTCAAAACTGCTGTTGGTAAACCCATGGCTGGTGAAGGATTACTGTACAGTATAGTAATACCCCGATTTACGTGGTCAATTGAACCTGCAGAGATCCGCGTAAAACGAGAAACGCGTAAATGGAATAACAGAACATATGGGATTAATTGAAATAGAGACTGGGCCGACTCCCAAACTCCACTTTTTCCGACACAATACCTATGTTGTAGTAAAAATAACATCTTAATTTTATGATGGTATGCACACACAATTAATATTTAAGAAAAATACAGTCGCCAGGTTAATGTCCATTCAAATAATGGACTCAACCCCCCTTCCCATGCTCGCTGGCTCCTCCTCTCTGAGAAATGTTTGGGTGAAAACACTAGATTTTAAGGTATAGTAATAAATAATACCTCAGACTAAAGTTAGGATAATATAATTGACATTGCTGGATTCCTTGCAAGACCAGGAATATTTTGAATATTCACATCATATATTTTGTACAAAAGATAACATATTTGCTCTGTGTAAACAAAATTCTTACATTAGATCTAAAATTTGTATGTCCAATGCAAAATCCATGATGTTTATATTTAAATGATGATCATATTGTAAGAATTCCAGCAATGTAAATTATATTCTGGCCGGGTAATTTGTATGAATTTTATGAGCTAAAACAAATATCTTCAGTAAATAAAACAATTGTACTTCACCCAGACATTATCTGTCAATCAAAATACCCCACAGCCTCTTCCCATGCTGGCTGGGTCCTCCCTCCCTCCCTCCCTCCCTCCCTCCCTCCCTACCCCCCACCCCCACCTTCCCTCCCTACCAGAGAAATGTTTGGGTTAAAACAGTATATTTACATTTTTAGTAATAAATAATTCCTCTGACTAAAGTTAGGATAATATAATTGACATTGCTGGATTCCTTGCAAGACCAGGAATATTTTGAATATACACGTCATATATTTTGCACAAAAGATAACATATTTGCTGTGTAAACATAATTCTTACATTAGATCTAAAATTTGTATGTCTAATGCAAAATCCATGATGTATATATTTAAAATGATCATCATGTTGTAAAAATTCCAGCAATGTAAATTATATTCTGGCGGGGTAATTTGTATGAATTTCATGAGCTAAATAAAAAAATTATACTTCACCAGCATATATGAGTAGGTGCACCGCTTTAATTGGGCATTCCGGTTCTGGCAGGGACCGCGTAAATGTGGAAACGCGTAAACGAGAACCTCGTAAACCGAGGTATTACTGTAATTGAATTTGATTTTTCCAATACATTGCTTTGATTGCAGAAAAGTCTAATACTCTGTACCCAAAATTACATTTTAAAGATTGTTAAGGACCTCTTCACCTTTGCAGGTCAACAGAAGTAGAGGTTCAGAAGATGAGTACAAACTGAGGAATCGCCATCTTTCGACTCGAACTGCTCATAAGGGCGTTAAAACCACATCAGGAAAATCTCCCTCACAGAAGAAAACACGACAACCCACAATTAGGGAAAGTATTGCTAAACGGCAAAAAAAAGTATAATTCTGTAGAATGTCTCGGTAACGGAATAATTCATGCAAGGCTGTTCCATTTTATAAAATTTTCCGCTTACTTGGACACGAACAATAACCAGAGTTACTCTTAAGTATTGGACAAATTTTGTTTACTTGAACAACTTTCCATTAAGTTATTTGATACAATACCTCATTCCCCCCAATTAAATGCAACAGTAAAGTAATGGATTCCCAACTTATATACTGTACTGTAATACCATAACATTTACACACAACCTTTTCTGTAACAATAATACAGTTAATATAGTACTGTGTTGAAATACTATACTGTACATATTTAATGCTTCTCTAAGAAATAAAACATTAAAGACATGTAGTTTGTTTTAAGGTTCTTGCACGAAAGATGAAGAGTATACAGTACATTATGTAAACAACACCGTGTTAGATGGCCAGGACTACGCTACGCTAAATTTATTTATTTATTTTTTCTGCTAGAATCCATCTCAATTCCATATATTGGAAGATTCCAGTTATCAGAATTCCATTATTGAGGGGATCTACTGTACTGTACTGTACAGTACAGGTGTTCTCATATGAAAATTTTCTGCTCTGATATGATAATTACTCCCAAAAATACTTTACCCAAATTTTCAGTTCCATGATTAGTAAAAAAATACTTTACTAGAGAAGAATTTTATGCTTTACCGGTATACAGTATGTTGTCGAATGTAAAATTGGTAACACCAACAACTTAACCCTTCATTAGCCCCCAAATCCAAGTCGAAAATAATACAGAAAATCTAAAATGGGTCTCTCTTTTTCTTCTCAGCACCACAAAACTCTCACTTAAGCTTGCCAGCCATTTTAAAAGGAATTACAAACGGAGATTTTGTCAGTACACAGCGCAATCACTAACGTCGGAACAAGAAAATACGTAATTTGAAAAAATTTTGGTACGACTGCGGCGGTCGTAGGTCGAGGAGTACCTGTGCTGTATTATAAAAGGTAAATTATAGTCTTTATATTTATTAAATTTATTATTAATAATATATCACTGCTACAAAAGTAGAGCGAAGTGTGTTGCCATTGAAATAGTGAAGTATATAAATATACAATATTCAACTAATGGCTTCAGTTAAAACACTGGTGTCCGAGTACAACTCAACACTGTCCAGGGTAAGTCTCATCTTACTAATAACATTGGAATCTTCATGTAATAAACATCGATATTTGGGGATAATGCCAACTATCCACCACAACTTCTAAGACAATTTGAGCTTTAGTTCATAACAAATGCACAACTATATACATAAATACAAAAATATAAAATAAATAAATACAAAGATTTCACACCTCATACAAAATAAGTGCTGTCAAACAAATTGCATTATATTCAACAACAATGTGTCTAAAACACAAGGAATGGTTCCTTACATACTTCTGGGTGGTCATTTTAACAAAAAATTTGCTACAAGTCACTATAATAGGCACCTATTCAATACTAGGAAGAAGCTATACTGACACTAAACTTAGGTAGTGGTTGATGAGATGACTACAAGGATGATTGATGATCAGAGAGGGAAGTTCCCAAAACTCGATCTCAACTCTAGGTCGAGCCTTCAAAGGAACTAATGCAATCTGAGCTGATAACTTGAAACAATACTATTTACACTATTTACACTATACAATTATATCACAGACAGAAGTAGCACACTAATCCATATCAAAATACCCTCCATTCTTCTCCCCATTTAGTTTAATGCATATTAAATAAATACTCGTCATTTTTTTAAGAAATAAACAACTGCAATTATCACATACAGTACACATGTGCTAGCTATTAATACTGTACAGTATTTGGTATAAAATGCACTTTCTAGTGCATGCAGGATGCACCTTAATGGGCCATTGTTCTAAGTATAGAAAGGAGCAAGTAAATTACCACAATTGTCCCAAATATGATAACCACATCAGTTGCTAAATTTTTGGGAGAAAACTGTTTTTTGTGCACTCCTCAAGAGGCAACTGTGTTTATGCATAAAGGTATATCAAAATGGGAAGTGCCTTATCAGTTAAACTTACCAGATGCACCAACCTAAATAAAAATGCTGAGAATTTTTTTTTAGCATCACTGTACTACAACTGCACTAACATTTCTCACAACTGCAAGACATTAAGTTCCATGATAAAAAAATATAAAATATGAGATTATGAAGTATTGGATGAATTAAGAAAATCTAATTACTCATTCCTCATCTATACACCACAAAAAATCTATTACACTATAAAGAACACAACTTCCTTTTCTGTCTGGATGCAAAACAACTAAAAAAAAACACCTGACAAAGTGTTTTACATGAATTACCAATGAACAGTGGAAAACACCATTTGTTTTACAATCTTGAAAGCAAATCCTGAGAACAAGATATGAGAATATCACATGGGATCTTCATGACCACCACAATAGCTTTTCAGTAGCTAATACACCTTATACTATAAAATGTATTGATTATGTCCTAATTGTTATGCAAACTTTAGTGGTCTATTGGTTTTTGTAAAACCTATTTTCTTAAGGGTTTGTCTTCACTTGATATGTAATCTGCTATACTGTATATCTAACCCTTAATGTAACCTTGATATTTGCAGCTTATTAAACTTTTCAGTTTGACTGGTTTTAAAAAATATATTTGTTTTAAAATAAGCAGACTTACTCACTCAAATAACTAATGAAAGAATCCACACGAACAGTAGTTCTCATATAATCGCTTCTTTAACGATTTATCCTGTGACTTAGTTTCTAGATAAAGTGTCCTTTGTATAACATTCGAAGCTCACTTCTTGGGTGCCAAGGGAACATCATCCTATAAACAGAAAAATCATTACAGCATTTATTTAAAAAAATTTTAAATAAAGTTTCTGATTCAGGATAGTAATGACAGGTTTTAATATATAAAGAAATACATGTTGAGGCATGTTCAGTGTCCATTTAGATCCATAAAACCATGGAAAATGGCCATAGAACATTTACGATAATTGTGTTAAATTATTTCAGATTTTTTTCAATGGATTTGTTATGAGTTTTACAAATTATTATTACCTTAATTTATTTTAATTTAAAACTATTTTTTTTTAATAAATGACTATTTCTATGCAAAGTGATTTATATTAAAATTTTATGGAATGTGTCATGTTTAAGTGATAATGAAATAATCATAAACCAAGAAATAAATTATTCGTCGCGATTTCAAAACTTAAATTTTTGTGCACATTCATTAACTCGCAATTTATGGACAGATTTGTGTAATGAATGTTTTCATTTCCTGTTTTACAAGCTAATAGATGTATTTACCGCATAAACTGATCCCATAAATTTACTTACATCATCTATTATAGGTGCTTCAGGTCCTTCATTGTAGTGATAACCTTGTGGGTTGTACAGCAGCTCATCCTGACCAATGATGTAACCACCACCATCCATTTCTTCATCAGTTGTCTTACGATACACTGGGTTAGGGAAGCGGAAGCGGGTGTGAGGCATGACCCCTTTTCGCACTTTCCACCATCCGACAAACAACTGCGGATAAAAAAAAAGTTTCAAATAAGGTTAAAACTATTACAAATACATTAACTTTTAACCAGTTTTATAATACAGTCCTGTATGAATATACAGTATTAAGTGTCCACCAATTTTTTTTTTACAATCTGTTAATATTAATGTGTAGAGAAATTACCATAACCAAATATAAAAATACTACAGTAATACTGTACAGTCAAAACATTTAAGAGATTAAACTTACAGCAGCAGCCAGTGCTAGCACTACTGTAGATCCAAGAGCAACACCAAGGATCATTCCAGATTGAGGGCGATCATGTTCTGGGTGATTATCTTCTGGGTGATCAACATGGAAGTCTGTACGACCATCCTTCACAACATTCTCAGGAACGGGAGGAGTTATTGTGATACTGTCCACTTCTGGAATGCCAATGTTGTATTCAGTTGGACTGACAACAGGTGGCAAATCTGTATTATGTGAGGCTAATATGAAAGAAAAGTTTACGAAATACAGAAAAATACAGTATCTTTCCATTATCTCACAGATATAATTGAATCATTAACATCTTCCATGTGTGACTTACCAATCTCAACACAGGTGATAGAATCTCTGGTTGAAAGCACCAGGCCATCTGGACAGAAACAGAGAGGAATCCCCTCTGGACTACGTACACATAAGTGGCTGCATATGTGAGAGGAGCAAACATTATCTCCATTTGGCTGCCGATTCTCATGGTACACATGTACTACCTTTGGCGACTCAAGCTGTGGAAAAATGATTATGTTGCCTTAAACAAAATTTTCAATAATATTGTATTTTAAACCTAAGAATAAGATCGTTTTACCAATTTTTCCATCAACAATCACAGTTTGTTTCAAGACATATAATGTACAGTAATCCTCTGATTTACATGGGGGTTACTGAATTTGCATATCTTAATAATTTACAATATGCACCAACACACACTACTGTACAGGGTATTCATTCAGTCTGTCATGTGTACAATCTGGCTTTGAACTAGCTCCTGCCTTTTTTAACTCAAAATATGCATACAGTATTTTCAATGATGTAGGCACTATAGTAATCGGAGGAAGCCTGCTTTGATTGGTACCTACACTGGATAACACCCTTCCCATGGCTGACATATGCCAGCACTTGAACCCAGGACATAGTAGTAAGAGATACAAGAGTTAATAGTTAAGAACATGTAGCATTAGAGTTGTGATGTACAGGTACTGTTGCAAAATGTAGATGAACTGTTGTAGAGAACTTTTTTTTTTCTCGGGAATTAGCCCACCCAGGCACAGGTCACCGACCAACATGTAGTACTGCTTTTATAGTGGATATGTAGTATTATTCTCATAATAGTAAACATTATATAAAATTGTTGTAGTAAATGTGTAATACTAGTGCTCTGGTGAATGTGTCATGCCAATGTTGTAGTGAACATGTGGTACTAATGGTACTATTATCATCAAATTAGTTATGTTTTTAGTTAACATAAATGTAGCTTTATATAATATATATTAGGATCACTTACCAAATGTCCTGCAGACACATTCTGGATGTCTCCCCCAGTGAATTTGTCTGCACTATATAATGCAAGCATTGACCAGTCTGTCCAGTACAAGCGGTCTTCAAACACTGTTATGGAGTATGGCAGACGAAGTACAGTTGGTGAGAAGAGAATAACCTGTAAACAGTAAAAATGGTTTTATAGCTGTACAGCATCTATTTTTTAAGCTCTAAATTTTGTATTTCATTTAAACTACATAGTGTTAATGTCAATAATGCCTGTAGCACAACATGTTAGGTAAATACTAAACACCATGCATGCCACTTAACCCCAACATTGAGAGTACAGTACCGAAATCTATTAAAAATAGCTTCTTTAACACATCAATACTGACCTCAGTTTGTGACCCGTCAAATCTTGACTTGCTGATTGTGTTGAGTTTACCATCACACCAGTAAATGTGTTTACTGGAATGGTCGATTGTGATTCCATTTGGCCAGTAAACATGTGGAGGAGTAACAATTGCAGAGCGGTCACCTCCATCTAGTCTAGCACGCTCAACCTTGGGCGAGCTGCCCCAGTCAGTCCAGAATATATATCTGTGTAGATACAGGAACATTTTATTATATAGTAGTATGCGGTTATATCTTTCACTTCTAAGTTTATAAGATTGTTATATAACATGTTAAAAATTATACTGTACCAGGTTGGTATGAGTTAGTGTATACAGTACATATTACCTGTATACAGTACTTTAGATGCAAATGGCATATACTATACTGTACTAACCCATCTAGTGGACTGACAACAATAGCTCGGGGCTGTCCTAAATCCTCCTCTACAACTGCCTTGGACCATTTGGCATCCCACGAGATCATCTGAATCCTGAAGTTGATGGAGTCAGTGTAGTAGATGTGATTGTGGATCCAGTCTATTGCCAGACCGTCAGCAGACACATGTTCCCCATCCACCAACACCTCTCGCACTTCAGTATTGGTCATGTTGGTTCTGGAAAAGTTTGAGAACAGTTTTAATTTTATTTTTAATGACATTAAATAACATAAGGTAAATAGATATTTTCATATCTTATCAATTAAGTAATAACTCCAAAGAAAATTAATAATGTTTAAATGTAACAGCACAAGCAGGATTTGTGTATCACAGGAATACTTCATTTGCAGTTATATACCTAGGAAGCCAATTCACTGAGAAGACTAATTTTTATAAGCCTAATATTGTGCAGTATTCACTTCAGGACTTAAGAATGCTGTCAAACTTACCTTATGATCTTGTTCTCTTTATTATCAGACCAAATAATCTGATGACTGTTGTACAAGTAGTCAAGAGCTGTGGCTCCTCGAGTTTCACTCACAACAGACGTCATGTCACGGTCTCTCAACCGGAGGCTACGAATGTCATGTCTGAAATTTAAAAAATAGTCGACATGATCAATATAATTTTTAGGTTGCAATTGAAAATTTGATGTGCAAGAAGAAAAACGAGAGAATTTCTACTAAAATCTTCTACTGCACATTAAATACAGGTGTGTGGGTATACAGTATTTACCATTGCAATTTAATTTTCCAATCTTTTGTAAATGTATTGGAAAACTATTTTTAAACCATCTAATACTGTACCTGTGTGAGAACAGGAGGTATGGTTCCCCAGAAGACGCCTTACAACGGGTATAGTTTCTTGGATCTCTCATGTAGCCGAGAAGACAGGAACAGTGGTACCCACCCATCGTGTTTGTGCATTTTTGAGAGCAAATTCCAGGAATCTCCAAACATTCATCAACATCTGCATGACACAAGCTTTCATATCAGGAGAGGACCAAGACATATAGCTTTCATATCAGTAAAGGATGAAGACAGTACAAATTATCCATTTAGTAAATTATCCATTTAGTAAATTGTAGAGAAGTTGGTATAAAGGCCGTACAAAAGTAATGTTAATATAAGGCTAGAACTCCACTAATGTTCAGCACATATAAGGTGCCTACCTTCACATGTGTACTTTCCATGAAGACGATAACCAATCTGGCACTGACAATAGTAGCCTTCTCTTGTGTCCACACACTGCTGAGTACAGCCACCATTGTTGCGCTGACATTCATCAGTTCCACAAACCTCTTCAGACTCGTCCTGAATGTGATTAGTACAATAAATCAGAGTTGCTTGTAAAACAGAAATGTATTATAATTCCTGTAATTTATATAAATTAGATGTTCTTTGAATGAAAAGAGTAAGTTCTTGTTTTTAAAGAGCACAATATTAAACCCGTAAGAAGTGAGCGAGATCACAGGTCTCTCCAGTCATGTTAATCTTCAGAGAGATGCTGGGACAAGTGCTGGGAAGACCAATGGTATGCAACAATAGTGTTGAATGTACAGTACTGTATATTGTAAAGATTCTAGCCTACTTGCTTTTGTACTGAACTGATTTGACACAAGTACTGATACTATAATAATTTAGGTGGAAGTTTGCCACACTTTTCTTCAGCAAGTTGTCTCTGAAATAATTTAGAAAAAAAACGGTGTACTGTAAATAATTATGTTGTGTTTAACCGTGTTAACAATATTTCCTTAAACCACACTACATAACTAAAATCCTGAATGAATCTGATAAATTGTCTTGCTTAAGAATATTTGTAAAATTAATTCTATAAAATTTTCCAAATTTGTATCCTAATTCAAATAAGAAAAGAAATCACAATGAGCTAAGTGATATACCATAAATGTCTGCATTGTCACGATTACATTCCATATTTTAAACCCAAAAAGAACATTAGTACAGTATACGAGTTCATGCCGATACAGTAATAACATTCTACAAATCTATGTTTTCAATGTTATACTTCTATATATTCCTAAGGAAATATAGCACTGTAATGGCTAATGCAGTCAGTATTTATCTTCTTTGTTTTGCAAGATATCTGCATACAACTTTCACTTTGTGAAGCCTAGAGAATCTATTAAAATTGAAAATTATTTGTAAAAGAAATATCTGTGAACTCAAAGAATGTCTTACCTGCCAATCACCACAGTCATTATGGTTATTGCAAAGTTTATCACGAGGGATGCACTTGTTTTTTGCACACAGGAAATGTGTTGTAAGATTGCAGGACGTATTAGTCAATTCAGGTGCAGGTGGTGGTGTAGCTGAAAAGAACAAATTATAAAATCTCAAGAAAGACTATGTACAGTAAAGCAGTAAGTATATGCATCAATATATGCACAACACATACACCTGTACATTCAAAAACAGTTATGTCCATCTTGGAATCGCCTAGTTCTCTGACTTTTTACTAAAAGCTCATTTCTCTTGTAATGTTCAGTAAATAAGCATGAAACACTTACGACAGTTGGTTTCATCTGATCCATCTCTACAATCATTTCTGCCATTACAGCGAAGATATCCACGCACACACTGTTTGTTTTCACAAGTAAAATGAGTAGCAGGGCACTGTGAGCATCGTGCTGGCTCTTCATCTTCACCATTTGGACAATCTTCATCCCCATCACACAGTTTAATGTTCAAGATACAGTAATCTCCACACTGAAATTCATTATCCCGACAGGTGGGCCTGGGAGTGGTAGTGGTGGTATTGGATGTTGAGTTACCACAAGCCTGTAAGCAAGTAGACAATTGATGTATTAGAACTATTTCATATTTATTTTTACACTGTATTATAGTAATGTATCTGTTAACCATACCACATTTTTCACTTAAAATTAAGGCTAAGGTCATTACTTTTATATTATTTCGTTGTATTTCCATTACAAAACTTACAGGAATAAAACATGAACTATAACACCTATCATCATAATCTCGTACAGTCCAAAGATTACTGTAAATGAATAATTAACTTTCTTTCAGTGGGAGGCAAGTCTGTGGCACCTTCTTTTAGAAAACCATTATCTATAAAAATATCTGAGCTTTCAAACTTCCTCTGTAAACCAGGTAAGTGTTCAGACCTTTCGTTTTTTCAAATAATTAAAATTTTTTGTATATTTTCAGTCAGTAAAAGCTGGGTATAATCACTTTACTTTTTACTTTTATCCTCTTCACCATTGATCGGCTCGTTAGCCACTTGGGCAATCGGTCACGTCACTGTTACGTGCTGTTGGCAAGTACTGGACATGCACAGGCTCCTGAATGTACCTGAAACTGCTGCAGTGTTTGTCAAGTCTGGTCTTGAAAGAGCTCACACCCCGTGCCGTCACAACACTTTCTGGTGGATTGTTCCAAAAGTTCGCAACTCTCACTCCGAAAAAGTTTGCCCTCAGTTTTCTGGACCTGCGGCTTCTCCAATCTTGAGCTGTGACCCCTTGTGGGGCGAGCGTCCGCCAGCTCCAAGTAAGGACACTCGACTGAGTAGTGCCCCTTGAGATGCTTATACACCTCAATTAGGTCACCCCTTGCCCGTCTGTAGTATAAGATAAGCAAGTTCAGGCACCCCAATCTCTCAGGGTAGTTGAGGTGTCGAAGTGCAGGCACCAGTCTGGTGGCCCTCCTTTGAACATTTTCAACCAACCGACAGTCCCTAGCATATCTCGGGGACCAGACGGGGTGACAGCACTCCAGATGGGGAAGCACTTCACTCTTGAAGATCGTTACGAAGGACGAACCATCTAGATATCTGAACAACCTTCTTCTAAGATCCAATAATTTATTTGCCTGATTTACCTTCTTCTCGCAATGGCCCGAGAACTTCAGCTCATTGTCAACATACACAGCTAGGTCCTTCTCACATTGTCTCAAATAATGCAGTTTCTTCATCCCGTTGGGACATATGATACGCCTCTTTACCGTTGGTACACCCCAAGTGCATCCTCTTGCACTTCGTGACATTGAATCTCAGCAGCCATTTCTTCAACCATTCTTGGAGCTCACAGAGATCCTTCTGCAGCTGTCTTTTTAAAATATTTCTTAAGCAATATTTATGTCTACATCCAAACTGTTGCAATGCTCAAAACTTACAACATGAATGATTGTCCTAAACTAGTTTGCCACCTACTTCAGAAAATTAATTTATTTACGGAATATTCTTTATAACTTCTCTCACTCACCTTCTCATCAGAACCATCAAGACAATCTCCAACTCCATCACAGAGCCATCGGGAAGGAATAATCATGGATCCAGCTCCACAGCGGAACAAATTGGGTCCAAGTGTTGTGGTTTTATCAGCTGCACAATCCTGCACACAATCAAAAAATTTATAAATTTTAAAATAATATTAATGTTTATATTGAAAACTTATCATTAAGAATGATATACAGTACAGGTATACTATATCATACTTATCATCTATATAGGCCAATTCAAGAGATTCCATTGCTAAAACCTTATGTTCTCCCAGTACATATTAACAGTGACTGTAGCATGAGGATATTTAAGATACTAAGTGAGTAACATTCCTAAGTATTGTGAATAACCATGAAAGATCCACCAAAGTAGAGTCTTGGCAAGACTAAACACAAGCTAAATTACATAATGAAGAAGCACTATAATACTATGCAGGTAAGAATGGAGTTTCCCCTTCTGTAGAAGCCGGTTACAACATCAGCAAGATTTGTCTGAACCATTTCCTTTAGTGTTAACTTAACATACAATACTGTACAGTACAGTTCCAATATTTTGCTTGCATATTTCTATGATTTTATGGAATTTTGTAATTATTATTTAATACCATGGTAATAATAGCCAGGGGTATTTAATTATAACAGATACCAACTTAACATTTCAATGGTTTCCATTATTTCTCATATGGTTCCCCATGATTATTGTTACATCTCAGTATCCTCGTGCTTGTCATTTAAAGCGCACATTTACTTCTCACATTTCTTTGGATTACTCTCTACCCTGAACTCCAAAATGACTGGCAAGCAAAGTGTTAGTGAACGTGATGGCAGTGGTAAGCCGAAGAAAGCTTGGAAGGCGATTTATTTGCAAACTAAATTGGACCGTACCTAAATTTGAATAGGGAGTGAAACTCGGGGAAATCACCATATATCTCTTGTAATTTTAAAATTACAGTATTAATTTATTGCCTGCAATTCACTTTTATGTGTATTACTGGCTTATAATTATCATGAATTATGTACAGTACACCAAAAATTCTCATTAAAAACTGGTTTGTAGATTTTTTTTTTTTTTTAGAAATGTACAAGGGTATCTCGGCTTTTATAATGGGAGTCTAAGGGAAAATGGGATCCACTAACAAAAAAAATTCGCGAACAGAACCCTTTCATAAATCAGGGATTGCCTGTAGACCATGTACAGTACTGCAGGTACTTTTATTTTGCTGCATTATGCGATTTGAAAAGGTTTTGTAAATGCTATATATTACAAGGTTTGAAAAATGTGTACGAGGTTTGCATGTTTACTGTATATCTTACCTCATCAGAGCCATCAGAACAATCCTCCTCACCATTACACCGCCAGGACCCAGATATGCACTGCTTGTCACTCACACACTGGAATTCCCCAGGTCGACATGAAGCTGTAAGAAAGCAATAGTTTAATAAAGAGTCTAAATTTTAAACTACGTACCGCAGAACATCACTTGCAAGCCATTTCATGCTCACAGATAGTATATTATCTTTAAAATACAATAACTGTACAGTCACCCAAAAAAGTCCTGTCGCGAACCATGAACCCCGAGATTCAGACTCTTGAATCCGAAGCATTTATGGACAATGTATCATTGTCTACTGCTTCGGGTTCACGAGTCTGAATCGTGGTTCGTGACAGACTTTTTTGGGTGACTGTACCTAATAAGATAAAGCATATCTTAAATGACTCCTCTTACTCTTTCTGGAGTGGTACTGTATCCCCCAAGAAGTATGAGCAAATATTTTATTTTAGTAAAAGATGGTCATAGAGAAATGACTTTTTTTTAAGGTGGGACTACTCCCTAACCCAGAAAATATTTTTGGTGTGTCAGTCAAGAAAGATGGGCAGAAGGCTAACTAAGCCAAAAATAATGCATGGGCAGAGGGTTAACTAAAAAAACCATAAGTAATGTACAGTTTAAAGAACTTACAGCAGTCCTCTGAGGATTCATCAGTGTTGTCGTTACAGTCATCTTGACCATCACATTTCCACAAATTTGGGATGCAGTTTCCATTTCCACATTCAAACTGGGTGGAGCGACATCCAATCTCCTGTGTCTTGTTTTGGTTAGGGCAGTTTGCTGGCTGGAAAATGATACTCATAAGGAGATACATCCAAATTTAGTGAGATAACCTGTCATAATTGTTATAATAATATCAACTACAGTACAGTACTGTCATTTTGTGGCTTTACCACCACTACTGTAATATTAACCAATTGAAGGAAGGTTAAAAGGAACTTTTTATGAATTAAAAAAATATTACGATGTCTAACTTCTAAAGATTAGACATTAAAAAAAAATATATAACTAATCAGATATCATATTATAGATTTTCTAATAAAACATATAATAAAAGAATTAGGCAATAAAAAAAAATATGTATTGTATACAGTAAATATAAATGTAAATATTAGTAAAACTGTACAGGCTTATTACTCGGTGATTCAAAACTCACCTCTTCATCAAAACCATCATGACAGTCTGGGTCACCATCACACAACCATCTTTTAGGTAAGCACCGGTTAACATCACACGGGAACTCGGTACTGCGACAAGCTGGGAGGGTAATATCATATGTTAGATAATGCCTTTCAATTACTTATTTAATCCTTATTCTTACAACTTCATTAACCTAGCTTACTACATGTCGTCTCGACATGTAACATCTACTGAAGAACTTTGACAGTCGAACTCTTATTAGAGTAATTGATAATTTCGAGTTTGGTGACTTTGGCTAAACCTGTTCTCGAGTTTTTGACTTGTACTTCATCTTGATGATATACAGTACATTGATGTGATTCAAAGTATGGTCTTACTTCCTTTGTCTAGGATTCAGTATCTACAAAATACTCCCAAAGAGTACAGTACAATAAAACCCTCATAATCCGGATTAATGGGGGGCCTAGTCCGTAATCAGTGAATTTCCGTAAAGTCTGGATTAACCAAGAAAAAATCAGACAATCCGGATTGCTGTGTGGTGCACACAAACAACAGCCCCAGGCACTTTGTTTACGAGTCAGTAACAGTTGCAACTTGCACTGCTGCATCAGTTATGTGTGCAACTCTTAACTTCTGTGAACTTGTGGACTAATTACCAAGGCTTCCATAGGCAAGACAACTTCAAAAGGAAGTCAGAGAGGAGTTTACCTTGAAGGACAAGCAATAAATACATATATTATATTGTAGGCAAGTGATTTTTTTTTTTTGCTTCTACGTGGCTAGATTCCTCATTAAAAACTTAGGAAGTTGAACTTCTACATTAAGTGTAAACCATTTCTATACCGGGAACTCATTTTTTCTAAAAAGTGGCTTCAGGCTAGAACTTTTATGGAAAAGATTATCTACCCGACTTTTGTCTCCTAACTGATATTGAGCGAAAATCTTAACTGGTACTGAGCAAATGTATTTCGTTAAGGTACTTTTATCTCTTAACTTGCATTGAATGAACGTTTCTATTATAGTTACGACAGCCTCAGTAGTTAAGATGCTTTTGCTTTGGGTTAAATGAACTAATTAGGCACATTCTTAAATTCCAATGAATGTTCATCATTATTTAGAACCATTCAGAAACAACACCTTACAAACACTTTCACAGGTCACACCAGTAGATGGACAAGACACCCCAGAATGTATTAAAAAATATCCATACTTTAATTTGCTAAAACGTAATTATTTTTTAACAAAAGTATAAATTAATAAATCTTGAACTGGAGTCCGAAAAATCGTGTAATACGACATTCGTATGAAAATATGTTATTGCCATTTTTGGAAATGGGAGTTATAATAGTGTTAATACTTCAACATAGCACAAGTCAGTAAATATAATATTGAATTTATATGAACACAAGTCCGTAATCATATTAGTTCATAATGGATGTTAATATAGTAATAGCAAGTTAAACTCATCCTAATGTACCACGTATGACTGGATAAAATCAGACATCACACAGGGTAACTATACTTGTAAGCAAAAGTGGCATATAATCCATTAAAACTTCACCTAAGCTCTAATAATATTACAGTAATAGTATATTACTTGACAAAGCAGTTAACACTCAATATTTTAAATGCTGAAAAAAAATCGTCTTAAACTGTACATACCACCCGACACCAGCCCCGCCGAGGCACTAAGTAGTATTATTAAAGTCTTCATTTTTCTTCTCGCAGCCATTGATCAGCACCTACACACTCAGGATATTAGCACCATGTGGTAGCTTCTCACACACTCATGCTCTGTAATGGTCAACTCCTGTATTTATGGCCAGCCGAGACGCCATGAAATTTACGGTGACCTTAAAAACATTCACTATATTACGTTCAGTTTCATTTTGTTTCATACAGCTACAACACAAAAATAAAAATAAACATGATTAATTTAGGTGTTTCATTACTTACTGAAAATTTACGAAACACTTATTATGTTTTTTCTTAACTTTTGACTACATGAACTATAAAAAGCTATAAAATAAAGTCACCGGCAGATTTTTTTCAGCGCGCATAAATTGGTTGCCAATGAACTGCGCAGCGACCTCAGAAATTTTTAGGGTATAAAATTGCTGTAAAAATTGAGTCTGACCAGTTTACTTGATTAGAAATTAATAAGATGGACCAATACAATTAATTCACATAGCAGCTCTAAGGAAAATTAATTATTGCACTGAAGGAAAAATATATGACAATATATTCACCTCCTAGCCCCGCCCACTACGACAGGCCAGCCAACCTTTCCGTGCAACCCAGTTGTAAATAAACATTGCGAAAATTTGAGTTGCCATCATGTGAGAAATATTACCCCCATATGATCTTTAAAATCATATTACATGCGTCGCAGAAGTTGGGTTTTCGCAGCCAATTATATTCAGCAATTCAAATCATTCTCCAATAAAGTACAGTCACAATGTATTTGTAATTATTTGATATACAGTATTATGCATTGCATTTAATTTTGATGAATTTGAATTCAGTTTAGCTTAACTTTATTAAAATTTTCAGGTTTTCATCTTCAGCTAAAATCTTAATATGTTAGTGTTATTTGCCTCACTCTCACAACCAATATGTTTTGTGCACCTTACAATGAATCAATCATAAGTCCCCCATAACCTAACCCTCCCCTCCCCCCATTTAGCATAAATGAGTTTAGGCATAACTTGAATTAAACACGGGTTCCTAATCTTCATGAGATCCATAAATAATAATAATAATAATAATAATAATAATAATAATAATAATAATAATAATAATAATAATCCTGAGATCTCTAATGGATTTCATGAAGATTGGAAATCCCAGCTCATTTCAATGGAAAATTAAACGCCCTTACGTTCAATGGGTGGGTCACGTTAGGTTAGGTGTTTAATCATCAGGCGAAATAAGTTAGGGTCCATAATCTTTATGAGAGCTTTAACATTATTAAAGTCGGAGTAATAGTTGTTAAATTGTTCTATTACTTATCAACTATGGATATTTTATTTAAAAATAATAAAATATTATATAACAGACACTAACATTGATGGACATCATGTTAGGTATGGTATTAACGTAAACAAAAAATGTAGTGTCCACCACCATCCGGCCTAACTGATGTGTTGTCTTGTAGCCTAACCTTGAAGATAAAAAATACATTAATGGAAATTAAATTCGCTGGCTACAAACTAATGGTGTAAAAATTACTCTAACAGTTTAAAAAAAAGGTTGTATCTTCTATCTAACCAAAAGGTAATTTTACACCAGGAAACTCAGAGGACAACATTCACAGCTAGCTATATAAGGGCGTCCATGCTATGTATGTGACGGTCAACATATCCGAAAGGCGAAATGGTCAGAAACCATCAAAACAAGCATGTGTGTGACCACATGATGTAGAAGTGACCGCGTCTGCAGCACACACACACACTCACACACACACTACTATTCAGTAGTGCCATTTATAACTTGTATATGTAACTCATAATACCATTTGCTTCACGTGTACAGGGAATTGTGGTACTTTAGTGCCAAAAATATAAAAGGGAAATATGACTTTTCTGACTGACTTAAAGCGCATCTAATGCTTCGAATTATCTCTTTCTGATATATTTATAAAAAATGTAAGTGTTGACAATAATTTATCTTTATACAAACGTTACTTATAAAAGAATAAGGTGCCACGAGACAGTAGCAGGTTACTCCAATGTGTGCAAACTTTCTCTCTGCTGGGTGTTGACATATTCACCCTGGGCTGAGGTCACGCGCTCAAGGACGTCTAGTCCTTTTAACTAAAGGTGCTCTTAACCTGTTAACTTGAATTAAAACAATAAAATAACGGAGAAAAATGGCATCAGCATTTCACCGAAGCTCGATCTTAATAGATTCATTGACTTAGCACTTGACAAAAGTAATTTACAATCTCACTAAATACATTCAGATCACTTTTCTCCTAGTAAAAACGCAAACTAACCCACTTAAAGTTACTGCCTCAGCTTGACTTATATGACATTTAAATCCTACTTAAACACAATTATTTAATAAATGAGTTCCACCAATTCCAGTTACGGTAATATTATTTCATTTTTAAATATCCCAACAATAAATTTGCCAGGTATAATTCCTCTTTCCCCCCTCACACACACACACACACAAACACAGGAACAAACGTACAGTACTTAAGGATTAGGTTGGATGAAACTCGACGGGAAGTGGAGACATTTATTTCCAATACAATAAAACACAGTAACTCTTATATAATTTATCTCTCATCAAGGGCGTATTTATGGGGAGGATTATGGGGATGCACCACCCTCGAAGTTTTAACACTATTTCTACTCAACCACGAATTCATAATAGTATTGTGAAATTTTCTTAATTAGGGGTATATAGTTAAATGAGGGTTAAGGATGAAAATTTAATGTATAAATATAATAACTTTAATGTTTTGATGAAAAAAATGCATATAAACTCATGAAATGACTTTTTTTTAACTATTGTTACGAACCACGCCATCTATTGTCATGATCTACCTACCCAGCACCACAAGCAACGCCATCTAGGGACGCAACCCGAGTATGACTAGTCTTAGTCACCACTCCAGGTTTCCCTTCTCCATATCCTGGTTGTTGCATCACCTCCTCCAACTTTTCCTCATCAGCTCCGGATCAAGGAGAGTTCAGTTCACTCTGGGAAGTGACCACACTAGGATCACCTATCCTGGAAACCTACGGCACAGTGACTACTTACCATCTTCTTCAATACTCAGCCCTACTCGTCAAACACTTCAGCACCGGACTTGAGTATTGTAACCCTATATTACCTCCCACCTCCACTTGCTTCAGATTGTTGTATGTTGTATAAATATGTATATACTGTTAAGCCAATGTTGCATATGTTTAAGTTAAGTATGGTTAAGGGTAAATTATAGAAAGCTGGATATTTTGTTAAGGAATTTATTGTACTTTATTATACACAACAAAAACTTGCATCCTTTGTCTTCCCTTTTATTGTCCGTTTGTCTTTGTTTGTTTAGTTTTTTTATTGTTGTTGCCTGTTGGGATCTGGGTAGACTTTTAACTATATTCTAAGCCAGTCTCTAAATCCCCAACTCGTGACACTATAATGTATTAATGAAGTAAATGGTTTTTCTTAAGTATATGATAGAAATAAATGTATAAAGTTATCTGTTGTGTCAGCTTTCGGATCTAAATAAACTGCAGGGGTGGTCTGAAAAATGGCAAATGAAATTCAACACCAGCAAGTGCAGCGTACTTAATATTGGAAGAACAAATACTTATAATGTATACAGCTTTAACAACATCAACCTAGAGAAGTCGACTTGTGAAAGAGACCTAGGGGTACTTGTAAGCCCGGACCTACGGCCTAGAAAACAGTGCGTTAATGTTCGAAGTAAGGCAAACAGAGTATTGGGTTTTATATCTAGAAGTGTAAGTAACAAGAGTGCAGAGGTCTTATTGCAACTATATCTTGCGCTAGTCAGGCCGCACCTCGATTATGCGGTTCAGTTCTGGTGCCCCTGTTATAGAATGGATATAAATTCACTAGAGTCGGTGCAGCGAAGAATGACAAAAATGATTCCGGGACTTAGAAACCTTCCATATCAGGATAGGTTAAAGAAACTTAATTTGCATTCCCTAGAAAGACGAAGAGTGCGGGGAGATATGATAGAAGTATTTAAGTGGGTGAAAGGAATCAATAAAGGGGATATAGATAAAGTTTTTATAATATCCGAGCAGGATAGGACTCGTAGCAACGGATTTAAGTTGGATAAGTTTAGGTTCAGGAGGGAGATAGGAAGAACTGGTTCACAAATCGGGTGGTGGACGAGTGGAACAAGCTTAGCAACTTTGTAGTAAGTGCTGGAACGCTGGAGAGTTTTAAAAGGAGGCTACATAGATTCATGGATGATAGAGAGTGGTAGTAACTCTCGACAGGAGCTGCCATGCACAGGCCAACCGGCCTATTGCAGACTCCTTATTTTCTTATGTTCTTATGTTCTTAAATGCTGGGTAGTGGCTTCTTAGGCAGTTGTTTGTCAGCTGATGAAGGCCTGTGATTAGTTGGTAGATAGATGAGGGGCGGGAAAAGTTGTTGTTATGGACGGACCATGGGATCGTCTATTAGTGAACGATTGTCCAAAACCAGGTGGGTGAAGTGGTTCATAGTTGATGCTACAAGGGTAGTGCTGGGTGTTAACTTGCTAGGAATATAAATTTAGACTTAAGGCGAAGTTTCCTCGCATATTAGTGACAGGACACACACACACAGTGTGTGTGTGTGTTGTGTCTACTTGTGTTCTCACCAATCCTTTACTTTACCCTGGAAAATTCCCTAAACATCACACACACACACACACACACTACTAATAGAATATTTCTGAAAATTTTAGTTTGAATTTTTATAATATTTTCACTTTGAAAATTTTTAGTGTTTCTGAAATTTGTAGAATTATTCTGATTTTTGTTTTAATGTTAGGAAGGATTCATTGAAACAATTAGTGTACATAAGAACATAGGAATGGAGGAAACTGCAGCGGGCCTATTGGCCCATACTGGGCAGTCCCATTTACACCCAACCCCTATCGCTCATACAGTATATCCATCCAACCTGTGTTTGAAGCTATCCAGCGCATTCGAGTTAAAGATGATGTTTGGTAACTTGTTCCACTCGTCCACTACTTTATTTCCAAACCAATGTTTACCTATTTCGCGCCTTAATCTAAATTTGTCTAATTTAAAACTATTGTTGCGAGTTCGCTCCTGGTTGGATAGT